ATTGATCTTTGAAAATGTAGAGTCTGGGTTCAATAATAGTTGCGCTAAAGGGAAACTCATTAGTAAAATTAAATCCAAGATACTCGAATCAAGATTTGCTAATGATTTTACTCTTTTTTGGCAAATTTGGTGCATAAAAGGAGAAATTTTTGAAATTATTTTGCTTAAACAATAACTATCTCTTCATACAGATTTTTCTCAACATTTCTTTTGTTTTCAATAGATAAATTAGCAAAAGCAAGATAAATTAGCACTATTAATGTGTTTTTTGAAAGAATTTAGATCATCCTTGCACATTTGAGCACTCAATTGCTTAATGAAAACTAGAACTGGAATTAAAATCACTGTCAAAAGCTTCGACCACACTTTTACCTACTCAAACTCAGTTTCTTCCAAAAACCCTGAATCCAATCATTGGAGAATTTCACGGAGCATCTTTTGACGTAAAAAGTAGCCCGATCCGTCAAAGTATGGCTGAGAAACAGCTGAAAAACTAAATCCCTAGGGTCTTACTTGGCTGTTCTTTGTGCACGAGCATAATCGCGCACTTTCTGACAGAGGGCATTTACTTATAGCGAGACCCTTTAAAGAGTTTAAAGAGTATAAACGAATTTTAAAGAGAGAGTTTGAAGAAGCTTGCTTCTCGCTTCCTCGGTGCCTAACCCGTTCGTGGAAGGCGGCGCCCGGAGCCATGGGCTGGCCCGGGTCGATTGTACGAATAGCCCCGAGCAACAAAAAGCCGAAAGGTTGACCGAAAGGATGTTGTGGAAAAACCCACAGTCTCCCGTGAGGGATACAGCTGAAGTTCGTGGAATCGCTAACATTCCGCACTGCCACCCGTGGAGGGAGGCAGAATGGTCTGTTGCTCGTAACCGGATTACAATTATGCTCCCTCTGGGCTCCGGCTTCCGTCAGCTGTCCGCTACTCGACAGTCGTCTAGATGGCGGAAGTTTGGACACCCCATTGGAGGAACCGTGAGGTTCTTAAACCGACTGGGGATCAGATCAATCCCTTTTAGCATCAACAAAGTGTAACTTCGGAGCATTCTCCTACTTACGTTGCGCGCACCTTAGCAAGCTGAGCATTCTTGCTGCGGGAGTCGGTGCCATCGCCAAGGACCAGACGTGGACCTCGGATCCCAAGAGTCTTCGGACTACAGGGTGGCGGAGTGCGAAGTCCAGCCACCTCCTCGTGGTGCACTCTGGGCACTTCCTGGAAACAGGAAGTGGCGAAGAGCTGGACAAAAAAGGGAAAGAGCTTTTGGAAAAGGAAAGAGGTCTGGAAAAAACTTTAAAGTTTTCGCCTTTCAGAGGATTTCCTTTTTGTCTTGCAAACTGTTCCCAAAAGAGATTTTGGGAGAAAAATGTGTACCCGAGAGTTTTCGGGGTCAACGAATCGATCAACTATTAGATTGACAACTTGGAAGTTGGTACACTTTTTTGTATTTCCCATAAAACATATTGAAAACGCGAATTGAATTAGACTTCTCTAAATAAAAGTTATATATTATCTAATTTAAGCCAATTTGGGTAATTTTTGAAACGAATTTGAGCAGAAATTCAAGTTTTTCTGAAAATTCTTCAAATGGAACTATGGCAAAAATGATTGATTAGATTTAGCTGAAAATTTAGTAATATACCAAACTTTTTGTGTTCTATCTTTTTTTCTCTTTACACCAAAATAGGTTCGTGTGAAAGAAAGTGCTCAAATCGCTTCATCAAGTGTTCATCATTTTTCGTTCCTCAACTTCTTGCTCCCTAAAAAACCCACAAAACCAAAACTTTTCCAAATCTGTTAAAAGCCTTTTTAGAGGATAAATAGACACTTTTATTGGTAAAAACTTTAGATTAATTGGTGCACTAGTTATTTCTAAAAAGTGCAATGAATAAGTGTAACAATTTTAAAGTTTCCAATCTATTATTACTACTACGACTAGAAGCGATCATTAAACGGTTTGGCGAAGACGATGACGATTTTGAGGGATCGATCGGAGTATTGCGATACGTTTTTGGATAATCTAGATAAATTTTAGATTTATCTAGATTTGTAAATGCTAATTTATGATAGATATGCAAGTTTCCGACGGGTTTCATGATTCTCGATCATGAAAGGACGACTGACGACGACTGACCGACGACTGACGACGGCTGACGACGACTGACCGACCGCTGACCGACGACTGACCGACGACTGACCGACGACTGACGACGACTGACCGACCGACCAACTAAGTTTACGGGGTAATGAACAATACCATTGAATCTCCCATATCGAAAAACCATATATTCCAAATTACCAGCAAAATTGCTTTAATCTTTGACGATTCTCGAAGCGTTTTCCCGTTCCTTGGGTAGTTAACACAGTGGCGACCGCGCATCTTTTGCGAAACGGCCGATTTGGACCAGGGATCAAAACCAAATCCCAGAAATTTGCACATAAGGCCTTAAAAGACTCTAGAATCCGAATCCGGTCTTAAATTTAGGTCAACAAACTCCATGTCGTTTACTTTCGCAGTTTTAATTATTTTATTTTTTACGCTAATTTCTTGTAGTTAACTTTTCGAGAAATGTATGCTATATGTTCCCGGGTCAGAATTTCTTTCAGAATTCTTTTGAGCCTTCAAAAATTATTGGTTACCTTAGAGAAAGGCCATTTTTTGGAGCCCGCCGGTTTCAAGTCCCGACCCCATATCTGGGGCAGGGTGCCAGACGCCGTTTTTCCCTACGAGCGACACGAAAAGAACGCACACAGAATTTCCTTTACAAAACGCTTTTTTTAGAAAATTCAAAAACACTCATTTTTCAAAAATTCTTTGAATTCTAACACTTGATCTTTGTAGCTACTTCATTAAAATATCCGTAACTATTAGAAAATATTTTTTGCAAAGCTTCCTCGTTTCGGGGAGTCGAACCAGCAACCCCCTATTGGAGCCTCAGATTGGCCATGCGCGCCTTAGACCACTCGGTCATGGAATCCGAGGTAACACCCGGTTTTTCCGCTTTTTACGAAAAATAACGCAACTTCCTAATAAAACACGTCGGATTCGGAAAGAGGGCCCAAAATTACATGCTCTTGCAAATTTGGAGCTCATTTGGTTCAGCCATTTATAAGAAACAGCCGTGACTCAGCATTGAGTCACGCGGTCGTATATGTATTAAACCGGGCGGCACTGGGGTGACGAGCGGTGTGCCAGATTAAAAAAAATAAAATTTCTATTTATAAGTAAGCAAATGATGCGCTTTTGAGTTTTGTCGAAATAGCACAAATCACTAGCTGAATACCTTTTCAACGGTAAAATAGCCTATTTAAATTGACAGTTGCAAAAAACCATTTTATTTCAGCATTTCACCGCGACTTGTTTCTTTGAAGTTGTGTTGATTGTTTTTGTTTTCTAGTTTCTATTGTTTTCTTTTTTTCTGTGAAATATATTTTTTCTTTAGACATCCGATGAATTCCGGAATCAAGGAAAAGATGGCCATCGAGTCTCCAAACTCCAACCATCGAAGGATCGCAACCAAACGCAAACAAACGCAAAAGGTTTTTTGTTTGAAAAAAAACGTTTTTTCTTTGCAAGTCCCTGCCAAATTGGCTACTAGCCGGACTTGCTAATGTAACCCACAACTGATTTACTGTGTCTTGGTCACTCACTCTGGAACTTGACCCAAAATCAATATTTTTCCACGAAAACTTGCACACAGTGGTTTTTGCCTATGCTGAATCGATTATTGATACTTTTATACATAACTTCTTTTTTTAATAATTTTATTAATTAATAACATTTTTAGTAAAAACTCAGATACGGACAATTTGCCGAAAAACAGGTCCCCTAACCTGTCAAGGAGTTCTTTTATACGCAACACCAAGCAACAGTTTTGTTATTCGATGTTGTTAGAATAAAACATAAAAATAAAAAAGGTTATAAGCGTATTACTAAAAAGTTATAAAAGTAGATTAAGACTTTTTTCGGCAAATTGCCCGTATTCGAGTTTTTACTAAAAATGTTATTAATTAATAAAATTAATTTTAAAAAGTTATAAAAGTATTGCTAATCGATTCAGCATAGTCAAAAAAAACCCTATGTATATGTTTTCCTGGAAAAATATTGATTTTGGGTCAATATTTTGACTGGAATTCCCGTAAAGTCTGATAGAGATGTAGATTATGCTTCGCGTAATCGCTCTCAGCTTGACAATGAAACCCCTCGATGAACTAACCCTAAACCAATTAAATTGGGTTCGATTCCAGAAGATTTTCTCAGACCCACCAAGCTGCAAAAAAAATTGGCGCGTAATGAGAGTAATTTTTGGATGCTGAATGTTATCCGTTTTGCTATCACTAATGTTGCTAACCCGTTAATTTTGATAAAATGTTTCCCTATCTGTGTGGGTTATAATCCCAAAGAAGTATATTTAATTTCCTATGTGTTGGGAAAGGAAATGGAAAAGTTTAAAAGAAGAGTTAGGTGAAAGTAAAGTAATTAGTTTACTTTCAGGAATTGGAAATGATTTGGTGATGCGTCAAATGGATCAACTCGCCGATGTTTTTGGGTTGGCCGGGCCCGACAAAAAGCTGGCCCAATTCCCATGTCTAGTCTACCAATTAGAACTCTGGTCTACTTAGTCTAAACTTTTAGACCTATTCCCTAAACCGATCACGATTTCCCTTCAATGTGTTCTTTTCTCTGGCGAAGAGACGCCTGTTCCCCATTCTGTAGTCTATATGTTGACCAATTATCGTAGTTTTCTACTTTGTATCGTCTGCCGGATATTAAAGGCCTAAACGATATGAATTTAATTTTTGCATTACATTTACATTCTGTACCCTTTGTTTCCTTCAACTTTGTTTTTGTTTGCTAATTAAAAGTTATCAGCTTAGTTATCTTTTTCTCTAAAAGCTCTTATTATCATCTCTAAAAAGATCAGCCTCTTTCTTTTTCACCTTCCTGCTCTTTTTCAAAGATATCACTAATTGAAAAGAGTCATTATTTCTTTTAGCATCAATGGCTGTCAAAGAAGAAGTCGACTTTCCAAGAGCTCAGCGGAAACGATCAGCAAAAGCGCAAGATGAAGAAAATGAAGTCGTCAAGGAGAAGAAGCTTTCGTTAAAGGTGGCAATAAATTTTCTAAAAGAAACCTCTAGTAAGATCAAGTAAACTTTATAATAAGGCACTGAACATCATTTTTAGAGTTTCCCAAAGAAACTTGCCGCAGAAGGTCAGTCAAAAGTGAAGAAACGCAAAGAGAAGATCGATGACGAGTTCAGCGGAGTGTGGACAGCACCGGTAAAAGCAGAGGATTTGACGGAAGGCGTTTTTGGAGTTGGCATTGTTGAAGAGGTCAGTTTCAGTACTGGTAAACTAGAGCAAAGATTTCAGATCCGCGACACAGAAGTGATCTTGCGAACCGCGGGCAACTTGCAAGTATCTTTGCCAGCTGCTAATGTAAGGCTGTTATTCTAATTTTTAATTTGGAATGGTTCAGATTGGGAAGAAATTCCTCGAACAAGCCAAGAAGAACGAGGTGACATTGGAGGACGTTGTGGCGATAGGACAAATGCTCAGCTTTCGGGTACAAGGGAAACCAAGACGAGTTGAAGGTTTGGGAACTTGTTGAATAGATCAAATGATTCATATAATCAGTTAAATATAAGTCTTACCAATAAACAATTATTGAATAGATTAATTTCTATATAATCAGTCAAACTATAATCAATTCAGAGAAAAAGACAAAGAGAAGCGCTTTGCCTATCGTATCTTGCACTCCATCAGCCGTCAATCAGCACATCGCTTTGTCCCACTTGGTACCAGGGCTAGTTCTGACGGCAAATGTAACAAGTATTGAAGAGAAGGGTTGGTTAACTCAAAGTTCTCAAAGTCAAACTTGTTCCAAAAAAGAAGTTCTAAACTATCTCCTTCAGGTACAATTTGTGACATTGGAATCGCCGGTCATTCGGGTTTCATCGCTGGTGTTGCTTTGTTACAAGAAAGTCAACCTATCATGGTATGCAAGAAAATCATAGCTAAAAACTAGATTTCCAGGTGCGAATCGAAAGTGTCAAGTCACGAATCGTGAACCTGTCATTGCATGTCGAAGGGGAGAACCTTGCCGATTCAGCTCTAGAGGTAGTAACTTGCCCAGTTCTCGCAAAATTCTATTTTAGGATTTTCACTTGAACCATTTGACGCCGGGGACTATTCTATATGGAGAACCCGAAAAGCACACCCCAAATGGAGTCTACGTCAATTTGGGAAACAGTATGTGAATTGTTTTTTCTCAAGAATTATAATTTATTTAGATGTTCGTGGCTTCATTTCATCGAGACTCCTTCCTCCACGCCTTCGTGTTGATCCGTCAAGGCTGGTGAAAGCGCTTCGAGTGATCGTCTTGTTCTGCCAACAGAACTCGAACCTTCTCGTCCTTGGAGGCCATCCAGACATCATTGCCATCAGCAAACCGGAGAAGCGAACCGTATTTCAAGTGAGTTGGATCTCAAATCAAACTCAGCAAAGCTAACAATTCCAGGGCATTCAAATCGGAGACATCATCACATGTCGTGTCGCTTCTGTTGGCCCAAAAGTCGTTTTGATGACTCTACCAGAAGATGAAGACGGAAAGCAAAGTCTGATCTCGGTTGTGGCCGGTGTCAAAGCTCTTCAAAATCCCAACAAAATTGGTATTAATACTTGAGGGTTTCCATATAATACAAATTTCAGCTGAAACGTGCAAGATCAACTCTGAGCATCTTTGTCGGGTGACTGGCTTCAACACGATTGAACGGACAATCTACGTGTCAACGAAGAAAGAGGTCTTGAATCAGCAAATGATCTCTTACAAGGTTGGTTGAAAAATTGGTATTGGACTTGAGAAGTTGTTCAGGATGCTCAAGTTGGAGCCATTGTTGATGGTAAAGTGGTCTCGTATGCAAGGATTGGGCTCTTTGTCAGGGTAAGCTTCCAATTTCGAGTTTATTCTACTTTAACTCTAGATTTTCGATAGCATTAGCGGCTTTGTCCCGCTCAAATGGGCCACAGAACGAGCGGTGAAAGATCTCGATAAAATCTTTCCAATCGGTTTGTTACAAATTTCAAGTAGATTTATCCTTATTCAGGTAACAATGTCCGTTTACGAGTCCTTTCCACTGATATCGAACATAAAAACCTTGTGCTCACGACGAGACAGAAACTGGTGAACTACAAGGGAAAGCTTGTCACAGAATACACAAAGAGCATGGAAGGGAAGACGACAATCGGGCTTGTCACCACGATTTTGTAAGTGTCAAGTTGAGTTCAACCTGGATTGTTCTAAAGGCAGTTTTTTGGGACAAGTCAGACCAAAGCAGAATCTGGATCCAAGCTAGGCTTCTGACCTAATCTGATCGGCCCGCCAAGACCTAACTAGAAACCAGAAAATCAGTTGCCTAGGCTCAGTTGGATGCATCCCTGAATAGTTCATACATCATTTCAACTCTACGATTTAGTGATCATGGTGCTGCGCTAATCGCCTTTTTCAACAACATTACCGGATACATGCCGGCGGAACAAGTGAAACAGCTTAAAACGGAGAGCCCAATACGGTGAGTACAACGTCGTTGACGATAAAGTCTGTGCTTCAGCGAAGGATCAATTGTTGAAGTCTTGATTTCCAATTGCGATATCGAGAAGGGGAGATACTTGGTGCATACCGTTGACGGTGTGAAAGGCTCGGAAGTGAAGAAATCTGAGAAGTCAACAAAGAAGGAGAAGGTAATGACATTTGTTTGGTAATCAAAACAAAACTTTTAGTCGGCTGACGTCAAACTCTTCGGGATTTTCACCGGAAAAGTGGTTGGTCCTTGGAAAGCAGAAGATGCACACGAAAGGGGGAAATTTGGAGTCGAGATACTTATGCCAAACAATAAGAAAGGTAGATCTAAAGAGTTGTTAAAGCTCAACGTTATCTAGGTCGCTTGCACGCGAGTGAGCTGCCAGAGAAATACCTTGTCGATGGGACAAAGCCAATCGAGCGATTCTTGAGCGAAATGAAGGGGAAATCGGTGAACGTGAAAGTGATTGGATTTATTCGAAAAAAGGTGAGATGAACGAAATCCATTTTACAACTGAATGAATGTTAATTTTCAGCAACGAGTCCCCGAGCTCACCATGCAGGCGTCGAAGTTGACCGAGACAAAGAAGAAACAAAAGTTGTTCGAGTTCAAGAATGACTATCGCGCTGGGGATCTGGTGAGTTTTGAAAGACAAAAGATTTTATATTCTAATTAAAATTCAGATTCCCGTGTTTTCCTTTGGCGCTGAAGATACGGCTTTGCAGAGAAAGTTCGAAGTAACACCGGTGTTCACGGCTTTGTTACCGAGGCAAAAGCTGCCATTGGCTAAATTGGTAAGTGAAGTTTTGAAGCCTGGCCGACCTGGCCTAACCAAAGCCTAGGGCTCAGGCCATTTTTTAAAATGTCTCTTCAGATTACCGATCCGAACGCTGCCTCAAAACTGGTGGATGTCGACTTTGATGAAGGGGAGATGCGACTGGCTCGAGTTGTGGGGCTCAATCGAAAGGCCCGTATTGTGGACATAACATTTGCTGAGAATGAGGTAGTTTTGAGATCCCAAGATAGTTAACATCTTGCTTCAGGACGTTGAGATTGGGGAAACGACGCCCGGACGAGTGTTGAGTGTCTCCACTGCTCCACACGGCATCCTCTTCCAGCTGGCCAATGGGCAACTCGCACATCTTGGCCCTAGTGGTGTGACGAATCTCTACAAGAAGACACACACCTCGATGCGAGAGTTTTCGCATGGACAAGTTTGTCTTTGGTTTTTGATTGGTTTATTGAGACATCTAGCTCTACAACGTTGTCATTGCCTCACAAGCGGCTCCCCATGCGCCGAAGAAGCAAACGTGGGAGGTAAGTTGACAAATTATGCAAAAATGTAACGTACATTTTAGGTGGTCACTGAAAAACGATGGACACAGCGAAAAGCCGGAACGAAAAACAGGTATCAGAATTGGATGGCGGGAAAAGATTACAGAAGTTTAGACTGTTAACGTTGATGTCAGATGTAGAGAGTGCTGCGGAATTGCAAGGTTTTGTGATCAACGAAAGTCCGTGTATTGTTGAGCTAGGAGCTGGAGTGCAAGCAACGATGCAGACTGAGGGGTAAGGAATAGACTTTGCTTAGTTACTGGTACTGAAAACTTTAGACTAATTCCTAAAGGTTTTTTTCCAAAAATTCAATGAATTAACTGGTGTTTTTCAGTGTTGACGTGAAAGTAAATGATGTCGTTACCGTCAAAATTCAAGGAATCGATGAGTTGAAGAAAATGCTTGGCGCTAAGTTGCTTGAGGTTGTTCAACGGGCATGCCTAGTTGAGGTGAGAATAGACTTTGAAATGAATAAAAGAGACTTTAGAAAGATCCACACTCCAGCTCTGAAAGTTTTCCAGTCAAGAAGAGGAAGATGAATCAAAGTTCCGAAGCTGAACGTGTTGAGGTCAACCATTTGTAATTTTCTAGGTTTTGATAGAAATCTTTAGTCTGGAGCGTCAATAAAGAGTAAAACGGAGAAGAAGCAAGTCGATCCAGGATGGGAATTTTCAGCCACCGGATTTAGCGCTGAGGATTTGGTCAAGGTTGATGGAAAAGTTGACAGAATAATATTATTTTGTGGCAGGTAACGAAGCTGTTAGACGAGGATGGCAAGCCGGGGGTCGCCGAAGTGAAAAAAGAAGAAGCTACTGAAAATGATGGACCTCCAAGCAAGAAAAGAAGTGAGAACTAATTATTGGCAGACTTAAACTTATATTTAGACAAAACCGAACGAATTATTGATGTCGAGAAGGAGTTAGTTGCTGCTGAATCACGAATAATTGAAGGAAATGTGGGGATTACATTGAAGGGAATACATGTCGATTTTTTATTTAGGTTCCGGAGAACGAGAGCGAATTTGGAATAATGTTGCAACGAAATCCGAACTCGGCTCAATTGTGGATTCGATTTATGGGCTATTTCCTCAACAAAAATGACTTGACATCAGCTAGAAGCACAGCTCAGAGGGCACTAAAGGTTAAATTTTTTTCTGAATTTAAACAATGAACAGTTTAGAGTATCAATTATCGCGAAGATACGGAGCGATTGGCTATGTGGACAGCATATCTGAATATGGAGGTATGATCAACATGTAACTGTATTTTAAGGGTACTTGGCCTCTGAACCCAACTTTGAAAAGCGCAGAGATTTTTTCGGAGATCAAAAAGCCTTTCATTCGCAATTGTTTCAGATTTCATTCGGAAGCGGTGACTCCTGGAAGCCAGTTTTTGAAGAAGCGTGCAACAATGCGGATTCGCTGAAGATGCACAAGCAAACGGCTGCGGCTTTGGCACTGAAGGGGAGAAATGAGGTTGAATAGAAGTACGACATTCACTGAATTGAAGCTTTCAGGAGGCGGATGAGATCTATAATCAACTGGTCAAACGGTTCCGCAAATTCAGTGATGAGGTTGGTGCAGAAGCCAGGTCTGGGCCTGTAATCCAAGGCAAGGCCCAGATCTGGGGACTTTTTGTCTTCATATTGAATTATTTAAGGAACAAGTGTTCATTTAAGGTATGGATTCTCTACGCGTCGTTCTTGATGTCAACAAAACGCTTTGATGAGGCGAGGGATTTGCTGAAGAAAGCGCTCAATTCAGTTCCAAAAGCAGAACGTTTGTTTTATGAAGGATTATTTTATAATCGTTATACATTAGATGTTACGCTCATTTCTCGTTTTGCGACACTCGAGTTTGAGAAAGGAGACATGGAACGAGGAAGGACATTGTTCGAAAATGTGCTGAGCAATTTCCCCAAGAAGGTGAGTGACACAAAATGGTCATCCTCGGTATTCGAACCCATGAGCTTTCGCTAACCAGGCGAATCAATCACAGCTCAGAACTGTTAAGAGTTCAGAACAAAACACAACGTGTTTCAGGTTGACGTCTGGAGCGTGTACTTGGATTTGACAATGAAACACGATGCTCAGGACAAAATAAGGTAAAAAGGATGGGCTGATCTTGTTATTTTGAGTTTCAGGAATTTGTTCGACCGAATTTGCTCGCTCTCGCTCACCAACCATAAATTGAGGCCGTTTTACAAAAAATGGGCCGAGTATGAAGCTAAATTCGGGGACGAGAAGACGCAAAACGAGGTTGGTTTTTGAAGAACTTAGACAAGGTTGAAGACTACTTTTCAAAGTCTAGAAGTAAGAAAGGTCAGATAATCTGACCTAGCCTGGCCCACAAAAAGCTCTGGGCCCACCAGAGCAAAAGCCAGACCTGGTATCTGCCCGGGACCTTGTCCGGGCTAAATTTTCTGTGGGCCTAGCCCACAAAATTTCTTGAGCCCTAGGCTTGTTTGGTTTCCGGTCGGGTTCCGCCCTTGCCTGGCTTGCAGCTTCCAGAACAACGATGGAATATCCCTGGTCAAAGGGCTGAGCCTTCTGGGGCCCTGGTTTAGCTTACAGATCCTGGGACCCAGTGGAACATCTATGCCTCTAATGGCTTGGTACAGTGAAAATGACTAAACTTTTCAAAACTCTTAGAAATGATAAATTCACCAATACGATTTGCTCAAAATAAAAATGTTTGTTAATCGTTTTTCCTTCTTTTTAGACCAATTTGAGTCCGTTTTAGTGTAAAATGAAGCGCAAAAGGCAATTTTTCATAAAACGCTTCAAAGGCTCCTAAAAACGACTGGGCCGATTGGTCTGAAAATTTGCCTATATGGCTAAGACCTGCTTGCTGCTTTAATTTTCTCTAAAAGGAGTTTTGAAAAAGTTAGTCATTTCCACTGCCTCAACCCATTAGTTGATATTGAAGTAAATGAAAATTATAGCTCAACTACATTATATTCCAATTTTTAGCTTCGTGAACGAGCCGCGAAACTCCTTCGAGCGGACTGAAATACATTGACAATATAAGAAAAAAATTGTTACTTTGTTATCTTTTTGTTAATTTGTTAGTTTGTTGTTTTTTTTATTTGTTAGTTTGTATCTATAACTAACACATAAAAAGCACCTCGTAATCGACGAAGATATGTGCTGTTTGTTGTTGATTTTGTTATTCGATAGCCGTTGTTCTTGTTTTTTGGATAAAAATTTCTTAGTTTTTTTTGGAATTTGGGCTTTCAATCAACAATTTAAATTTAACTATAACTGACACAGAAAAAGCACCTCGAAATCGGCAAAGTTATGTACACCAAAAGTGGTTTGTTTGCTGACGAACTTGTACAATATTTCAAAGACTAAACGATGACTAACAAATCTAACAATAACTAGTCAAGTTTTCGAATATTTCAAATAGCTTCAGTGACAAGTGATTGCCGTCTTTTCTTATTTTGATAGAAGATTCGTTGTTCTTTTGGTGGCAGATTGTTTGTGAGCGCGTTTCCCTTCGTTTCGGGGATGAAAATCTACAAGAATTTTACATTTTGGCATTTTTTTTTGCATCCGGGTTTTTCTGGTGAAGAACCTAGTGCTGGCTTTTACTTAAAAACTGATCCCGGATTCTGACTCCACCCTCCCGAAAATCCCAGAGTAGAAATTTTCAGTCCAATCGACCCCAAATAGTATTAATTCGATAGAATTGGATAATATAGCTACCGGTGGATAATAATAATAAATACGGTTTTAGAATGCAGTAACAATTTGGATAATTTGGATAATTTGGATAATTTGGATAATTTGGATAATTTGAATAATTTGAATATTTCCCCGATTTACCTCGAAAGCGGCAAGGTCAAGAAGGGTGAAAACGAGAAGAATCACATAGGGAAGCGATGAACTGATGTCACTCTAAATGAAAGCATTTCGAAAGATGAACGAAAAGCCAATCAACTCAATCAATTTTCTAACAAACCAATTGAAACAACTGCGGCGCGGCCATCGTGCCGATGCGACTCCAAATTGAGAGATTCGAGACGGCCAGATTGCGCACGGCGGTCGGGTACAACTCGTTGCAGGCCATGAATTTGGCCAAGTATAACTGAAATGAGCTAGAATTCTAGAAATAACCAGTTTAGAGGCAGGCAATAAGCTTTAATACTGAACCTGACTGCACATTGCGGTGATGCCGATCGTACAACTACGCAACACCCAACCACCGTCACTTTGTGTTCCTGAATGAGAAAATAGCTTAGAAAGGTTTCTATTCTAAAGCATGATACTGTAAACGAGCGTATTTTTGCACTATATAGTTGGCTATGGTATCTCTTGTTACAATGGACAGGCACAGTTTAGAAAAGTCGATGATTTTGAATTGAATTGATGAATTCCTCAACCTCAAAAATAGTTGCTAAGAACTCTGTGAACATTGTTATCTCTTTAATATTGCCTAGATTTCTAACCTTGATAATATGTCCAACAAATCCACACAAGACACGATCCATTGAAGACAAGAGCCAGCACGTTGATCGGCTTTCGACCGAAGCGCTCACAGAAATAGTCGCCGATCGCCACCGAGATGTTCATCGACCAGCGAATTATCTAGAAACAAGGTTTTAGACGTTGTTGCAAGTTCTAGAGATGTTTGTGGCCGACGGGGACTCACTGCCATCGTGGCGCAGTCGGCAGCGCGCTGTTCTAAGACTCACAATGCTTGTTTTCACTTAGTTTTCACTTTTGAGTTGTTGATTTGAAATGCCATAACTATATCATAGATTTTTTAAAGAATTTCGGTTTTTTGGCTCAAAGACGGCTGAGAAAAAGCTCGTACAGACAGACAAATAGACAGACAAACAGACAAACAGACAAACAGACAGACAAACAGACAGACAGACAGACAAACAGACACTACTCTTTTATAGTAGTTTGATACTGTAGCTGGGTGACGGAATATAACGGAACAAAATGCTCACCCCAAGCCAGACATTATTCCAATACAGTGATCCGCTCAACTTCTCCATGTTGAACATGAGGCCATAGTTGGTGAGTGAAGTGGCGCCACTAAATAATTTTGACTGAATCTCTTGTAAATTTCTTGTATCCATTTGATAGGTTAAACGAACATTCCAAATGCTAAAGTGGCCGTCCAGGCGAGCATCTCCCAAGTGCACAAAATGTGATAATATGTGTATTTCCTTTGTTTCTTTGCTCGATTCTCGATTGCCTTAACAAAACAAAAAATTACAAATTTCCCTTGTCACCAACCATTTGCTCATGTTTCAGCATTTCCTCTAATTCCTCGTGATTGTAGCGGTGCTTTGAGTCTCCGTCGATGCGTCGAATCTTCGAGAAAACCCGTCTTGCCTCCTCGACTCGACCTTTTTGAATCAAGAAACGCGGGGATTCGAAAAGGAAACTGAAAAATGTGAACTGATTGGAATAATATAGTAATTTCTATATTATTGCTGTAGTCTTAGTCCTTATTACATTGTCCTTCAAGGAATTTGGATGTCAGGTCATGGTTAGAGGTACAGTACTGGACAATGAAATATGATATTTGAAAAACGATCGTCACTTTCGCGCGTCTGTAACTCCCTTGTCTTTGAGTTTAAACTAGTAGTGTTATACATTTTCTGAAAGCTCTTTTCAAGGGCTACACAATGGTAATATTAATATTTAGAAATACGGTAAAGACAAGGGAGTTACAGACGCGCGAAAGTGCGAAAGTGTTTTTTCAAATATCATATTTCATTGTCCAGTAGTGTAACTAGATCCCAAGACATGATTATCACCAAGCCATGATCACTAGAGTGTGTTCCTCGCGAGTAATGCGTTTTTTAAAACGGGAAAAAAATTATCGTACTTTTAGCAAAAATTATTGCAAAAAAATGACGCAAAAATCACGAGCCCCGCATTATATACGGCACTTTTTAAAGATACTCAGCCGTTTAACTGATTTTTGTGGGAAATTCCCTTCCAATGTAAAAAATGATTTTTCTTGAAAAATCTGGGGAGTGAGACAAATGCTACCTTTTTTTTGCGCACCCGGACATTTGCGCACCTTTTTCTCCGCACCTTGCCCATTAGCGCACCTTTTTTCGCGTTTTAAAAAAGCTCTAAAAAGCTAATATTAACCAATTTCGATTCCAAAAGTTGTTTTTCTAGGTAATTTTAGGGCGTAGAATCGAAATTTTGACATAACAGAGCGTGTGGAACCAATTTGAAAGAAAGACAAAACGGCTAGATCAAATTACAGAAAATTGTCGATTTTTCTCTTTGTATAACTCCGTCCGTTTGTTCCCACAAGCTCTGATATGTCAAAATTTCGATTCTACGCCCTAAAATTACCTAGAAAAACAACTTTTGGAATCGAAATTGGTTAATATTAGCTTTTTAGAGCTTTTTTAAAACGCGAAAAAAGGTGCGCTAATGGGCAAGGTGCGGAGAAAAAGGTGCGCAAATGTCCGGGTGCGCAAAAAAAAAGGTCGCATTTGTCCCACTCCCATTTTTCTTGAAAAATCTGCGCAAAAAATTGCTTTTATATTTTTTTCGCGCGTCCGCACTTTTTAGAAAACGCATTACTCGAGTCAAAAATTACTCATTCAAATTTACTCGAGTAATTACTTACTCGCGAGGAACACACTCTAATCATCACCCACAAAGATCTTTTAGGCCGAAAACCCTGAACACGGCTCGAGATTTCATCTTTGCCGGTCAGGGTTAGACCCTGGTAGGGTCAAAGGTCCTTTTATCGCATAAAACTTGGTCCTAATACCAGGAAAAGTGCATAACCCATTTTTAGGTTTCTTAAAACAGCTAATGGTATTGTAAAAAGAGCTATACCTTCATCATTGATCTTTCCTTTTCCTTATTAATTAAGTTGATGACTTGACACCGTTTCTTTCCCACTCTCATCAAATTTGTACTTTTCACAGAAAAACCTTGCTCTTTTGTAAGAATTGCCAATTTCTTCATCTACTTTTTTTTTTCCATTTCTTTATAACAATGATCTATCTAAATGCAATCGATATTCTTTGAATTGCCCGCTTATTCCTTTATCATCCCATCCACTATATATTTTACTTGGAAAATCACGAAAAAGACACGATTACATGCTAATTTTAGGTGAATAGAAAAAGTTTTCAAGGATTATTAATTTTAGAGGAAACATAATCACGCTTAGCATGGCGATTGTTTATCTTTCGATGGTACGATGCGTGACATTGTGCGCGAACACTTGGGGGAAACGAACGGTGAGAATTGGGATGTTCAAATCAAAGAGCAGACTGGCTGAACGGGTTACCTAGCTTTTACTATTAGACCAAATCCAGATAGGTCAGGTAAAGTCGGGGTCAGTTCCGGTCAGAAGCCAGGCATGATAGTTTTGAGTTAGGGCCGAGTTAGGCCATCTGTAAAGGTACGTTGGTGGCCTAGTAGATAACGCATTAAGCTTCCAGCCACAGGAAAAGGGTTCAGTCCCTGATGCAGGCTAGGAGACGGTCAGGTCCTAGCCTCCTGGCCTAGCTGATCGGAATAATTTTTACGGTATGTCAAGTTAAATCATAAGTAAAGCCAGGAAAAGGCAGGCAAGAAGTAAATGTGATTGCTGATCGATTTTAGAATACAAGTCTCGTGTTTTCCTTTGAGCAATTCGGCTTTTGTGTGTACCGATCCGCTTTTTTCACGTTTGTTCTCGAGCGATTCATTTCGGTTTTGAAGAATAAAGACTACGAGAAGTGGAATTCGATCCGATTTCAAATCGGCTTCACAGCGATTACGGTAAGAAAAGCATTAAATAAAAACCAAAGACGAAGCTTCAGTTCATCATGAGTTCTTCCGTGTACACTTTGTTTTTAAGTCAAGGTAAGAAGGCTTAGGCTTAGGCTTAAGTTTGGACTTAGTGCGAAGGCTAGCGGCTAGCGCCTCGCATTAAGTCTATTTGGGTTTGGGCTGAACCCCCATTTTCTGGATCTCAGCCAGTTTAGGCTTAGGTTTAGGCTTAGGCTTAGGCTTAGGCTTAGGCAAAAGCAAAAGAGAATAATCTAAAGTAATAAACTAAAACAAAAGAGAATAATCTAAAGTAGTAAGCTAAAAAGCTAAAACAATTGTAAAGCGTTTTTAGGGGACAATTTTCGGGTGATGTTAGTTGTATGGATTTTCACTGTTCAGGGATTAACAATTCCGGTAATTTTACGAATAAATCAAGAAATTCTCAAATAAGCTCAAGAATTTGATGCAAGTAAATCTCATAAAGATTGAATATTTAGTTGACTCTTTATCTGTTATGGAGAATAAAGGCTGACTGGTCAAAGAGACATATCGGCGCCTCACTTTCACAAGTTTGTTGCTGAAAAAGGTAATAATTGCGAAATTTAGCGTTTCCAATTGTCCGAATCTCGCTCATCCGCTCATTTCTTTGTCCCACTGGTGATCAACAATTTCTTTTGCGTGATTCTCGTTTTGATTGCGTTGGGTTTGATGGCAAATGCGGCTTTAAATGCAATGATTGGATCTCTGGTACAAAGTGGACTTGATTGGGTGAGAGGAAAAGGAGTTTTTGAATTGCAGGAGGAACACACCGTTCCTAATGCACTCAATCTTTCATTTATTTCAACCATTTTCAGGTTGATTTCTATCAGCGAGCTTGCTTTACTTTTTGCCTTATATGGACGGAAAAAGATTTCATTTATCGAGTTTTTCCAATGATTAGGAGGAGGTTTTTGCGAAGAATTTTCGATTTTAATGAAAAACGAGCAAAAATCGATGTACACCATTTGGAAATGATCGAAACGGAAACTGATGCGTATTTTCGAAATTTAAAAGAAATGTGGGCATAGGAGATATTTAGGCATAAAGTTTTTGAAACTTTTGAAACCAAGAAAAAAAAGACATGTCTGTTCTTTGGGGGCATTTCTTGTAAACACAACCTTTCTGGTGGACTCATTTTTATTCTGTTTACAAAAATCATGGTTTTCTTAGTGGGAAAAATGATTAAACTATTCGTTTTGACGTCTACCAGAAAAGGTTCGTTTCTATTTTGAAGTATCTTCCCATACTTTCCCCTACTTCCCATAGTTTCCCTACTTCCCTACTTCCCAGACTTTCCCTTCCAGACTTCCCATACTTTCCCTACTTCCATGGGGAAGTCTGGGACGTATGGGAAGTAGAGAAAGTATGGGAAGTATGGGAAGTAGGGAAAGTATGGGAAGTTTGGTTATGGAACCAATAAAAGCCAAATTTGAACCAAAATGAACCCACCAAAGTGACAAAGCGGATAACATCGCACAAACGGCATTCGCTTTCAGCAAACTTCGCCAATCGTGGCAAAAATAGGCAATAATCGGGAAAACGATAAAGTTAGGAGACCATGTGATGACTGTTGAGATCCACATTCGGTGTTTCTTCGGGATATTCTCGATCATGTAGACGCCCATTGCACTGAAATGAATGCGAGAAATAAAACCGACTCAAATCTTGGGTAATTAACGACTACTTTTTGTTTCCGTTTGTTCCGTCTCCTATTATTCCTTTTTTTTTTTTTTTATTTTAAAAAACCTTAAGCATTATTAAGCACGTTCCTCCATATAGACGTAATCTAAATCGGACGTCCGCGATAAAATCTAAATCCGACGTCAAATCTTGGGTAATTAAATCGACTACGTATATACATTTATAAAACTCACGTCGACAGCCCACCAGTGAAGAAACCGACCAAGACGCGGACCCAATAGAAATAGGCAAACGATGGGACATAGGCGTTGATTAGGGAAGTGACCGAGATGCAGAATAGAGAGATCAGAATCGTCTACAATTTTTTGAAAACAGTAAAACCCAGCCTAGCTAGCAGTAAAGCCAACCTAAAATGTTTTTTGGCTTTGATCTGGCCCGGATCGTTTCAATTAGATCCCCAGTTTGTAAACTAGACTAGCCCAGAACCAAGACAATATTCTGATTGACTCTGGTTAGCTTACTAAGATAGACCAATCTTCTGACTGACTCTGGTTAGCTTACTAAGACAGAGCCAGCCTGGTAAACCTGCTTTGGGCTGGATGTCGTGAAAAAACCTATCCAAAGAGTCAAATTCCTCAAGTAAACGAAAGTTTCCATCAAAAAACCCTACCAATTTCCTGCCGTAACTGTCCGAGAGTTGTCCGAAAAAGAAAGCACCGACAAGAACACCGAACATTTGCACAGAGATCGAATTCTTCACAAGATGTGCATCTTTGCAAAGCAGATTGTACTAAATTTTATTAATCTATTGGATACTTTTACTGTAAGTACTGATAAATATAAATTAGATTCTTACACTCGGGAAAGAGTTAGCAAAGCAAAGCTATTAGGCTGTCCAGAAAGTCAGCAAAGCTATTAGGCTGTCCAGAAAGTCAGCAAAGCTATTAGGCTGTCCAGAAAGTCAGCAAAGCTATTAGGCTTTTCAGAAAGTCTTTTCGTTCCGTCTTTTCTGTGTATTTGTTGGTTTTAAACGCGGAAGCACGAAAAGAAAGGAAAAGACTTTCTAAACAGCCTAATAACAGCCTAATAACATTTCTCGCAGTTCTAGACTAACCCTGTACTCACTCACCTCAACATTCACAGACAGAAATTGATATTCTAGTTGTGGTTCACACTTCGTCGTCTCCAATAGAATTGGAAGCCGTTCGCAGGCTTCTTTTTGATCAACGAATGTCACATTTCCACAAGAAGCAATGTTTGGAGAGGCTCCTAGATTTTTATAGTCACAAAATTTCGATTTCGAGTTCTAGATTATTTTAAAATCACTCACCAATGTAAACCATGCAAACCATGCAGATTAATGAAGTCAACGTCATCAATTCAACGCAAATCATGAAACCGAAACAATATCTAAAAAAAAAAGCTTTATGTAAGTTTTACAAAATGAAATCAACCTTCCCAACGTCAAGAAATCATCCATATTCTTTGCTTGTTTCATCTCGTTTCTCAGCGGGTTTTCCAGCTTTTTCTTGAGTAATTTCTCGTCATTTTCGGAAGAACTCGTCGAGATGAATGACATCGACCTGAAAACAAAACAGAATTAGGGCGTGGGACAAATGCGACCTTTTTTTGCGCACCTGGACATTTGCACACCTTTTTTTGCTGGAAAAGGCCTTAGGAAAAGTCGTAGAGCTTCAAAAACGTTTTCATAGAAGGGAATCGTATGCGTAAATTCCGAATTTTGACAAATCAGACCTCGCTGACACGTCAAATTTGGGCTAAAAGGCAAAAACTGCGGAAAAGCGTTAGTTGCGTAGTTTTTGCCTTTTAGCCCAAATTTAACGTGTCAGCGAGGTCTGATTTGTCGAAATTCGGAATCTACGCATACGATTCCCTTATATGGAAATATTTTCGAAGCTCTAAGGCCTTTTCCAGCAAAAAAAGGTGCGCGAATGTCCAGGTGCGCAAAAAAAGGTCGCATTTGTCTCACCCCCAGAATTAATAAAGAAAAATCAGAACCACTTTTATTAGTAATAAAGAAGTGAAGGAATTGGCAAGGAAAAGAAGAGTTCCGTAGAGGGGATTGAACCCTCGATCTTTTGCTTTTTAAATGATAAGATTACGTATTCAAATGTTTACCGTATTTCCTCCACCACCATACTAAGTCGCAGGCAGGAGGGGGTCAGTAAATTCGAAAACATAGATAGTGCCGCAATAACCTATTACAGAAAATCTTGTTCCTGGAGTAATAAGATGGCAAATTTTCGAAAATAGCTAATGTAATATCGGCCAATTTTGACTAAACGCTAAGATCAAAATTCTAGTTTATGGTTTACCGTATTTTCTCCTAATAGTAGTGCACCCCGGCGAGCCGAGTTGATGACTATTTTACGGCTTTCCAAGTTTTCACAGAAGCTCAACACTCAAATCCCCCCACAAGATCTCATCGTCAGCTATATTTTCCGACCCCACATCGATAGGTTCTGATAAGCGGTTCTCGAGATTTCAAGGAATTTAGACGACGCTCAGGGTGCACTACTATTAGAGAAAATACGGTGTCATTTATCTAAATGTAAGTCTAGTGTCAGAGCCAGATCAGAAGTCGAATCCCGACCTAGGCTGGCCTGTAAACCTGGCTTGAGTCTGTGTGGCCCATAATGGCCCAGTGGCTTATTATTGTTAACTATCTCGATCTACTATTAGAGAAAATACGGTATACATAATATAGTAAATCGAACTGGATCAATCGGAAAGAAATTCTAAAACTCTTTTTCAAAATTTCATTTAGTTGATTTGTGCAATGATTATCGTTTTTCATTGGTTATCCCTTTATGGGATCACGCGAATCTTTCACCTTTCCTTTTTTCTTTTTTGAATCAAATCTATCAATTTCGTAGTTAGTCGTTGATTTGTGAAAAGTGGAAAAGAAAAGAAAGAGATGGGATATCAATGCAAAAGAGATGGGCACATTTTTGCAAGAGACTTTTGCACTTGAAGGTCGTCTCTTCAGTCTAAAAGCTTTACAGTCTAAACCAATGTTGTTTAAAAGGCAATTTTTTTTTAGGTTAGGAAGAAGATACCGTACTGTACTGTACTGTAATACTGTAATACTACCCCATCCCCCTCGTACAGTCGCGTAGTCGCAAAAGTTTTTTAGTATTTCATTGTTTTTCAAAGCGTCCGTACTTTCAAAAAATGGGGAGGTAGTCAAATGAGCGCCAACAATTGGGCGCCAATCATTTCAGCGCCAACGATTTGGCTCACGCTTATTTCAGCGCCACTCATTTGAGCGCCGTGCCAAAAATGACTGGAAAACAATCATTTGAGCGCCAAATTAAAAAAGCCTAAAAACGTTCATTTAAGCGCCGGGCCAAAAATGACTGGAAAACGTTCATTTCAGCGCGACTAAATTTTAATATTTTTGCTTTCTACGCTGCTTTTGCATGTTTTTTAGGGTTTTGCTTCTGTTTTTACACTTTTTTTTCACTCGGTAGTAGGCATCAAATGCGCGGAAAAAAATTGTTAGATTAGCTCGTATTTAAGGTTTTTTTTTGATGAAAATGTGTAAATTTGCTAGTTGTATGATATTTTCCCCCAATAGCATGCTTTTTCACCGTTTCTTGCCGTTTTCGTTTACAATTTGCTTACAGTTAACATAGTTCTTTGCTTAGGCTCGTGAACTGCGCAAGAAGTGGCGAGACAAAGGAACACTCTGAGTCAAAGTAACGTTTTGTTCATGATTTATTTTGGTTTATTTTGCTGCCAAGAATTATTTTTATCTTTAGATGATTTAGATAAAAACATACAGTAAAAACTTTGAGATCATGCAGAAAATGCAAAAATAACATGCATATACAGAATGGGCTGATTCGGCGCTGAAATGAATGTTTTCCAGTCATTTTTGGTGCGGCGCTGAAATGAACGCGCGCTGAAATGAACGCGCGCTAAAATGATTGGCGCTGAAATGATTGGCGCTCAATTTTTGGCGCTCATTTGACTACCTCCCAAAAAATGTGTCTTTGGTATCAAAAAATAGCACTGAATTCCAGCTATTTTTTGATACCTAAGCGCGCATTGTAGCATAAACCAGTGTCGAGAAAAACTCGTTCAAAGCTAGACTACGCAACGCCCCGCACCGTCATTATGGGGGGTGGGGTACTATTACAGTATTTACGGTAGGTTTATTTCTAGACTTTGGCTATCCTTAGGATCTGGCTTGATTTACTGTCCAATTGGAACATTCATAATGTTAAAAAGCAATCCTGGCAGAATCAGCTTTGGCTTGGCTTTGCCTTGGCTTTGCTACAGGCTCAAGCTCTGGTCCTTGGAAACGAAATTTGACCTGATTTGGCTAAGGTTCTAGAGTTGGATAATGCTAACTGTTGAATCGTTGATCATTGAAATATCATTGAATACCAATTGTTTCTCTAATTGAGTCAAATCGAAAATCTTCTTACGAAAGCAAGAAAGACAAAACGCTCATCAGCTCATTTTATATTAAAAATTTCATTTGGAATTACCTTGAAATACTTTGAATACTTTGAAATACTTGAAATACTTGCAATATTTTGAAATTTGAATTGAGAGATTTCCCTGTCATTAATCTCTGAAATTTTTGAACAAATCTAACTAAACAGATCTGATTTTCGATCTGACTCACTTGATCTTTTCTTGGAATTGACTTCGCTCAAGAAATGACCGTTGAAAGTTGCTCGGGAAAGGGAGAAGAAATAAACAAGGAGACAAGAAAACAAGAAAAGACAAATTCACCTCATTCACCTCACACACCCAAACATCATCCCATCCATTTCTCAGCCTCAGCTGGTCCATTTGATGGGACTTTACACGTCCTTTTTCCCCCGTTTTCTTTTCGAGATTTCTTTACTTTTCTGACTCAAATCGATTCGATTTCATTTCATTTCGATCTAAACAATGTTTGACACAAAATTTCTATTCTTGATATTTCTATTTTCTATTCTATTTTCGTTGAACCATGCTGATCAAAAAGTAATATTCTAGCCATTACATGTAGGCCAATCAGCTAATCTAGAGCTGTAAACAAGCCAGAAATCAGCTGATCTAGAGCTGTAACTAAGCCAGAAATCAGCTAATCTAGAGCTGTAATCAAACCAGAAATCAGCTGATCTAGAGCTGTAAACAAGCCAGAAATCAGCTATTAGAGCTCAACTAGAAATCAGCTGACTAGGCTGTAAAACCAGGCAGCGCGTAATCAAACTAGGCTGTCTAGAGCTGTAAACAAGCCAGAAATCACTGATCTAGAGCTGTAAGCCAGAGTCAGCTGATCTGGCTGACTAGGCTGTAATCAAGCTAGAAATCAGCTGTCTAGCTGTAATAGCCAGATGCTGTCTAAGCTGTAATCAAACCAGAAATCAGCTGATCTAGAGCTGTAAACAAGCCAGAAATCAGCTGATCTAAAGCTGTAATCAAACTAGAAATCAGCTGATCTAGAGCTCTAATCAAACCAGAAGTCAGCTAATCTAGAGCTGTAATCAAACCAGAAATCAGCTTTAAATCTGTCTAAAGCAAGATTTTAGGCAACACTTGCACAAAAAGCACAAAAGGATTTTCTAAAACTAATTTCTAGCTAACAGATCAGTACAAAAGAGCTTTTCAGACTCAAAAGCCTCCTCCAAAACTCCGCCCCCAAATCCATTTCAAATTAGGTCGAACGGCTCATCAAGAGGTTTGATAACCAGAAAAAAAAGACGTATTTCAAAATTTGCATTTATTTTACTTTAAACTTGATCAAGGCTTTAAACTGACAACCATTTTCATTCATTTCATTCATTTTCAATTCATTTACAGTTCATTTTCAGCTCCGCGCTTTTGAGTACTACTTTCCGGGCAATGAAATCGGCAATATTTTCCTAGAAAACGACAAAAATCATCCAATGTAAGAGAATCGAGAAAAATTGCTAGCTTCTGGTCTAGATCTGGGATCAGGAAATAAGAATTTTATTTGAATTTAGCTTAGATAAGCTCAATCAATTCATTGCTGACACGAACATCTCAGAGAGAGTCAGGAATGAATTCAAAATCGCCAAGATTGGATATAAATATGTGAGTAGTGAAAAAAAAATAGCATAATTTCATCTTTTTTATGATTTCAGTTGACATCATTATCTGAAGATGAGAAGAAATCGATTGCAGCGGCTCGACAATTGTTGGGACATGTGGCTGAGTTGTTGGAGAGGTTGCCGATCGATCGAGCTGTGAGGGTGAGTGGAAATGAGATCAAGTCCTTTTACGGCTGGGAATACAAAAAATCGTCGGCGCTGGGACTCGAACCGCTCACCTCTCGCTTACCGGCCGAACGCTCTACCAACGCTCTACCAACGCTGAGCTACACCGAAATTTGACCCTTTGCCGCCAGGGGCCTTATTCACTTCATCTTGGCTTGACTTATCGTGTCCAATCAAATCCTTAATCATTTTACAGATCTCTCGTCTTATTCCATTGCCCGATTTCGGTCCACTTCTCAACAACAAAACGAACGAGTTGATGGGACCGAGAGAAAGAACACCACAACCAAATATTTGGGAACAAATTATTTGATTCATTTTGGATCAGAAGATTATTCATGTCTGTAAATAAAGCATCTTGAGAATAAAAAAAACTAGATGAAATGTTAAAAGCTTTGTGAAATACAGTGGAGTGATCTCATGCTGATGATCAGGGCCTCATCATGTTTCTAGGGCCGATTTTCTAGGTCAAGCTAGGCTTTGGCTTGACTTTGGCTTAGCTTTGGCTTTTTGGAACAACCCTGCTAAAGATTTGCATTCAGCCATTGTTTTGCATTGCTTGCATTGTTTAGCTTCAGCTGTCAAATCTGAAATTCTGGTGAGATCATCTCAGAATCAACAATTTTACCATCAAAGCTGCCTTCATTGGATCTTAATATTTCTGGATTTTCTTGAATTTTTGTATTTACCGTATTCTCCCTAATGTGCACCGTGAGCGTTGCCTAAACTGCTCGAAATCTCGAGAATCGCTTATCAGAACCTATCGATGTGGGATCGGAAAATGTAGCTGACGATGAGATCTATTGGGATAGAGTGTTGAGCTTTTGTGAAAACTTTGAAAGCCGTAAAATCATCACCAACTCGGCTCACTACTATTAGGGAAACTACCGCGTTCCTTTTAAGCATACCGATTGTCTCTTTGTTGTAGTATTCTCCTTAATAGTAGCGCATCCTAAGCTTTGCCTAAATTCCTCGAAATCTCGAGACCGCTTATCAGAACCTATCGATGTGAGGTCGGAAAATGTAGCTGACGATGAGATCTAATGGGGGATTTGAGTGTTGAGCTTCTGTGAAAACTTTGAGCCGTAAAAACTAAGCCGTAAAATAGTCATCAACTCGACTCGACGGGATGCACATTAGAGAAAATACGGTATTACTGTCCTCAATCCATATCTCTTCTCAATCTCCCTTTTTTATTCCTTTCATAGATCGTAATCATGTCTCTTCGCAATAACAATGACATCATAGAGCAGAAATAAAAGGGAAAAGAAAGAACCGACAAAGAAAAGAGTTAATGATGCAATCGATCTATCAAATGAGTGACAAGAGAAATTAGGGAAGATTCAGTTACACTTCTTGCAAAGCTTTCTAATTTTCTAATTCTAATTTTTTATGCTTCATAAAAAAATCTTATTTTTTTGTGCTTGAACTTTCACGTTTATACAATTAGATTTTTGATTAATAGTAAATCTTATAGAAATAGCCAATTGAAGCTCTTGCTCTTGCCAATTGAAGCTCTTGCTCTTGCCAATTGAAGCTCAATTGAATCCATTGCCCTTTCAATCAGCTTTGAAATCGTTTAGATATTTTCATAATCTCATCAAAAAAAAAAAAGATTTTTGAAAGCAAAACGGAAATTTGATTGTGATTTTCGAATAGGGAAAAGGCATCGATTTTCTCCTTTTTTCATCGTTGAATCATCCGATCGGGTATCGAAATTCAGGAGAAAGAATCGAACACAGTTAGCTTGTTTTTTTTTCTAAAACTTATCAACTTTTAAAAGCTACCTTTAGTACCTTTAGTTTTATCCAACTATTAGCTTACACAATTTGTTCTTTATCATTTTAGAAAGTTTTAAAGCTATCATATCTTTTCTTCAGCGTTCTTCAGCATTTTTCAGTTATATGAGACTAAAATTTTTAAAAAATCAGTCAAAATTCAAAAGAAAGACTTCCAAATTATCCAATTTTAGACTTTAAAGTTCTTAAAAATACTTAGATTCATTCTGAAACTCGTTTTTAAAGTAAAGTAAAGTCAAGTCAACAAGTCGACTCGAATCCTTATCGAATTGTCATTTTTAAAAATTCCCCTAAAATTTTCCTTAAATATTTTAGAATGTCTAAAAGGAAATGAAATTGATTTTCTTTTAGATAATTTTACATAAAACTTATAATAAACTTATTCTAATCCAAAAGCAATTCTATTATAAATAAACTTATTCTAATCCAAAAGCCGTGGGTGGCTTCTGAATTCAGGCAATGAAAGGGAATGAAAAAAATGCGTAAAAATAGAAATTGTGGGGGGCTAATCGGCTTTTTCGTCTTTCTCACTGAGTGGTTTCATTAATCCGTTTCTCTTTTCGGATGATGGATTTAAGAAAAAAACATTTGAGTATCTCAAATATCTGTGAAATCTTAAATATTTAATCATCATCTCTCAGCTTTTCTTCCAAAAACACTCAATCCAATTCTCAAATGAGAATTTTACGGGTTTAAGTAAGATAAACCATAATTTAACGATAATTTAACGATAATTTAACCATAATTTAACCATAATTACCTAATTAAACCATAATTTATCCATAATTTCCAAACATTTTAAAACAAAATCATTTTTTTTTATTTAAAGTTTCAGTTAAAGTTCTTTTCTATAAATTCTCAGAATTTTAATCATTGAATCTTTTGATTTGATTAGATCTAATCTAAAAATCTTCTGCTTAAAGTAAAATTGTGAATGGCTGATTATTTTCATTTTGATTTGATACGGTTCCAATAGGGTTCCCATTTTGATCTAAAAGGTTCTAATACGGTTCCAATACGGTTCTTTTTTCGATCTAATACGGTTGCAATACGGTTCCAATACGGTTGCAATACGGTTCCAATACGGTTTCCATTTTGATTTGCTACGGTTCCAATAGGGTTCCCAATTTGATCTAAAAGGTTCTAATACGGTTCCAATACGGTTCCAATACGGTTCCCATTTTGATCTAAAAGGTTCTAATACGGTTCCAATACGGTTCCCATTTTGATTTGATACGGTTCCCATACGGTTCCAATTTTGATCTAAAAGGTTCCAATACGGTTCCAATTTTTATTATTTAGCGTTATTTTAAATAATTTTCTCAAATGTTTGAAGTCTAAAGCCGTTTAAATTCGTTGATCTCTCGAATGAATCACGATTTGCGAGTGATTGACAGTTGTTGACACGAATCTTTCTACTCGAATCCATTAAAAAAAATAGATTTGATAGGAAACCAACTAGCTTCTAGGCAAAATTTTCGAAATTCCAAAGAAATAGTTCACAAAGATGTAAAGCTTTAAATTGAAAATTTAAATTGAAAAATTACAGCTACAGTTACAGCTAGAGTAAATTCTCATTCTTTTTCCTTTTTTCTTTTTTATTTTTTAATTTTTTTTTTTTTTTTTTTTTTTTTAAAAAAAAAAAAAAATTCTTTTCTTTCTTTTTTTTTTTTTTTTTTTTTTATAAAAAAAAAAAATTATTTTTTTTTTTTTTTTTTTTTTTTTTTTTCTCCCCCCCCTTTTTTTATATTTAAAAAAAAAAAAAAAAACCAAGCCTTTTCCCTATCTACCTGTAACTGTAGCTGTAATTTTCACTCTAGCTGTAACTGTAGCTGTAGCTGTAGCTGTAACTGTAGCTGTAGCTGTAGCTGTAATTTACACTCTAGCTGTAACTGTAGCTGTAATTTTTCTTTTAGCGAAAATTATTGCAAAAAAATTGGCGCAAAAAGTCACGAGCGACAACTTAAATATGACTCTTTTTAAAGATATTCAACCGTTCAACTAATTTGGTGGCAAATTCCCTTCAAATGTAAAGATATTCAATTTACTCGACGTTTAAAGAGGATTACTCGTAGTTTCTTCAACCAAAAACGCCGATTAATCGAGTAAAGATTACTAATGCAAATTTTACTCGAGTGATTACTTACTCGCGAGGAACACACTCTATCTTTTACAGTTATATGTCTCTTTTTTTCAATGCCTAACATATTCTATGTTTCTTTTTGACTTTTAATATATATCCATAGGCTTCATTAATTGCTAAACCATACTTCTAAAGTCATTGTTTGTCTTAAAAATGCTCCCTATATTATCCATATAGAATCATAAAGTGAAATGGGGTGGTTAGAGAAAGTTCAAAAGGATTCACAAAGGAGGAAAGCACGGCTTGGTGCCACAATCGCTCAATAAAAATTGTGATTGATAAAATGAGAGGGGAAATTTCAAGGCAAGAGAGGCAGGAGAGATGACCACTGGCCACTTTCTTTGCTTTTCACAAATAAACAAAAGGATGAGCAAAAAGAATTCTTCTTGCGCTTTTTTTTTGCTTTTATAGCTTAAACTGATGGTATGATTTTATACTAGTTTTTCATAAAGACTTGCAAATGAAACGATATGCAAATTGAAAGCAAATTGAAAGCCAAGAGTACTGTTAGTTAAGTTGAAATATCAATGCGATCACTGATTGTTTCCTTCTTCATTTACAAATACAATCTCTTTAGCTCTTTAGCTTCTGAGCTCTTTAGCTTCTGAGCTCTTTAGCTCTTTAGCTCTTTAGCTCTTCAACTCTTCAACTCTTCAACTCTTCAACTCTTCAACTCTTCAACTCTTCAACTCTTCAACCCTCAACCCTATATGTTTCCTCTATTTATCAATACTATTACCATAAAGATCATAAAGATTCTTTTATTAAAATGACTAGTTGAATATTCCTGAAATCATAAAGAAATTACAATCCTTGCTATACTTGTTAATTTGATTAGCAAAAACCCTTCAACTTCAATCTTCAACTATTAGATTCTAGAAAACACTTTCTTCAAGCTACGATCTCCCGTTCAATACACAAAGCGATCGTACTGGCCTCCTCTCCCTCTCAGCTTTTTCCCTTTCATATCTCTCAAAGAGACTATACGGCTCCATCTCTTTCCCTTTTCATTTTATCTCTTTTCCCCTTCACAGCTGTCATCCTTGAATCCACGAAAACAATGACTCTTCCTTATCTTTTGGTCAAAAAAAGAAAAGAAAAAAAAACTCAAATTTACATCTAAAATCATTTTTTTTCATCCAATACCCGATTATTTAGATAATTGAACACTAGAAAAGTGATAATGTTAGGTTTCAATTTTGCTTTTGATTTGGAATAAAATTGAAAACGAAATCTGATAGATGGTAGAGTGAAAAAAATGATCAAAGATTTCTCGGAGCTCGTTTTTTCTGTTTTACGTTCGGTGTCCGGTGGTCAAAAGTGAGTGGATCGAATTTCTTCTCTAAGATTCTTTAAAATGGGAAAAGATCTTGGAGAGAGAAGGGTTTTGAAAAAGAGAAAAATCCTCTTTTTCTGATTTTCCCAACTCTTCAAAGATTTGAATGGAATCGGCGCAAAAGGAGCAATGAAAAAGAAAAGAAGAAAAGAAGAAAGGGTCAAGTTTGTTCACAGAAAACTGATCGATCTTTGCTTTTTCTTATTTTAGATTTTAAAGTTCTTATCTTTTACTGAATCAGTATTTCTTGATGTTTACGGAATCAGTATTCTTCGTGTTTCCAAACAGCACTCATTTTACCGTCACTCTAACTGTTGTCATACAGTTAGAGTGACGGCAAAATGTTGTATTAAATCGATAGCCTAGCTAGCTCTGGTATCAATTTTTTTCATTCTTTAAATCTATAGAGAATATAGAGAAGCTGAATCACGAAGAAGTTTAACCAAACCACAAACCAAGATCTTAATCTCTTTACAGTTATTTTTACAGTAATTTCAAATCAATGCACAAGATTTGTTACAAAATATCTCTGATCTAAAAGATTTCAGTTGCTAAACAAGTTAAGAGTCAAGTTTACAAACCCCGAGAGAGGCACAGTTTACTTTTCAAGCCTTGTATGCTCTCCAAGCCTTGTATCCTCTCCAAGCCTTGTATGCTCTCCAAGCCTTGTATCCTCTCCAAGCCTTGTATCCTCTCCAAGCCTTGTATGCTCTCCAAGCCTTGTATCCTCTCCAAGCCTTGTATCCTCTCCAAGCCTTGTATCCTCTCCAAGCCTTGTATCCTCTCCAAGCCTTGTATCCTCTCCAAGCCTTGTATCCTCTCCAAGCCTTGTATCCTCTCCAAGCCTTGTATCCTCTCCAAGCCTTGTATGCTCTCCAAGCTTTCCAATCCATCCATAAACAGGAAAACATATCCCTTTTTCCTATTCTCTATCTCTTTATGATCTGCTATGATTTGAAAAGAAAAACTTTGATGATAAATTTCCAATCTCTTTCCATTTCCATTCATCTTTCTTCTTATCCCATTCAATGAAATCTCGCGATCTAGACCTGTAATCATATCACTTTTTTTAAAATTGAAAATGGATGAATCTCTGGATTGTTCTAGATTATGAAAAAAGGAAAAATTAAAATCTAGGGTTTGATTTTCAACTGAAACTGAAACTGATTGTTGAGCTTTGGCACTAGGTTTATTTTAAGCTAATCTATAATCAAATTTTGAACCAAAATTTACGTTTCAAAAGAGTCACCCAATTGAACTTTATTTGAATTCCTTTTTCTTTCGTAACATACCCATTTCACGTACTTTAAGTGCTTGCTCTCTTTTTTAGCCTTTACCTTCAGTTTTCTGTGTGTATGTTGAAAGATCGATATCCATTCTTTTAGCGGATTGTTGTGAAAACTAGTTTTCACCACGAATAAGTGCCTGTTTTTTTTTCTTTTTTTCATTCGAAACCAGATTTAGATGTTCGGTTGATGGTATCGTAATTGGGTAATGTGTTTTGTGTTTTGAAATGCAGTTATCTTTGTTTTAAATTCTCTATTTCAGCTTTTAGAGATTTCAACTTTTCAACTTTTAGAGATTTCAACAAGAGTTTTTAGATTTCACTTCAAAGAGCAATCGTAAATGAGCAAGAGCATTGAGCAAGAGAGCAAGAGATAAGCGCAGCTGGTTGGGGCTTTTATCGGGTCGTGCGTGAGTGGAGTGAGTGGAATTGTGTTGATGTGAAAGGAGGAGAGAGGGATAGGATGCATATTGCTTCACCCAAAGGGGGTGAAGCGAGCGACAAGGCGACGCCGCTCGGCCGCTTCACGATCCTCTACCGTTCACCCTAACGCACAAATGTTTACTCTTTACTAGAGCTTTTCTTTCTACAGCATTTAAAAGTAAGTACAGGCTGCGGCAGGATTCTTGCAACTAATATTTTCAAGAATAGAAAACGATAAAATTAATTTAAATTTTTGGATTCACGAAAGAATTTCTTTTTTAAGTATGTTATTGTTGGAACTAGCATTAATGCAATAACTAACATTGGAATAACTGCTGCATCATGTACTTTATGCTTTGCGAAATTACTCAAAGTGGAGTGAGCGATGCAGGCGATGTCGCTCGGTCGCTTCACGATTCTTCCCCTCTTCGTACATGTACCCCTACTCCTACCCACCCATCTTTTCAGCGTTGAGCAGAGAACACTCACTCCTCTTTTCCTTTTCCTTTCCCGGCCTCATTCACAAACAAGTCCCCCCCCTTCTATTCCCCTTTTCTCCCTTTTCCCCTTTCCTTTTCCTCCTTTTCCTCCTTTTCTTCCTTTTCCCCCTTTTCTTCCTTTTCCCCTTTCCCCTTTCTCCACATGCGCATTGATCTTGCACACATATACATGCTGCTGGCGATATGGAAGATTCTAGAATTTCTAGAGAACTTTAATGTTAGTTGGAAAGTTGTGCTAGATTATATTCTCATAGTCGACTTCTCGACTTGCTACAGCATATGCCTTCCCTATTCTTAAGGATAAACTTATTTTATTTAACTTATCTATATCTATATCTATTATCCATTTGTGTACCACTTTTCTGTGCAATACCAAAATTTTATTCTGCTAATGATTCTCCTGATAGCATTTCCCTGATAGTGACTGGAGAAAATCGTTTGGTTAAAACATCCATTTCCACAATTTATCAATAGCCATATGCAGCTAGAATTTTGATTTTTCCGTACAATTTTTTTAAAATCTTATCGTACAATTTCTCATTTCTCTTTTTATTGATTCTTTTTCCCTTTTCCCCTTTTTTTTCACCTGTGCCGCTAGCGATTTTTCGCTGAAATGTCTCGAACGTTCTCTTTGTTTTTGGGTGAAATTTGAAATTTTGTTCATTTTTTTGTTCTCATCTCATCCTCATTTTTGCAGAAAGGCGATCTCAACTTTTAACATCAACATGGTGGCTAGAAAATGCAACAACAACAACAATAAGAAGAAGTTTGTTTTAAGAATAATATTTGAATAAGTAAATTGTTCTATTTTCAGCTCGGGCACTTTGAATGACAACAATAACAACAATGAGATGACAATCACTTTGTATCAACACAGCGAGAACAATCGATCGATCGAGATCCGCGTTGAGGAACATCCAACAGGTTTCTTTTTTCGGCCCTTTTTTGCCACTTTTCAATCATTCTTTTCTAAGCGCTAGTTAATGCTAAAAATATGTTTTTTTATCTTAAAAAATTACCCATTTTCTCTATTTTAATTTGATATCTAAGTGCGCAGAAACAAACGTACTAGTGTCGAGATCTGAGCGTTTATTTGAGTAAACTTAGACTACGCAACACGACTATTCTATTAGTTCTAAAAGTTTTAGGGGAGATTGCCACAAAAATTCTTCTACTTCTACTTGCAAATATTGTAATTTTTTAAAATTACCTAAGCTATCATAGTTATCAACAATATAAACATCAACAATCCCTTGCAAACATTCAAATTTTAGTTGCCTATCCGTATATGCAAAACGCGGATTGGTGTTTCCCATGTGAACTCATTGGAGCCGAGGGGAAAAAGATGAAAAATGTGAAGGCACGCTTCCATCCAAAAGCTTTTACAATGGCGAGAGAAGAGGAGAAATACGGGGAAATGCTGAGGAAAACGGCTGAAGAGGTGAGTTGAATTACTCACCAGCTGTAAATATTAAGCCAATCTAAATTTCTAGATCATGTTCTTAATTTTAGACAGCTCTCTCGATTCTCGGAGTTGAGGGATGGTTTCTGGAGCCGTTAAATCAAAACGATCTCGATCGTGACACAATCAAAAGTCTTCGAGCGATGTTTTCCATTCTAAAACCAGTCATCGAAACCTCATCTGAGAGGTTTAAAACTAAAATTTTGCTCTTCTTAATTCAAAGTTTAGCCTTGACTTCGTTTTTCCCCTGCTTGTCAGCGGCGAAATGGAGAAAGCCGACCGGAAACGCATCGAGCTCGGTTTGAAAGTGCTGGGAAAAGGAAAAGAGCTTAAATGCGAATCGCGTTATGCGGTGAGTTTACTGGTAATTTACTTGAGATAAGCCGTGCTTTCTTTTAGACCGATTCTCTGCACATTGATCTCAATTTTCAATCAGACACCACTTTGTTTCCCTTATGGAGTGTCGAGCTTCAGCATCCCGATCTCAGCAATTCAACGAATCTCACCGGAAACATTGAGGTAAATTTTTCAGCTCAATAAGTCAGCACTTTTCAAAGATGATCCTATGTAAAGTAAAACTCGGTAGACCTTCCACAGTGAAATTTCTTGAAACCTTTTTGAAACCCCTTCTCACTCACACAACAACACTCTTATCAACACAAATCTCAAGGTCGTTTTTCTTGGGGAAGTGGGGAGGCTATTAATGGTTGGGTGTTGAGAAGGCGATAACTGGAGTCTTCCGAAAAACGATAAAAAATGGGCTTGAATGGAGATTCTTTGTGAAGCGAGCACTGATAAGTGTAATCAGAACAAAGCAATGATCATTTTCAAGTCAATTTTTCGCTAATTAATAGTCTTCAGGTGTCCGCACAAAGTCTTCGAATGCGTTTGTTGAGTGGCGAGAAAGCGGCTGAGCTGTTCACCTCTTTTCCCGCAATACACATTGATTCGTATTCGACATTCGACGAGATGGGCAATCAACAAGTCAAGGTGAGGGAAATTAGTTTAGAGATTTTGTGGAATATCTGGTACTTTGTCAGTGGGTTGGATAAAATATCTGATAAGTCTGGTGTCTGATCGAAACTTTTGGTCTCTAGGGCACTGAGCTGCATTTCAATGATTGATTTCAATTCAGTTCTAGCAACCAACAAATCCTCTAAGTCTTGGCTTAATTCCCGAACCGATTATGCAGCTGGTGTTTGAGTGCTAGGGTTTTCTATTGTAACCTTGTAAACAAATATATTGCCCTGAATTCTATGTTTGCAATATGTTAAGTTCAATGAGAGCTCTTTCCCAATTTCCCAATTCTACAATTACTCTTTCATTGTGTTTCCTCGTGTCAAAGGGGAGACGTTGATGATGAATAGTTATTCACCGCAGACAAACACAAGAAAAAGAAGAAATAGGAAGAATCCCAGAAATTTTCCTTTCCCCTAAACCAACATGTGTGATTCAGACGATTGGGGAAATGGGCGCCATTTTTTTGTGTTGTTTTGGCACTGTTTTTGGCCTTGGGATTCGCGACCCCTTTCCGATATGAGAATGATTTATGCGTGGGGAGAACGTGATTTTTGTGAAAATTGAAGAGAAGGATTGTTGTATTGATTCAAAAAAGCTGCTCAAGCTTGTCCTAATTACTTTTTTGTAGGCACAGTTCGAAAGTTCTTTGGTGCCTTTTGAGTGAAATGATGTCAGCGTTGATTGGGATAGTGTTTTTAAGTGGATTAACTTGCTTTTAGCTTTAGAATTGCAACTGCATATTTGAAACTTTTATCAAACTTTAAGTAGAAATCAATGCCCAAGTCAATCCCTCGTTTCAGAACGACATTTTTCTAATTTAAATCCTCAATCTTAGTTTATGGTCCCTAATTCACTTCAACTTTCACCAATCCCAATTGTTCCCTCATTGTCCCGGTTTGTGCTCCATTAAATGATCACTTGCAAAGGGGAGATGGTTTAGGGAGAAATTTTTTTCAACTTTCCTTTTGGTTTGATGGGTGGAAGGGGGCTACAGTGGTCTTTCTCTCACTCTTTCTCTTTTCCCTTTTTACTCTCCATCCATTGCACGTGACCCCTCAGCCTTCCCCTTTTTGCTGAAAAGAAGGCCGCTCTTCGAAAAATGACTGCGCCCGGCACACACGAAAGGGAAAAAGGGGGAAGGCAAGACGAATGGCCTCCAATACACCGAATGGAGACTTTTCTGGAGGGGGATGAATCTCACCTCCTCTCTCACTTCTTTTCCAAAAAAAAAGGTTTTTAGAGTCACTGATCTCATGTGATCGTTGACTCAGCCCAAATTTGTTCATAGATTCAGTCTCGTTTGATAGCTTACTCCAAATCTAAGTTAGCAATTTTGAGTTTTCATTGGCGATTCATCAAGTTACTTGGATAGGTTTCGAGAACATAAATGTGGCTAGATTTTTTGATTCTATTAATCCGTATGCTAATCATTGGTTTATTAACAATGATACTGACAATGAAAGCTGACTTATCAGACCTGTTCCACCTGTAAGATTTGTAGAAAAAGGACTTGTTCTTCAGTGATTAAGCCATAATTTGATCAGTTATCCAATTCTAGACAAATATACCAATTCAAAATCGGTGATTTCCTTAAGCCAATGCCAAGAAACGTTCATTTTTCTGCTGAAAGGATGAATGTTTGAAAAATCGGCGCGTCAGTTGTTGATTTGGCATCACTTTTGAATCGAGATCAGATTGGGGAGGGGAGAGGGAAGGGAAAGGGTCTGTGAACGCGGAAGCTTCACCCTTTTCTACTCACATTTTCCCGATTTTTTCATATCTTTCATCAATCTTACGATCCTATGACATTTCTTTGCTCATTCAAAACAATATGCAAATTGAGGGGAATTTCTTATGTCTTTTGACAGTGTTTCACAACATCCGTGCTTTTGATCCATCTTTCACCCATCAGTTTATTTCAGGAATAGCAATCCTTTTCAATCAATTATCAGTACTTTCAGAAGATGCAATCGGTGCAAGAGATGGTGGATGATCTTCGGAAGAAACTCGAGCAGGAGATGTTGGCCTATGCGCAACGGAGTGAACAACATCGGGGGAAAGCTAGGAAGATCATGGTGGTCGATAAGAACAAAATGGAGGGTGTCTTCTCATTGGGTGAACAGGTGAGTGTTTGAAATAAAGGATAAGCAAAACTTGGCCGCGAGTTTTGTCTATCGTAAGTGATTGGTAAATTTCTGGTTCAACAAGTCTTTCTTTTGCGAAAAAAGTCTTTTTGCCTTCTACGGTGGTTCTATAAAACTTGGCACGTTTTAGAAAACCTATTAGTATTTATAATTTCAGATCGATATCCCTCGTATGATGCCGCCAACTTGTCTTCCTCCATTGGCTGTGGCAGTGGATGTCCCTTATTCTCCGTCTACTCCATCACCAAACTCTCAACAGCTCTCCTCATCACCGACCGATTCGATCGACTCGGGTGTTGGCTCAAGTCCGGCCGGATCTCCGAAAATCGCCGCCCCATTGTCTCCTTTCTATTCACGTTAGTTTTCTATATTGTTTTCTAGAAGTTAGTTTTCTTTTCTATTCACGTTATTCACCATGGTTATGAAGAAATTGTTTAAATATCTCCTTAGAACAATAAAATTCCAGAGCTCGGCTATCGCACTGGGTTCCGTCAACGCTCGTACAGTGAGACGTGCCCGGGATTGAAGAGTATCTTGAAGTGGCCACAGCCGAGATCCACTCTGACGAGGTAACAAATAAATAGCGATCAAGGATTTTTATAGATATTTAAGATTGAACTAACTATATTACTCTTTCAGATCCTCCTCTGACGCAAAGACAATCGAGAACGATCGTCGCTTCTCGCTTTCACCGAGTCTTGATGATGTTCCAGGTGAATTTCTCAATAGTTTTTTTTTTATTTAAAATCTTTATAGAAGAATCGCTGAGCACTCCACGAAAGAAACGGGTTTCATTCTCGGAAACAGTCGATACACGCATGTTCCGAAAGGGATCGTGCATTGAGGCACAGAAGAGACGAGCCGAGAAGAGCCGTTTGAGAAAAGAGAGGAAAATGAGGGGAGAAGTGGTGAGTTGTGATTGTTGATTTAAAAAAAAAGCAAACAATTAGAATCATTTATTGATATTAACAAATCAATTTAGACATCGGAAAGCGATCCGAATGAGGAAATTGACAAGGAAGGAAATGAAGAGGAGGGAAAAGCCGGCTTTCGAACTGACAATCGACAAGATAGCGGCTTTTGCGATGATGAAGAGCCACCAAAAGAAGACCCGGAACAAGTGAGTGATAAGCTAACTTTATTGGTTCTAGGGGTTAATGTAGTTCCTTAGGGTACTGTCCACTAGTTAATTACAGTACAACTATCGGTTTGTGGGGTTACTGTACTCCAAAGGATAGAGTACTGTTAAGTCTCACTACAGTACGCGGGGAGTTCTTCGGAATTGTTAAACTTTCAAATATTCATCCTCGCTTTGATTTTGAACTTGATACATTAGTAAAGACTCACCCAAAGAGTTAAATAGTCAAACCTTCGAAAACGACAATCGTAATAATAAGCTCATTTTCCAGAGCTGGATCCGCATGGTTCGCTCTCAGCGTCAGCGCTGGAGCTCGGAGAGTAGCGCCATCTGAACAACCCGCAAATCATCAATCTCAACTCAAATCTCCACAACTTTCAATCATTCTCGATAATCACAAATATTATTTCTTTCAACTTTGCCACAAGAACCCGAGAATTCGCCACTCTCAAAACTTGAAAAAAATCAATTTTACCTTTTGCTTGTTTTTCTCGCCGATCAATGTGCCCACACAAAGATCACCTGTAAATTTGTATGTACATTAGCTTCTTTTTCCAGTTTAAAACTTAGACAAGCAATCCGACTCTTTTCTTGTTGAGGATACGTGTGTTTTCCCAATATTTTGTAGTCTCCAGTGCAAATCTCTGCTCCTTTTTTGTAGATTTTTAGTCATACGTCATCTAAGTTAATGCGTGGTTCTTTTTTAAGGTTCAAATTCTTTTCACTCAAAAACCAAGCCAATCCGTTTATGTGTAAAACCCCTGAGATGTGAGTACAAAACCTTTTTTTTTTCGTTTGTTTTGCTTTTTTGCTTAAGTTCAAAGTTTTCCTGTACATAGCAACGCCTCGTACCTCTTTTCTGAAGACGATCAATTTTTGTTTGTTCGATTTGTAAATTTTCGCGTGTTTAATGGTCTCTTGAGAGGACTAATTTCCCGTAATGGTTAAGATATTTGGCTAATAGGATACAGTAACTCTAAAGCATTAGTAGTAGGCTAATGGCCTAATGCGATACAGTAGGGTCACGCTTTAGAAGTTATAGTTGTATCCTAGCCTATATCCTATATCATTCCGGGAAACTGGTTTTTCTCTCTCTCTTCGGCAAGTCTTCCTCTTTGTTTCCTTCAAAAATCACCCAATCTTCCTCCATTTTTGTCATTTTGTACGTGTATTCCCCCTCGAATCTATTGTAAATACTCGGTTCTCCAGAAATTTTTGAATCGCCTTAAACTGGGAGCTGATGTAGGGAAAGATGCCTTGAAGCCTTGAATCTAGCTTTGAAATCTCAACTCTACATCAGTTTCCCCAAGTTGATTGTTGATAATCTTATCTTATTCTCGTATTTATCCCCCCGTTTATTGTTATATGGAAAAATTTAGCGAAAAACCCTAAAAATTGGTACGGGCGTCACTTGGGTATCTCTTCGTTTTGTAGTCTCTCTGCCAAGTGCACCGAATTCTCTTTTCGAAATCGTTTTTTATGTATTTTTGTGTTATATGTGTAAGCAAGGGGTGTCAATGAGAGGTGAACACGGTAAGATCAATCCCTAGTCGTGATCTAAACCTGAGCTAGGGATATTCCAGGGTTTTATTCTGGATCTGCTTTTTTCTTCATATCCTAGCCAGCTTCAAATCCAAAGTCGTGACCTAATCATAGCTTGGCTGGCTAGTAATGAATAGAAGCTGTACCCAAGATCAAGACCCTGCCTTAGCCTTTACATCTATATAGAGCCGATCACCTCCCTATTGACACCCCCAGCACGTATCTCTGGGTGCAAATGTGTCCGCATTCGGCGAGATCGGTGCAACAATCTTTCAGTGCCCTAAACCAAGGGCACAAATCTCTATGTTGAACGTCCAAATGGAGTGTTCATCCTAAATTTGCCTTCCTCTCGCCGAATCGCACACTACGCACACTATTTATTGATTTATTTGTGACTTTGTTTGTGATTGTTTCCTCATACAAAGGAGTAGGGCTCTTGGGAGATAAAAGAAATTGTTTCTAATCGTTTAAGGTGTGTAGAAGCATACTAAACTCTAATGTACGCTGTACAACTACTGTAGCTATAGCTGTAACATCTGTACTTTCTGTATTTTGGTTTGTTTTTGCACACCAAAGCACGATCAGTAACAAAATCTCTAAACCCCCAGAAACTGATATAAAGCTTGTTCGGCGCGAAGTGTTAGATCTATAGAGATTTAGATCATACCATCATCAACAATAGGTTTTAGGCAACCCATTCGCTCACAAGCTTTTCATTGATGTCAAAATTTTCATATCTTCAACAACACTGACATCAATTTGAATAGGTCATCCTCAAATCTTTTTATCCAAAGAAGAATCAAAGAGGAATATTTTTTGACCTAATCGTAGTGTGTGTTCATAGATATAAATAGTCTTCGATTTTTTTTTCGATTTCGATTTCTTTTTCCTAGTTTCATAGCTGCATCTATGCTTTTGTTTTTTTTCTTTCTTTCTTTCTTTCTTTGTAAACTATTTGTAACGTATACAAGTTGGCAACTCATTCAACTCTTATTTGTTTGTTTTGCTTGTAGAAGATAAAGCTTGTAATATTTACATAAACTACAGAAATGTACAAAAAGAAAAAAAAAAGTTTAAAAAAAACCCGTTAAAAAGAAATTTGGTGAGAAGATTTTTGAGAAATCACACAAAAGAAATTGACTGAAATGTTGAAAGGAATGTTTTTTTTTTACAAAAATCTACAATTCTAAAACGTAGCAAACCTACCGTAATCGTTGTTCTAGTTTTATCCAATCTATCTTCTAATTAACTCCCTCTGGAGTGATGGGGATCAAGTGCGTTGTGGTGTAATGGTTAGCACAGTTGCCAGGCAAGTGAAAGGTCGCGGGTTCGAGTCCCGGCGGCGCAAAAGTTTTTGATCTGCCCTAGTTTCAACTGGCGGCCACGGAAGGGTGGGCTCTAATGCTGGCTAGGGTCTTCACACCTAGTTTCAAGCGGCGTATAAATCGTGTGGAACCGTCTCGTCCAGAGAGAAGAGAAGTTAAACTCCCTCTGAAGCCAGAGAGATCAAGTGCATTGTGGTTTAATGGTTAGCACAGTTGTCAGGTAAGTGAAAGGACGCGGGTTCGAGTCCCGGCGGTGCTCGTGTTTTTGATGTGCTCTAGTTTCAACTTTTCTTTCGTTCCATCTTTTCGATAGTTTGTGGATAGATTGAATAAATTGCCGAACATTACGATGGCTTAAGTACACCTTTTTAAAGAGAAGCCGGCTAATTTTAAGAAGCTTTTTACATTCGTCCATATGCATGATCTTCACGAGAGTGCAGCTGAATGGGAATCTCTTCGGAAATGATGGAAATCTTTTGTAGGTGATGCTCATCATCATCATTCTCTGTACACCATACTCTTGCTTCATCATCGTCATCCTCGATCACCACCTCTTTCTCAATCGAATGATACATGATGTCGGGTGGAGGCATGTCACGGTATCTGGAATACACATCAGCACTATAAACTACAAAAATGATGAACTCTCACACTACAAACGCTTCTAATTTGTTTCAAATCGACCGGATTGAGATCACCTATAGTTCAAAAAATAGAGAATCTAAAGAGCTTTCGAATGGATTAAAGCACACTTAAAAATAGCAATCCTAAAGAAAGTTACAGTGGTTTGTAGTCTTGACTCGAAACAGACCGTCGAAGCAATCGAGTCAGGCCACAAACCACTGTAACTTTCTTTAGGATTGCTATTTTTAGGTATGCTTTAATCCATTCAAAAGCTCTTGTGGTTCTCTATTTTTTTAGCTATAGATCATCTCAATCCGGTAGATTTGAAGCCAGTTAGAAGCGTTTGTAGTGCCTATATCTAATCTGGAATGAGTTGATGATAAAAGGCGTTGCTGTACGTCTTTACGGCTATTATTGTCGACCCAATCGACTGCTTTGCTTGTGTTTTCCTCACTCACTTGCTTCGTCGATTCCTCGGCCCTCTCCTTTGCCCATCCCTAATGTGATTGTTATAAATGTGTCTATCCAAATTTCTCTTCGTCATGGCCGCATAATTGCATGATGGGCACATGTAGGGTTTCTCTCCTGTGTGCGCTCTCTCATGGACACGTCTTGCAGAAGTTGTTCTAAAAGTTTTTCTCAAAGGTCTAGCTAAACCCAAAGGTTTTTTTTCTCTCAGCAATTTGTATTACCTGAATTTTTTATCACAATAATGACATGGGAAGGGTAATTCGCCGGTGTGGACTCGATAATGAGTTGAGTAGTTGTGTCTGTAAAGTCGTAGACCACAAGCTGGGCATTCCATCTTTTGTCGATTCGGATCATCGTTCGCGTTTGCAAGAGCACCTTAAAACTCTTTTACATCGACTTGTCAGCTGAATCATTTTTTATTCCAAGAATATTGTAGTTCTGAGGATTTGACTAGAGAATCCTTTATTTCAGGTCAATAAATCAGCAAAAGCAATCTTGGGGAAAAAATTCTTCCTAACTCACCGATAACTTTCGGATATAAAAAAGCCGGATACATGCCACCAACGCGTCCAAACTCGATCTCATCCGAATCCTCATTCGCTTCGTGTTGCTCGGGATTTTCTTCCAAATTCTCCATTAACTCGCCACCATATCTGAATAAAATAAAAGTGAAATTCGCTTTTGAATATATAGCCAATATATAGCCTTTAGCCTTATGCCAAATAGTCTTTAGACTCCTTTAGCATTAACTTTATCTACCAATTAATTATATAATTTCAAAAAACTCACTCCATATCTGGTGGGGAATCCTCTAATTCTTCTTCCTCCTCATCCTCGTCCTCACCGCTGTCCTCTGTGATTCCATTCAGATTCATCTTTTCTTTGTCCTGAATGATTTTATTTAGATTTAATCACAGATTTCTGAAATTTATGCAAATTTATTGCTTACCTGTTGTGGTGAATCTAGTGGTAATGGTTGTTCGACGGTGACCATCAATTGTACTCCGCCGGGTCCAGTAATCGTTTCCCCGTAATTTCTCATTGCCACATCTTTCCGTTGATGGTTCGCAAAGGTCTGTAGAAATGGATAATTTTTTTTACTAATGTAGAATTTCAATTGATATTTCATCACTGTATACACTTGATGAAATCTTACTCGTCTTTCTACATCTCTAGAGGTGGATGGTTGTTGATGATGTCCTCCAAATCTTGATTTTGTGGAAGATTGGCTAACATCCTGCCGAATTGACACATCCACCGCACGTTGAGTTGATTGGGAATTTGCCTGAAAAGTTTGAACTATTACTTTTCCACAGGCATACTGTCGATTAAATTTTCTAAATGATGTGCTTCGAAAAAGTTACCGCACTTCAGCTTATTCTCAGATTCAGTGCTTACCTTGGTCACAATTCCGGATACTGGTTCGGCTACCTGAGCTCGAGACGTCGATGGAACCACGCGGAAATCATTAAACGCATTCACGACTTCGTTCTCAAAGGCGTATCTCACACAGGCTTCAACGTGCCAATGAAATTCGATCTGAAGATTTTCTGTGTGAGTTAGATAGGTGCAAATTCCTCGAAAAGCTTCAGCTGATTTTTAAACATTTATAATCCACTGTTGGTTGTGGGCTTTTGCTATTCTATTATTGTTGACAAGCAAACCGTACACTTGTCTTGAAATCCTTCGTGGTTTTTGTGCATTCGGGGCAGCGTGAAAGTGATCTTCCGCCAAGATCTCCATCGCTGAACATCGACCTGAATTGTCGTTTTTATGTTGCATTGGGCAATTGGAATATGTTCTTAATGAGTGTTAGGATTTTTGTGGATTCCAATTCAATCAAGCACCAATTTCCTACAAAGATCATTTCATGGACACAAAAAATTGGGTAATCAGTTAGGCATTAACCATGATTTTTTGGCACAACTTTTAAACTTTTTGCACACTTTATTAAATACAGACAATCACAATAATACTGTTTATAAAAAGCGCTTCCAAACCTTTACAAAGGAATAGATATGATAAAGAACTCTGTCAAAAACAATGCAAAGTACCCAGAAAAGTCAGCACAACCAACAAAAAGGATGAAACGATTATGTAGATTCTGCATTAGCCGCATCGAGGCGAATTAATCGATTGCTGTAATTGGCGAGCTCGGTAATTGTCACACGTCCACGTTGATTCACAAATTGGGCTACTAAAATTGATCAGACTTTTAAAATGGTTCCTTTCAGATGAAGTGTTTTCTAAAAGGTGCGCTTCAGAAAAGCTACCCGTACTCTTTTAAACTTCAATTAGTAAAGTCATAACTTTTTCTAATAAGATGTTGACGGGCACTCAAACATTGAAAGCTTGAGCTTCGAAATGCTAGAGGTTCCAATGATTCTACCTGCATCAAGTTCTTCTGTTGTGATGTAGATGAATTTCCCTCGATCGTCCATCACGCCTGTCAAATCACCGTTTTCCATGAAGAATTTCACTCGTTTCACCGCCTCTTCAGTGTTGAATCCAAAATGAGCTCCTAATTCGTCCATGTTCACAACCTGAAGAAATTGATGCTTGAAAAATATTTCTATGAATAATATACAAGTTTGAAATGTTTGAGTACCTTGCTGTCTTTTATATAATTCACGAATTGTAGCATCAGATTTTCGGCCTCCTCTCCAACGATCTCATCGCAACCCTCTTCTTCGACGATGAATGACTCTTTTAACTAAATAAAATTTAGAAAAAACAATTTGCCTGTTCACCTTCAGATATTCTTCAAGTTCTCGCTTCTCCCGTTCTTCTTTCTCTTTGCGGAGTCGTTCCAATTCAGCTTCTTCCTCTTGTCGCTCTCTAAAAGAAAATTTAAATACATAGTTGCATAAGATTTATAACTTTAAAGAAAATAGAAATAAACCAACTTTTCCCGTTCCGTTTCTCGTTGTTTATCCTTTTCGGCTTCTCGTTTCTTCCGTTCCTCTCTTTCGACAAGTTCTGCTTCGCGGGCGGCTTTTTTCTCAGCTTTTGCTTGCAGTTTCGCCAGCTTTTTGGCACCGATTCCTTCGTGATTTTCGGGCAAATTCGAGAAGTCTGCCCCATTTTCACCTTGAAATTGACGCTTAATTCTAAAAGAAATCCATTTATTCGGTTGTACCATCAGAATTTTCTTCTTCTTGTTGCATTAAGTGTTGAACGAACCCATCTTCGTCGTCGAGATTCACTCGTCGCCGGTTTCTTGCTCGTCGACCACCCGCCACTGTAAAACATAATATAACAAAAATACATCTTCTAAAATCACTTTCAAATCTTTATCATCTGCATTTTAAACCAAGTCACTGACAACAGCTCACCGTTTTGTGCTCGTCGATCCCCTTCATCATCATTCTGCATCATTGCCATCATAGCGGCTCGTCGCTTTTTCGCAGTTTCCTCGTCATTTCGCACCTTTATCACCCAAACAATGAGAAGAATTACGCTAAACAAATGGCAATTATAGTTTTCACAAGTTTAGCACTGATTGGTTAGTAAAAAATAACTTACCCAGAGAAAATGATTGCGACTGAAAAAAATAGAAACGGGTTGAATCCCTCTTCGTGTTTGAACGGTGAGCCCGCATCTTTTTGCGCCTGGTCTTTGCTTTCAACCATCTAAAACATGGTTTTCGTGTCAGTAATACTACATTTGGAAACCATCAAACAGTGCAAAATAATAAAGTAATTACGTCATTGAAAAACACATTTCGAATTCAGCTAAACTGATTTAGCACGTTTATTGAACAATAAACATTAAAAAAAAAGACGCACCAATACAATCAACAAATAAATTCAAATTCACAATAGATAAATCAACAATAGAGATCAAAATCAATACGGGTAACCGGGTTGAAATCTGAAGAGCCGACTTTCCTTGCGACTCCCTTTGCCGAAAGTTTCTCATTGGCTTGTCGATCGGCCATTTGTTGTGAAGTGAACGGGCCCTCGATTTTCGCATCACCTGATTCCTATAAAAAATAAAGTTTATGGATCTTAAATACCATTAAGAAAGTGTTAAGAAACGAAAATCTTTTAAAAGAGACAACACTCACTTTATATTCCCACATGATTTCTTCGTCTAATATCTGAGTATTCGTTTCGGTTGTAGCCGAAGTAGCAGCAACTAAACAAAACAAATTAGTTAATTATTATTTTCTTCTAAAAATACTGACCTGATTCATCACCAAACATATCCACATCGTCTACTGCAACATTGTCCAATCTTTTCAAGTTGTACTCAACTTTTTCTCGGTTCCACTCGTAGGCATCCATCTGAAAGAAAGAAAGTACGGAAATCAAGAAAACTTCTAGAGAACGGTGTAAAATTCTTACATGGCCCGCGGAGATCAGCTCATCAGCAAGTGCACTCAATTCTGTAGTCAGTTTTTGATTGTTGTCCGAATCCAAAGTTTTGCCCTCTTTTTTTGCCGCCCATCGAAGCTTTCGTTCTTCGGCTGGTGTTAACTCTAAAAAAAAATGAATGATTAATAAATATAAAGTTTAACTTCCATAAAAACTTGAGTTATACTCACTCTTTGACTTTCGAATCTCAGAAAGCGCCTTTGTGACGGATTGATCGGGTTTCAACAGCTCGATTAGTAGTCTAAATCAAAAAGTTATTTAAAAAATGCAACAAAAAAATTACTTGAAGATCTCCTTTCTTCTCCCATCATCCATTGTTGGTGGCAACGCTTCTTCTTCGTCCTAAAATATCAGTAGAAACTTAATTTCGTGTCAAACCTACCTCGAACTTCTCCCAATGCTCGCCAGCCTTCTTCTTGATGTGACCCCAATCGATGTTGTCCAACCACGCGTCTTTTATATCCTAAATATTGTAAATTGAACAATTACTGAAACAAGCTTTACCTCTTTGTTGCGGTCAAAGATGAAATTCCCGGTCTCGTCAAAGTGACCCTCTTCCTCGTCTTCTTTCATATTGAATGGCGTGATCTTGATGTTTTCATCGAAGTCGAGAGTGCTATCTTCTTGTCCTTCAATCTAAAATCGACAATAATCAAAGAGTAAAATAATAATGTTACCTTTTTCGAGTCCATTCGTTTGTGATCCTCGTCCTCTTCTTCATCGCTGTCCAAAGTGTGCTTCTTTTTCTTCTCGTCTTCTTCTAAAAGATGAATTTATTTTATTCGGACAAAAACTAAGTCAAAGCCAAACTCAAGAACTAAATCAAAACACTACCTGGTTCATCAAGACGCGGGATCTTTTTGGGTACTCGCTCGTTATCATCGTCCTCGTCGACAACGGTTGCTCCGTCACCCTCGGCAATTCGCTTAAGGAAGCGTCGATGTTCCTCGGGATTTCCAGTAAATCCTCCAATTTCGACGTTCTCGGCGAAAGAAACAGTCTTCTTTTCGGCCATCTTAAATCTTAAAAAACTTAAAGTACTATACAAACAAGCAGAAACGTTAAAAAAAAGTCCGTGTAAACGCGAAAAGATAAGAAAGGAACGACTAATGGGCTAAAATGATATATAGAACCCCACTAAACAAAAAAATATGTGCAAAACAAAAAAAAGTGAGCCTTTAAGAACAACAACAGCGCGTATTCTTTTTTCGAATAAAAAGAAAGAGGATGAACAAAGCTTGCAGCTTTGACTTTCTAAAGACTGACCGGATACCGTACTTTTATAGCTTGTTGCCGAAACGATATGAATTTAATTTTTTACGTCGTATATTTCTCCGTTCCTTGTTTTCCTCTTTTTTTCGCTATTTTATGTTTACGAGCTTAGACTGTTTCTTTTCAGCGTTCATGGTCGTCTAAGAAGTCGACTTTCCAAGGACTTACCGGAAGTGACCCGCGAAAGAGACTCAAGATGAAGACAAAGAAGCCGTCAAGGAGAAGAAACCCTCAACAAAGGTTTGGATTACCTTAGTTTACTAAATTTTTGACATGTGCTGGTTATGACTTTTTAACCTGGTTCAGTCAGCGTAATTTGGGAGTGTTTCGAGCTTTTCTGTATTTAAATCGAATTAAACCACGAATGACTTGTCAGTCGAACTTGCCTTGATTAGTAATGATTTGCCACATTTAACGACCTCAAAAACAGTAAAAGAACATTAGTTAAACAAGCGACATTTAAAAATTCATAAATAAACTACCAAGTTATTAAATACATTTTTTTAGGGAACTCGGCAGAAACGACGGGCAAAAGAGGCTCGAGATGAAAAAAGAAATCTCGTCAAGGAGAAGAAGCTTTCAGTAAATGTTTGAATCATCTAGATTGCTAAATCATAAGCTACCTAAATATTCTTTAAATTTTCATTAGGAAGCTAAGAGACGAGAAAAATTGATCCAGGGTAAGAGTAAATTCAATGAACAAAGAACGTCGGCCTAGAGTGAGAAGCAACTTGAAGAATAGTTGAAATTGAAGAACAAAGGAAGCTGAAGAAAGTCGATTCAGGTTGGGCATTCACAGACACCGGATTTGGTCAAGATTTGTAAACAATTTAGCACAGCAATATTAAGTGGGCTTAGGTGACGCAGCTATTAGATGGGAATAGCTTAAAGCCGGAAGTGAAGAAAGAAGAAGTTACTGAAAATGATGAACCTCCAAGCAAGATCAAGGTGAAATGTCGGCAGTTTCGGCAATAATCACTCAGCAGCACACGCGGCCATTGTAGTCGATGTCGCGCGCCGTAAAGTTTTCCCGGATGTTATCACCAACGGGCAGATTGTGATATGTTCGATGGAGGTTGATTGGAGTCAAGTTCGACATTTCGGCGGGAGTTATGTCATTTTCAATTGTTTGCGCTTGAACGCTTGAACGAGATTGTAAACTGGCCACGCGATACTTTCAATTGATGGCTTGTCAAAGAACGACCCAAGTGATCGTGTCTCAAAAGTGGGAGAGTTCCGAACTGAGATTGTGAATGAAAAGTGGAGTAATAGTGCCAACAGTTCTTTGCGAAGAGTTTCATCCCACTTTCATTAGCCCATTTGAGCGTTGCCCACTGAAAGGGAAATTGACGAAAACGCGAAGCACACTCCGGATGTTTGACGGGAAAAGCAAGTCCATTATCGATGGCAGCCAAGCGGATGGTTTGACCGGGAACGTGCTTGATCAGCCAATTGTCCTTGTGACGATCGGTATTTCGAATGACATAATCGAGGACACACATTCGCTGGAACTGGTAGCTGGTAGCTTCCCTCTTTCGGCCAATGTTCAATGCCACCATATGAGGTCCAAAGCCTCTTGTAGAAAAACGATGAGGAGGCCAACTTGATGACACGGGTTTTTGAAACGATGTGAAGCTCGAGCTTTTCGTCAACAAGACTTGCGGCCGCCACGGACAGATAACCGTTGTTTGGAATGAGACACGTGCGTCCAAAGCAGCAGAAGCACAACATTTTCTGGAAAAACTTTGGCGATTTTGAATTAAGTAGTGCAAAAGGCTCCTCGTCTTTTGGCTTGAAAACGGTCAGATAACGTCCATTCACGTCGCGCACAAAATAAGAATGTTAGGCTGTTAACGTTGATGTCAGATGTAGAGAGTGCTGCGGAATTTGTAACTATTTGTAATTTTCTATATGATAGAAATCTTTAGTCTGGAGCGTCAATAAAGAGTAAAACGGAGAAGAAGCAAGTCGATCCAGGATGGGAATTTTCAGCCACCGGATTTAGCGCCGAGGATTTGGTCAAGGTTGATGGAAAAGTTGATTTTTTTGTTTTTTTGGGGACTTTTTGTCTTCATATTGAATTATTTAAGGAACAAGTTTTCATTTAAGGTATGGATCCTCTACGCGTCGTTCTTGATGTCAACAAAACGCTTTGATGAGGCGAGGGATTTGCTGAAGAAAGCGCTCAATTGCTTTGCTGGGCGAGGGATTTGCTCAATTCAGTTCCAAAAGCAGAACGTTTGTTTTATGTAGGATTATTTTATAATCGTTATACATTAGATGTTACACTCATTTCTCGTTTTGCGACACTCGAGTTTGAGGAAGGAGACATGGAACGAGGAAGGACATTGTTCGAAAATGTGCTGAGCAATTTCCCAAAAAAGGTAAACACTTATTTTGTGACGAATAAGGCGCGACGTGTTTTAGGTCGACGTATGGATTGTGTACCTGGATGACGATGAAATACGATATACAGGATACTATAAGGTGGGTTCGATAAACTGAGCTTGGTATATTGGCTTTTAGGAATTTTTTCGACCGAATTTGCTCGCTCTCACTCACCAACCACAAACAGAGGCCATTTTACAAAAGATGGGCCGAATATGAAGCCAAATTTGGTGATAGAAAGACGCGAGATAGGTTTGTTATTGACGAAAGCAGAAGTTCACTAAATTCCAATTTTTAGGTTCGAGAACTAGCTGCGAAACGATATTCTTAAATTGTAATTGCTCTTTGTACATTTTTTTATTTGAATTGTTGATTTTTGTTATTGTTTTTGGATAAAAGTTTTATTAAAATTTCCCTTTGGCATGAAATTTGGAGGGTTTCGAGCCACAACTCCATTTTTTTCTTCTTTCTTGTGTTGAGCGCCGGGTCTTTTGACGAAACCCGTAGTACTGTATGTGTGACAAAGCTCTTACATTTTTTGGCATTTTACAATCTAATTCCGCCTGCTAGACAATCAAGGTCAAAAATGAGAAACGATCAATTAAATGAAATTTCTTTCTCGTTTAAAACTTTTTCTTTCTTTCTTTCTTTTATACAGGCATATGTATTTGCGATTAGCACAAAACATTTGAACTATTTCGTTGAATTTAATCTAGAATAGCGTTATATAAATTCCATGCTGCAGAATTTTTTTATCTCCGGATTCATTTACAAAACATCTTAAATTTTGTATCAGAGTTTGGCTAAAATTGGACTTTTTTCACGTTGTTTTTCATGACTCTCTTGTTATTGCACAATCTTGTGTAGACACGATTGTGCAATAGCGAAAAAAACATCGATTTCTCTTTTTTCAGATTGGGTATTTGTATGGAGACCGCTTAACTGCAAGGGAAAGCCTTTCATTCACCGTGAATTGGAAGGCAATTGTTGATTCTTTATCTTCATTTGTTACCTGTTATTTGTTATTTCTCTTCAATTTTGCTTAATACGGGTTGTCAATCTCGCGTTAATTTGATCGCCATGGAACAGAAAGAACTCCTTGTTCCATATTTGAAGGTAAGATTTTAACCTATTTACTCAACTGGGGCAGTGGTGTTGCAAAACATTCTTAAATTTACGTTTTCATTTAGGGTGACGCTAATGCTACGATTGCCTATAGCCGGATGTGTCGCTCACTTACCACTTTCAAAGAAGCCGACGAAAGCATGAAAGCAAATCTCATGCAACAACTCATCGAAATGGGAGAGTTTTTGGGCGAAAACACCACCGATCTTGTCAAACAAATTGTCGTACGTTTTTTATTTCCGATAGTTTTTTTTAATTGTAAGAAAAAGAATCTAATTGTAAGAAATTATGGTAACTTTTTATATCTCTAGAACATTCCGTGGTGGAGCATTCCGAAAGCACTCATTCCCGGCTATCAGCGTCTTCTTCTCGACACGGCACTTCATTTCAGTCCGCATATTGAACTTGTCTTTCAAGCTTGCGTCTACAACTTTAAACCAGCAATTGGTAAATTTTTGCCTACTTTAAATTAAAAATCTGACGCGTTTCTATTATTTTGTTTCAGGAAAAGAATACACCGATCAAGAGTTGGATGAACAGTTCAAATTGGCTCATTCTCTCATTGTACAGATACTTCGTTGTGTTCCAATGTGGGTTTTGGAAATTTTATCAAGAAAATTATCTATTTTTTAGGTCTGTCAATCTACTCTACAAAATTATCACCAAATTTCCTCATCACAGTGTAGATACAAAAGTTGTTTATTTTTTCAAACGATTCATACATTTCGATTTTAGCTCTACGTTTGGTATTTTCGAAATGTGGTTCTCGTTGGAGAGTGTGCTCCACAATTGCGCTTTAAACTTTGGGAAGCACTTATTCAAAACCTACTGGTTCTCGACGTACGATTTAGCAGATTAACTTTTAATCAATTAAATTTAGGCTTACTTGTTGCACAAGAATAACGACAAAGAGGAGAATGGAGAGGAGCTGAATATCTTCAAGCTGGTTTGTGCCAAAAATTATATTGGTTTGTAACAAAATTTTCAGGACGAGGAGACCAATGAAGAAAAAGGGCAAACGAAAGAGCCGGCATCGAAACAACAAGAGACTTTGGATGCGTGCATGTTGGTCGTCTATCAGTATATCACGCGGAAAATGGGACATGTTGTTGAAGGTAGCTTCTTGTCTTAACTTTTGGCGTACCTCTATGTGCCCAATTGATATTTCAACGTTGTAAAAGTGTTCCTTCTAAATATCACTATCAATTTTGTTTTAAATAACATCAGCTTTTTCATTTAGACGCACCTTGGCTTCGACTCGGGGAAGATGTTGACGTTTTGCAACTCTTGGCCGAGCCTTTCGAGCTTCATCTTCTGATGTCTGGTGATGCAAGCATTGTGCCGTTCATCTGGCTATATGCTTGTAGTCTCAATCCGGTAAGAATTAGTCTTTCGTATTTTAATAAGGTTTTTGTTTAGCGATATCCATCACAATTCTTCGAGACACTCTGGCATCGGATTACCCTTCCACAACGAGCACAAAGTGATGCGAAGAGGAGCCAGAATGGCGCGTCACTTCTGGCAGCGTTCTTGGCTCGGGCAAGCTATGTGGATACTGAGTAAGTTCTATGATTTCTATTAGGTACCACTGCTCTGAGCGACCAATGGGTTTAATCGTTAGTCGTTTGACATTCGAAAAAATGTATTATACGTTGAATTTTAGTGAGGCGTTCGATTGGTTGAGACGAATTTGTGATTGGCTCCTTTCTTACATTGATTCGCAGGTGGGAAAAATCTTTGTGTGATTCTTTTCAAATGAAAATTTTAGACAGGCGTCTCCAGTGCATCGCCCGCCCCAGGAGCGTTGAGACACGGCACATTCTATGCACTCTGCCAGGCTTTCTTCATCATTTTCTGCTTCAGATATAAGCGAATTGTTGCCAATGCACAAAGTTAGTGTGTTTTTTCTCTATTGTTTAAGTTTCAAACATTAGAATGGGATCAAGTTCGTAGTTGGAATTTGTCACGTATTGTCAACTCGTACCTCGATCCGCTCAAATTTATCAGTCGCCCTGTTGCCGTTTGTTTTGCCACAATTGCTCGGTTAGTTTCTAGATTAGCTAAAACAAACGTAAATCTGTAGCCTCGGCAATGTTTTTTTTGTTTAGTTCGCTTCAATTGGTTTACTGCTCACACCAACTGGCTGCCGTCTCGAAAGGCGACAGCGCACAACCATTTGAGTCGTCATTTCCACTTGATTCATACAGTTTGCCTACGTAAGTTCAACTACCTTGGCGCATTTTGCTCTGATCTCATTAATTTTATTTTAGAACCTCATCGCTGATAACTCCATTGATGCGTCATTTCTCTCCATTGGCTGAAGATTTGCCAATTTTGAAACAAGAATTTGCTCAAGAAAAGGCCAAGAAAAAGGTTTGAATTGATTATCTAGCAAAAAACCTTTTATTTGTTTTAGTCGCTGGTTGCATCGGATCTTGAGGACTTTGGTGAATCGTCATTGGCATTCCTTGATGAGGCTGAAGAACCGATGATTCTAGGTTAGTTAGAGTGTTGTCTTTATTTTTATGGTTATAATTTAGTTCAAAGCAAACAAGCCTTCATAGTTGAAGAGTTAAGAGAAAACAAGCTGTAAGATTTATTCTCAGGTTCACCAATGAACATCTCGGCTTTTCCGATCTCAATAGAAACTTCCGGTCGCTTGCCGCATCAGTTTTCTTCCTACTATTCGACTAGTCCTGGATTAAAGGTACAGTGCTATCATTAAATACCGTATTTAATCTGATTGAAGCACTGGACTCCTAGTTTTTATAACATATTTATTAGATTTTAACAACACATAAAGTTTCTAGTAACATTTTTTAGGTATTCGACTTTGGCCAGACGATGAACATGAATAAGTTGAGTGGAATGCGATAAAAAGATACTGTTCTTGTTATTTCCTTATCTGGGTTCACTTTTCTCTTTCAGATTGGTTGGTTTGTTTTATTTTTTTTTGTTATTTGTATAGAAAGCTGTTGATTTTGTCAAAATTTTCAGTTCACATAAGGCCTAGTCACATAATTTGAACCCTATCTGCCCAAATTTGTTTAATTTGTTGTTCAGTGTTGATTTTGATAATTTTACTTGTTATCACCAATAATGCCTTTGGTTTGATCCCTGTTACTGTTATTTTTTTACGTTGTCATGTACTAGAAATCTTATGGGTAAAATGATAAATTTTTGTGTTTTTCAAAAAAAACAACGTCCAAATGAATTTCGGGAAAAATTCTTGGGGCAATGCTTTTAGACGACGAAAATGTTTGATGATGATTCAGCGCTCGACGGAGAAAAGAAGGGAAGGGGAATGGATGTGAATCGATCAGCACATTTTAGACACCTCGAAATGTGAATTTGCCTGTTTTTTTCATCTTTTCATATAGTTTATTCACTGTTTCACATTATTGGTTCTTTAAGCTGATAGATGTTTATCAATAACTTTCATAAAACACGTAAACTTTGGCCTTCTGACACATTGAAACTTTCATTTTTAATGGTGTCCCGGAATTTTCAAAACAGCTCTAAGAGATGATATCTTTTATTCTTTAACTTTTGTAAAATTCTATCCTATTTCCAAAAATCTTCTCAATAAATAATAGAGTGATGCCAGTCGATATCCCGTCGACGAGGTCAGTGACAGAGCAGGGTTGGTCTTTAAACCATGGGTCATAAGCATGGTCTAATTTGGAAAATTCTTGAAGAGTGAAATTCACCTTTAATAATTTTCTGAAGAACCTTTCTTTCATTAAAGCAAAAAACAACTTTTCCCAAAAAAGCTAAAACATTTGCGTTCGGGGGGAATCGAACCCCCGTCGAATGCTTGGAAGGCATCCATGCTAACCATTACACCACGAACGCCCCATTCAGTGGGGAATGAAAAAGGGATCAAAAGGGATGCGCCACTCTTTTCTCTTTAGACAATTCAGATTTATTCATTGACTTTTGTAATTTCTATCCTATTTCGAAAAATTCGATCTTCTCAATAAATAATAGTGATGCCAGTCGAGGATTTACCCGAGATTTTCAACTCGCTTGACACGATTGGTGATGGGAAGATCTTTGTGGATCAGGTATGAGAAAATGAACAACGAAACACTTTGATTCGCACTTTGATTTGATTCTAAATGCTGTGTACTGCATCTGAATATTCAAATCAAAATTATTGAAACTTTTTCAAAGATTAGACGATTTTCAGCTTGGCACATGTCTTCGTGTTGCCGGACTTACCCCCACTGAGGCGATTCTCGTAAAGATGACTAAACAATGGGCTGAAAATTCGGGTCGGTTTTGAAAAGTTCATTTCGATTGTTGATTGATTAGATGGGTGAAATGATATAAACGTTTCTTTCCAGAAGCTCGCCTTTCCGTACAGGATGTCACCCCGATCTATACAAATGTGAAAAAGGTTCGGAAAGGCAAAGTCGAAATTGAAATATGTAATACCAGGAAATGGGCACCGATGCTGCGTTCGAGACGATTCACGCGTGTCTCTCGCATTTCGATCGCGAGGGAAATGGCACCATCACTCATGCAGATCTCCGATACATTTTATGCTCGTCTGGTTGGGTTTTCATTGATAAGGGAATCGATAAAGTATTCAAAATTCAGAGGAAAATCCTTTTTCTGGCTTACCGTATTTCTTCGAATAGAAGACCGGGTAAAGAGTATCATCGCGTACTCCTGTGTAGCAGCCCTTTTTAAAATTTCTTTTCTGCATAAAAGCTTTCAATCAAGTGCTATAGAGCTGGAAAATGGCTCAAAAATCTGTTAGCTCATGTGGTATTTTTGAGTCATTTTCCAGCCCTAAAGCACTTCGTTGAAAGCTTTTATGCAGAAAAGAAATTTTAAAAAGGTCTGCTACACAGGAGTACGCGATGATACTCTTTGCCCGGTCTTCTATTCGAAGAAATACTGGTTGGCTTCAAAAAAGTATCACCTAAAGATACAATGAAATTAAGGCGCTACTCTAAGCTTTAAATCTAAATTCTAAATTCTAAAGCCTAAATTCACAAGATGCCTCAAAGCTTAAAGAGAATTGGCTTTAGAATGGCTTTAGAATGACTTTACCCAACGTTACGGTACTGTTTAGAGCAATTTTAAAGTTTAGGTGAGCGTCTATCGGATCGCGAACTCGAGCAGATTATACAGGGTTTCTTTGCCGCTGATGAGAGTAATGTGAGCATCACCGAACTCGTTAAACACATTCAATCACTTTAAAAAGAAGAAAAAGAAAGAAACGATCAGTGATCATGTTGAAATAAAGATTTAAGCTCTATAGAAAGCAGTAAAACAAAAACAAACCTATCATTCAATCAATAAAATATTCAAAATTCAGAGGAAAATCTTTTTTCTGGCTTAATTGGCTTCAAATAAGCATCACCTAAAGACACAGCATGGTAATTGACTGACCAGAGACTATTTCAAAATTCAGAGGAGAGATACAGAGATTCAAAAGTCGTGCCTATCAATCAAACCCCAATTCACGCAGTTCAGGTACGAGTTGGCAACTTTCCAACCATAAATTCTAAAATACACCTAATCTACCGTACTCGAGACTCTTTCCCCTATAAAGGAAGCTACCATTTCTTTAAAAATTCATTTTTTTAAAGAATCGCCTCCCGGTCTCGCACTTCGCCATGTCTTTTGCGCTTGTATTTTCCCCTTTCTCTATCCCTTTATAAAAATTTTGTTTATTGTTAAAATTTCCCTCCTCCTTTTACTGTTTCCACCCCCTCCTTCCCGGTTTCTTCTAACAAATTGACGACGATTGTTATTGTTAAATTGTTAAATTTTTAGAGTTTCTTTACTTTTCCCGGTTTTTCCACTTTGTTGTCTTTCCTATCATATAAAAGTTATTAAAAAGCTAAACATCTTTTCTCTATAAACGCCAGTTAATTCAACCCAGCCGCCAATCCTCTTGTTATTCTTCTCGTTTTGGCAAATCATTTAAAATTAGCGTTTCTGGGTTAAAAGATCTAGTGGTTTGGGTAAAATTTCGAATTTTGGATGTTTAAAACCGTAATTCATTATTTATCTCTTTTTTTTATCAATCTATTTGATATTTGATTATTATTTTATTTATCTTAATCATTTTTAAAGCAATCACAAACTTTCGTGGGAGATGTCCGATTGTGAGATCGTCTACGAATGCATTCAAGCGCCGGCCATCACTCCGAGATTCCAACAAAAATTTGGTGAGTCTATGAGAAATTTGATAGACTAAAAAGTGAGCTGTTTCTTTGATCTACCAACAAAAAACTGAATAAATGGGAACCAATATTTTGGGAGAAATATGACAAAAAATCTGGTTGAATTGAATCCATTTTTAGAATCAGGCAAAGAGTAAACCCAGCTTTAAGAAAAAAGTTTGAATGTTTCAGCGATCAAAGAAGAGTTGGACGCGTCCGTTCAATTTATCGGTGAAGTGATCCGCACGCCGCGAAACGGCGAACAAAAAGCTATTCCCAAAGCGGAGAGATTGCTCGTGGTAAAAGGGGAATTTTATGAAATAATCGCTAAACTTAGGCTCCAACTCCTCCATTGCCGACCGAAGAAAAAGAAGACAAACGCTTTCAGATAATCGGCATTTTTGTGGCCATTGCGTGAGTTGCTGGCTTTGAACATTGAAAATATAGCCAAAACTTTTTAGTTTATTACTCTGTTGCTCATGGGAAGCGAATGAATTGATCAGTGGATGGAGGAATGGACGAGGAATCGGATGGATTACCCAACAATCATATCTCATTTTGATCTCGATCTTTCTCGCTGTGCTGGCCGTGGTCCCGTCGACGAGGTCAGTGAAAGAGCAGGGGTTGGTCCTTAAACCATGGATCATAAGCATGGTCTAATTTGGAAAATTCTTGAAGTGTGAAATTCACCTTTAATAATTTTCTGAAGAACCTTTCTTTCATTAAAGCAAAACACAACTTTTCCCAAAAAAGTTAAAATATTCGTTCGGGGGGAATCGAACCCCCGCCGAATGCTTGGAAGGCATCCATGCTAACCATTACACCACGAACGCGCCATTCAGTGGGGAATGAAAAGGGGATCAAAAGGGATGCGCCACTCTTTTCGCTTTAGACAATTCAGATCCTAGTTGATGAAAAAGCTGTCTGGCTAGGCTAGCTATGCTTTTTAGCTTTTAGAACTGAACTTTTGGGTCCTAGCTTGACCCAGAGCTGAGCCTGGGACCATATCATGCATGGATCGATAAACAACATTACGTTAAGTGAATTAAATACAACTCTCAGTCTCCTCACCCCGTGCACCTCTCGCTCCGAATTCCGCCGTGCCTACCTGCAAACGTCTCTCCTCGTCATCACCCTAACCCTCTCCCTCTTCTCGTCATTCGTTCTCCATTGCATCCACAAATTCCTGCACTTCGCCCATTTCCCCCTCAACCGTAACATCTTCATCATCTATCAGCGTCGTTTCTCCGTTCTCCACCTCTTCACCGATTCCCTCTTCTCCCTTTTGATCTCTCTTTTCCCATTGTCGATTCTTCTCATCTCACATCTTCTCTTTCATCCAATCCGCTCTCATCTTTTGTCCAATTTCTCTTCAACTTTCCTCAAATCTTTCCCTTTCCACCTCTTCATCGGTCTCATTCCAATCACTCTTCATTTTCTCTCTTTTGATCTCATCGGCTCTCTTCCTTTCAATCATTTCTTTCAATTTTTCTCTATTGTCTATGCTCTTCCACTTCTTCATTTTGTCATCTCACTTGGATATTCTTGGTACAAGATTATTGCCAGGAAAGCGCTTTTGTAAATAAGTGTTGTATCTTGTTTGGTTATTTTGAGTTTTTATCTTTTAGAAGTACTTTATAAGTCACAGATCTTTGTTCAATCTATTGTCAATCATTGAAATGTTACGAATAATAAATTTTCTTCAAAAAGCAAACCGCTTTTTGAAAAGTCACAGGTAAAATACAAAACTAGGAAGAAAACTACAGAATTTGAAGTTGTAATGAAATTTATTAAGATCCAGGAGTTAGCCACAGAATGACAGATAAATTTTGAAAACCCTAGCCAGCATTGATAATGATCTTTGAGCCTCATCAACTAGTGACTTCGAGTAACAATTAGACTTTTGTATCTGCAATAATCCGCTCAAAAGCTCCTTGTTTTTTTGGGGTTTTAGTTTTTGCTGAGATCAGGAAGAGGAAAATCCGGGAATTGGAATGATCGTGACGGGTGCGTCGAAAATAAAGAAAGAGAGAAGCAGAGGAAGAGCGGAGAAAAGAAGGGAACAGAGGTTGACAGCCCTTCGTCCAATCTATGCATGCACTCACACCCGTTCCGCTATCTAAAGACCCATCAAACGGCCATATCCTTGTTTTGATCAGTTTAGCAACAGCGTTTTACCTGATTTGACCATTCTCTAGCCATTGAACGTCGCAAAGTTGCCCTTTTGATCCGCTTTTGTCTAATGTCTAATGTCTAATGTAAACTAGCCATTATAAATTCAACAACAACAATTCATCCCATCCGACTCATTTTCGCTTGAGCTGCTAAAAGGTTCGATAGCTGAGAAGTGAAATCAAGATAGATGACTTTAATTGTGGTGGTGATATGTGAGTGAAATTGGGAGAAAGGGGAACGAGCACCAATCTAGGTCAATTCGCCTATTCGAGACAAAATTCGAGAATGGTGCACCCTTTTGACGAAAAGGGAAAGGTGGAGAAGTCTCCCTTTTCATCTTTAGGGAAATTTTTCTTGAAAATGAAAATTTTGCGGGTGAAAACGGATTGGGTATTCGGAAAGAGCGGAATTTTTCCTCAGCCATCTCGTCTCCCATTTTGCTATCCTAAGTTCGATAAAATTACTGATCCTGTGAATGTTTTTGAAGCATTTAGCATCATAGATTTGTTTCGATTTGTTTCGATTTGTTTAGATTTGTTTAGATTCTTTTTGTGCCAATTCTTGCAAAGGAAAATTCACTTTTTAAACAAAACTTTAGAAATGGTTGAGGCAAAAGTCGAGAAAAAGAAGGAAACCGGGAAAGACTCGGATCGGAAAGGGATCCTTCGGAGTCTTTCATTTCAGGTAAATGTTTGAGATTTGATCTTTTTTGGAATTTGGAATTCCAAAATCTTTTCCTACTTTAGTTCTCGAATTTGAGTCGAAAGATGAGCTTATCGCCGAAAGAGGAGAAGGACCCGAACCCGTACGATTCGACTCCGGAAGATAACTATGATGAGGTGAATTTTGAAAATTTCTAGTTTATGAAGCAATTACTTTGCTTTTATTTTTTAGCAATTTTATATAGATTACTGTATAAAATCTCTTATAAACAAAGCTTTAAACTAATCTGAAATTGGATTTCGCAAAAAAGGTCACACAAAAAAAATGTTTTTCCAGGTTGGTTTGGGTCCGCTTCTTGGTGTGCAATGCTTCGGAATTCTACAAAAAAAATACAAAAAGAAGAACCGGTCAGCCACGTGGAATAAAAGGTAAAAGATTATTTTTGGGATTTTCATTAAAACCTAAATCATTTTAAGTCAAGATTTTAGATTTTTCGTGCTCAAAGAGTGCTTCTTAATGTATTATCCAGCGAGGTTGTTTAAAGAGTTCGAGAAGACGAAAAAGATCAATCTTCATCCAAAGGTTTGGAGTGATTTCAACTATTAATAAAAGAAAAAACTTTAGGGAGTGATTCCATTGATTGGCTGCTCGATTGTTAGCGGAGGAGAGGTGAGCGGGAAATGGGGAAACTAATGAAAACTAATGAAATTTACTAATAAAAAGCGGTTAAAATCATTATATTCAATAATTTCCAGGCCGGTCGTCGCCATTGTCTTCTCATCGCTCATCCACAATTCCCGTCAGCACTCGTGCTTTGTGCGCACGAGCAAAAAGTCCAGGATCAATGGTTGAAAGCGCTCAGATCGGCTACAAAGATGTAAATTGATTTTCGATACTGATTTAGTGACCCAATCGTCTCTTTATCCTTTCAAACTTCTTCATTTCAGCTCCTACAAAAACACGATTGTCGGCGAGTCGATGATTCGCGAATTAGAGAGCAGAGGAATGTTGCTAAATGAGGAAAAGAAGGGATATGAGGAAAGGCTTAGAGAAGAGGCTGAAGCAAGACAACAAGAACATGATAGGGTCATGGTGAGTGCTTTAGATGTATTCATTGCTTTAGATGGACAATTGCTATTGAAGAATTGAAAAACTTTGCTAAAATCTTATCACCAAATCTCTAGGAGTTGGCCAAAGTGAAAGAGGAGCTTGAGGCGGAACGCGAGAAATTGATTCGAACCACGAAAAAGCTCAAGGATGATTTGCAAAGTGTGAAAAAGTGAGGAAAACTGGTGAATCAGGGAAATCAAAAGACTTTTAGCGAGCTGAAGATCACGAACGAAACAAAAAGGACATTGGAATCCGAGAAGCTATCGTTGAACTCGAAAACCGAGCATTTAGTGGCGAGTATGGAGGTGAGTGGAGATGGGAAATGGGAAATTTTATTCGATTTTTAGTCATTGAACATCGAAAAGGAGAAGATTCAAGAGCAATTGACGTCTATTTTGCGGTGAGTGAATAGAGAAAGGTGTCGATTGTTGAATTGAATCTAGATGTTGAGTGAAATAAGTAAGCTCAGGATTTTGTTGAGCTCTGAGTTGCAGCTTTATCTCAAGTGATGAGATTCAGGTGGTAAAACATGTTATTAGTGTCTAATGATTCCAACTAAGGCCTAGAGAAGCCAAGTCAGAAGCCAGACCAGCTCACAACTGTCAGAGCTTGTCAGAGCTTTTTAGATCAATTAAATTATTAGATTTTGATCAGACTCTGTTCTTTTCACTTATCAGATCGATTCTAAGTTTTTTTGTGATTATAAATTCTAGTGAACGCGAGCAATTCTTGCTCGAGAATCAGAATTTGGCAACAACAACGTGCCAGCTGAAGAATCGATTGATGGAGATTGAGACAAAGACATCGTGTATCACGCATGAAAAGGACAAAATTGAGCAATTGTGAGTGAAAAGAAGAAGCCAGGCCAGCTCACAACTGTCAGAGCTTTTTAGATCAATTAAATTATTAGTTTTTGATCGGACTCTGTTCTTTCGATTATTCCTAATCTAATAAAAAGTTCAGATTGCGTCTAAACGAGCAGAAGACAGCTGATTTGGAAAAAGAACGGCAATACTACACATCGCAGACGAAAGAATTGATATGCACTTTGAAGGTAAAGGGAAATGCGTAATGCCTGAATAGCCAAATAAGACGAGAGTTTAATATTTTAATAATCTCCGATTTTAGGAAGTTTCTGATCAAAAGGAAATGACTGAGTCGGAGTTGAAAGATCAAATGATGGCGAGGATTGGCGCCGAGAGACAATTGCAGGTTGGTTCTACAAAAGATACCGGTAAATGCTGTAATCTTCACCACATATTTGACCATAACGCTTCTTCTCACTCGTTTGCTGAATGGCTAGGCTTTGAATGGATTTCCGAAGCTCGTTCTGACCTAACTCCTGATTTTGCCTAGCTTACAGGAAATAAAGTATAAGCTAAACTGAACCAGTCAAATTCAAAAATGAACCAGTCAAGCCTAGCCAAAGCTGACTTCAATCCCAGTTCTTCAGGCAGCCGAGAAAGCCCTTGAACACTTGGAGATGGCGTTGAAGTTAACCGGAGCTCAAATGACCGAACTACAAGAACATATCATGCCCGATGTACACAAATTGAGAGGTTTCTTTTGCTATCATGTACTTCTACTTCTAGATTCTCGTGTTCAAGAAATTCAAGAAAGTTTTTAATATCTACTTTTAGAATTTTTTGAGGCATGCGCCGAGGAGGCTCGTCTAGAGGCTAACAAAGTTGGTGGATCGGTAATCCTTCCTATCCTGTCATTTGCATGAGAAATTTCTAAAGAATATGGATTACGATGAGAATTTGAAATTTTAGACGGGCATCATGAGGAACGCGATTTACGCGAGAAAATCGATGAGACGACGATCGACGAGGACGTTGAGGAGCTCGATGAAGAAGCCGACATTGAAAGAGAATGGGGATAAGGTGGGAAATGGGGAAATCTCAATGAGTGTCCTTGTAGTTTAATATTATTGATGCTTAGACACAAAAGCAATGAACAGTTCAATTGTGAAGCAAAATTAAACTCACGGAGGAGGGAAACATTTGCTTTCCTTCCCCTTCTCTCATCTCCTGACCTTTTTCGTTTTTCAAAAGAATTTGGCAAAGTGAAATGGAAAGGAATCGAATCCTCGACGTTCGACCAACTGAGCTACAGGCGCTTGTTTTTGTCTAGAGAGAAAGAAGGCAGAGGAAGAGAAAGAGAGGAAGAGAAAGAGAGGAAGAGCATCGGCTGACTTTCAAGTTCAGCAAAGAAAGATGAATCCCTAAATTTACACGAGATTTAAAATTAGCTTGATTTAAAATTCGAAATTTTCAGGGAATCTATAGTTCAAATCCATAGTTAAAAGTTAAGCTATTGTAATAATATTTAAAAGTTTTACATTCATAAATTCCCTATTAAAAGAGGGAAAGGAGAGCCACTAATCGTTTGCAATCTCCACTCATAGTTTACAATTTTCAGAAGGATCCAATGACTGACAGTGCCCTGTCACAGCTATGAAACGAAAAGGAAACCATTGCCGAGATCCCAACAACAATCCAAACGTTTTACATTCGAAAATTTCTCATCTACATTCTTTTAATCCATTTTCTGTACTTTTTTTGGGAAAATTTCTCGCAAATAGCAAATGCTATCAACAAAATTTCATCTATACTTTCACTTGTAAACATCAAGTGATTACTTTTTATCAAATTAATCACGAATTTTATCTTATTTTCGCATTTTTTCTCGGATATCGCCAAATTAGCCAAAATTTTTGGTATATATCTCTGAGTTTTTTTTTTTTTTTATCAACAAATCCCCATGTAAAAACGTTTTGAAAGAACCGAAATGTTGACCCGGACTTTGGAAAAGAGAAGGGGGAAATTTCCCTCGTCTCGATTTTAAATCCGCAGCCACTTATCGACTTTGACTTTGACTTTTTGCAAGAAGAAATCTCTTTTCCTCAAAAAAATTTTTTTTTTTTTCACTTTTCAAATCGCCTAATCTTTTTCTCTTTTATCTAAACATAAACATAAATATGTGTGTGTCTGAATAAAACTCAAACATTTCTTTTCTTTGAGGAAACCGCATGGATTTTTGAGCAGCAGCAGTAGGGCCAGTAAGCTAGACCAGATCCACCTAAAGCTACCACCAAAATCGACTGTTAGCATCAGTTTTTAAGCGCTAATAATGCTAGAGTATCAGCTCTAAAAGATTGCTGGCATCCGATTGTGCGATTGAGTTCCGATTTTTATCCCTCGACAAAGGTTTTCTGTTTCAAAAGTCTCCGAACAAAACCCAAAAAAATAGATTTCAAGCTGAATGACTTATTCGTAAAGCTAGAAAGCTCTTGCATTGCGCATCTTTTTTTTTCATCCATTTCCAATTTCTTTCCTTTCCTTCAAAAATGGTGTGTCTCAAATCTCGGTTGACTCAAAAGAAGGAGGCAAATAAAATGCCTGTGTTCCATTTTTTAGCCAGATCGTTGCACAAATGTTTCAACGATTATTGTTGCTGCTTATTTCGTTGTCAATTTCGAGTCATGGGCAGCGAGTTCTTTCCCGAAGTGGTCAGTTTGATAGAGTTCAAATTAAAAACGCTTCCTCTCTAGCACACTTCTCATTTTGTTTCAAAATCACTGAATAGGATGTGTGTGCAAGAGAATGGGCGTTTAGTAGGGGCATATTAGGGCCATTTTCAGCCATCATTTTGTCGTCTTCTCGCCAGAGAACACCAAACGTATTGCATGAATCAAGCGATGCTCAGCCTCAGACAAGTCTACGATTATTGTGAGTTTTCAATCGAAAAGCGCATTTCATCAGAAAGTTAACTTTTTTCAGTCATCTCAACTACATCTAGAACCTAAAGAGTGCAAAAACTGACTCTAAGACAGCAAATTTTAAGACTCAATCCATCTCAACCAATCTCTAACTCATTGCAAATTCAGGCCGCTATGCAAACTACGGTCAACCGGATTCCGTTTGCGAGGAGCGTATTTCGCATATCGACTGGCATAACATTCAGCGACAAATCCTCGAATCAACGGGCACTATCCGATCCGATCGATCATCACTTCCAACAATGCCCGTCGAAGCGACAATCAACTCCGAGAATCCCTATGCACAAAACTTTTTCATTCCACAAAACAATTGAGAGGTGCTTCCTTTTTTTTGAGATAAAGCTTTCTAAGAATAATTTATTTCTATAGAACTCTATTCAAACTATAAGACTCATCAAACAAACACAGAGAGAAACGCTCACTAACCATGCGAAATCAGAAGAAAAACAGATCGACACTAATGTACAAAGTGATTATAATTGGTGTAAAGAGAAATTGGACTGGGAATGCTGAAATGACACAAAGAAAACACACTCAGATTCTAGAAAAATCAGATTGAATACTACTGGTTAGGCAATCGAACTACACGAATAAATACGATTTTAAGCACACATGCAAAAGAAGAAAGTAAAGAAAAGAAAGCTAACTCACACAATGCACACAAATCTACGATTATTTACGCCAATACTTGTTGAGAGCTTCAATAATTGAGTCGTATATCATAAATGTAATGGCCACATCAAGACAGACACGAGACAAACGAGGCACGGTTCCCTTGTAGAAAGCGAAGAAGCCCTCTTTCTTCCAGATTTGCAACGCGCAATCCATCGTGTTCTTGTACTTCTTTCGCTCTAATCCCTGCATTCTCGTTTTCACCACATCGATCGGCGTATTTCCGTACACCGACGCAGCACCAGCAATAGCACCCATTAAGCCGACCAACGGTTTTGCGATCGGTTTCGTGTTATCCCCGCCACGATACCAATCCTTCAGCGTTTCCATCACAAAGAAACGAATCGCCTGATTTGAGCCCTGTTTCATGATCGTTGCGGTCACTCCTTGGTAAATTCCCTTGAATCCATCAGTCTTGATAATCGTGGTGACTCCATGGAAGAATCCTCTGTACCGTGGTTTTTCCAACGTTTGATCATGAATGAGCTTCACTTTGATCGTCTCCATTGGGGTCACCGCCAGAATCGCTTCAGACACTCCCGCGCCAAGTCCGCAAAGAAGTCGCATTACGGGGGTGAGAGATCCGCGCTCATCGGCAGCTTTTCCCTTCAGATACTCGAATGTTCCAAAACGAGCGCCACTCTTTGGAATCGATCCATAGAGGAGAACGGAGAGTCCACGGTAGAGGCCGAAAAATCCGTGACTCCTCACCGTCTGCTTCACACAATCGATCGGTCCCTTATACTTCGGCTGAGCACTTCTTTCATCCAATTGCAATTGCGTCTTCACGTATTCGGTGGGAAACGTGATGAGGATCTCGATGGCACCTACAAGTGGACAATGATATTTAAAACAAAATATTAAATGCACCAGTCAATCCTCCAATAGAGATTCCTCTAACCGTGTTTTCTGCCGGTCCATACTTTTTCCACAAGGAGAGTTGCCCAGGGGCTGTTGCCGCCGTTCCAGCCATTAATCAGGCGATGTTGAACCCTGGAAAAAAGACTATAGTAAAATAGATCATGTAAGAAGTCGGGTATCACACGTTATCGCTAAAAGTGGTAAAATACCGTAAGACCTATAATAAAACGACCATAATCTGCCTACTAAAGAACGGTATTTTGTTACAAGTATTACGGTAAGCATCCGTTAGTCTCAAAATTTTGAAAAACTACATTTACCAAACAAGCAAAGGTGGAAAATATAAAAAGTGTCTCAAACACCATACAAACACGAGGAAAACATCGAATTGTGTTAAAAGTTTATTGAAAAAGAGAATCTAAGCCGTGGCAACTGAAAAGAAAAATAACAGAAACAATATTGAAAGAGAAAGGCAAAAAGTGACCAGTGACACACAATTCTCTCACAAGACCATTTGTACTCACAACCAAGATATACAGGATGATAGATACAGTCTCCCAAAGGCAGGAAAAGGGTAAAATAATAGAATTCTATAAAAAAAGTGACTATGCGGAAATATAAGGATTCACCCGGTTCATCGCAATTTCATAAATTATTGGCCCAATTGAAACGGGGAAAAGAGAAAAATGATAAAAAGTGCACAAATATGTTGAAAGCAAATAGATAAGGCACAACCAAATAAAATATGCAAAAGGGTAAGGCAAAGGGTAGCTGAAATTGAGTGAAATAGGAAAACAAGCGTTTTACTAGTTGAAGACGATCTCGTTGAGTGATTCGAATTGCATATTCCGACAGGCGGGCATCGCGTGAACCCTCTCTATGTAGTAGGAGTAATCGTTCGAGACAACTCTAAAAAAGTCGAACAATTAAAAATGATGAAGTTAAAAAAACTAATTAGTGTTTAGGAATTTTTAGTCTTTAAAAATCGTTTATATCGGCATATCTAGTAACAAAAATCGATTAAAAAGCTTGTTACCCCCAAGCAAGCGAATCATGTGGTGAGACTCCACATTGTGCCACCTTCAGCTTCAAATGATTCCGAAAGTGAGCGTGCACTTGAGTAAATAGAGTCTAAATAGAGTTTTAATTTAAAGAAAACTCGAGAATTTACCGCAATTTGTGAATCAGGCATAATCCCGTTCATCCCATTATGAAATTTGACCAAATTCCGGCAAATCGCTTGAAAGGACTCTGATGGAATGGTGCCTTTTGGTTTCCACTAGAATTTCGCAAAATTTGAATAGAATAAAACGATCCCTAACCGCATCAAGACTGCCGACAATATTGTGATCGATGACAGAGACGAGCTTGGCCGTTATCTCGTTCACATGATCGTTGTAGTCCGACGAAACCTGAAAAAAATAAGTATGAACTTTGTTAAGAGTAATTAACGGGTAAAACATAAATTTGTTTCAAAACAAACTTGTGAAAAATGACGTAGTAGATGCTTCTGTTCATCGGTGAGAAGAGAATCCACTTCGTCCCTCAACAATGGAACCAAATTCATAATGAGCTGCAGTGAGCGGGAAGAAAGAGCTAAAAGAGGGAATTCTATTTTGAAACTTCAAGCTTCTCTTTTTTTCACAGCAAATATCAGACCTTTTTCCCAGGCACTCACCTAAATTCCTAACGGATATCGTTTTCAATCCAACAAGTTGCAATGCTCCGGCGCCGAGAATCAATTGGCACGAGCGGCTATTGAAGAACTTCAGTAGTTCAATAATCCTGAAGAAAAGTTTTTGCCAAAAAATAATAATAAACAAACCTCATTATGATATCAGGTGCAAATGATGGAAGTGCCCGCAAACATTCCGCATACTCGGCCAGCAAATAAACAAAGTTGAGCGCTGACCTAAAGTGAATAATGAATGAAAAGAGGTGTCAGCAAATCAATGAAATTCAACTCACCGAACAACTTCGAAGTTTTCTTCTTTGACAGTCAATTGTTGAGGTGTCGCTTGTCCTTTCTCGTCATCAGTTTCTTTCTCAACGATCACCAATTTTCCTTCGTCAAAGCTTTGATTGATTAGTCGCTGATCTCGATGGGTCACCTCTCCGACTCGCCATTGCTCCAAGTCGAGATTGTCACTAAAATACCGTGCCAAATTAAAAATGATCCTTTACAAAGAACTAACCTTATTCTTTGACGTCGTTGTCGATGGAATCGATCAATGTAATCGGTGGAAATTTTGTGGATGCAAATTTGAAGTGGTCCGTTCGTAGTCGGTTGTGCAGTAAGCTTGCCCGCTATGGCTACAACTTGTGGAGCTCGACACCAGCCCTGTAATTTTATGTTGATGAAACAAGAATAAAACAAACTCGAGTAGAACATTTTTGTTGAAAAACGTTGATACAATTGAGTGTGTGCGAAAGCTCGGTGGGCGTCGTTTCCAAAGCGTTTTGTGCCTCGTCCTAAAGTTGAATCGTTTCAGATCATATAAGCCTTTCTACCTTATGTCGAGCATTGAGTAAGCGACATATTCTCATCTGTATGCAGTGACACGTGTATTGTGAAAGAGCCGAGACCGCATGTTTCAATTGAGTAGTTGATCGGACCTATAAAAAATGTAACTTTAATGATCAATGAAATCAAAAGTACCTCAATGCTCAGCATCGACACCGCGTCCACCATTGGAGCACTAGCCGAAGTTAACAACGAGACGCTAAAAACGTTGATTAAAGTTAATCATAAAGTCGCACTTTATTGAAGCAAAATCGTCAGCATCTGAAGAACTTGAAGCCATCGCTATATTGTTCACTGGGGTATTTCTAAATAAAAAGTGTATAAAAAGCAGCTAAAACCAGCAAGACACCTTTCAGGCGATCCTTCATCGTTTGCATCTGGAACATTATCCCTCTCTACACGCTCACACAAATCACCAACCATTTCTTGTAGGCACTAAAAGTTCGGTCTGAAAGCGAATTCCTTTTTAAAAACCTCAATCTTTTGATTAAATAAGTAAAGTGCATTAATCACATCATCCAACACAAGACACCAATCGGGGAACTTCAGCGAACGGACTGCATTTGAAAGATTTCTGAAAAGAATACGAGCTTTGACTTTTAATTTAAAGGTAATCACAGCTAAAGTGAAACATACTGCATCAAGGGGTCGATTTGATCTTCCACACTGATCACTACTCGTTGCTTGACGGTTTGTCTCAACAAGTTCTTCACTGTCTCTTCGACCTCGTCTAAGGTTTTAGCTACACTTTGAATTTTAAAAATAGCAACTTACTTTTCAAAACCGATGTGAAAGCGTAGCATTTTAATCGGAGCAGACCAGCAATGATTGAGCACAGCTCACCCTAAATCGAAGATGCAATAGAAAGTAACCTAAGAAAAACTACCTCATGAACAATTCCAACTGGTTCATCAATTCGCGCTCCAAATTCCTTTTGCACATACGATGTGAACTCATCCCACATCATCCGTTTGATAATATTTCGCAATTCGGAAAGTTGAGATTCAAGATGTCTAAAACTTATTTAAAGACGACAAAATTAGCTATAAGAAAAGTTTAAAACTCTTAAAATTCAATCTAAAATTTACCGAAAAGCCGTGACTCCAGACAATTCATTTTTCAGCACTTGTGTGGCCATTTCGATGCATTCCAATGCGCGGGGGTACTCGTTCTGATTGAGTAGCAATTGAACCGTTGATTGAGCGGCACGAACACAGGCAATGTCCTTAAAAAATGCAAAATTCAGTGTATTTCTAAAATCTCTTACATGTAGCCGGGCAAGCAGTTTTTCCTTGTGTTGTCGTTTCTTGTACAAAGCTGTGATGTGATCAGTTCGCTCGCAAATGCTCGTTGAGACACGTTTCAAATTTGTTCTAAATGAGGATGATAAAAGGGTTTCTCCGGTAGACAACCTACCTAACAACTTTTATTTGTCCCAAAGCATCAGCCAATTCCTCGTTCAATCCACCATACGAGCTAACGATTTGCCAAAAAGCATCTTTCTAAAAAGGAAAAGTTTAGAAAATATTTTGAAAACCCACTTTTAAGACAAGTTTTTCAGCAAGTCTCGAATCGACCACATCATGTAGATCATCCAGTCGAGTTTGCAACGGTTCATAATGCCGAAAATCTCCAGATGCCTGCAAGAAAATCACCAGATTTAAGGTAAAAATAAAAATCGAAAGATTGACCCGTAAAAAGTGTTATCAAAAGGGAAACCCCTCTCACTCAGGAAATAAACTATCAATGCAAATAGTATGGTGTGCTCACCTTTTCGAGACATGTCTTGTCTCTTATCTCGTGGTCGGGTTTCGGTGTACGCACAGTGATTGCAAGAGGATCGGCCGTTGACTGTGCAGGAACCGTGAAAACAGACAAGAACGTCTCAGGAGTGGTCAGAGAGAAATCGGATGACAGGAATACCTGAAATTTGACGTTTTATCATCGTAAAATATAAAAGAGTCTAGAAAAAAGCTTTTAAAATATTAGGATCAAACTTTTAAACCAAACCAATAAAATCCACACTCACCGTTGGCAAATCATCGGTGTCATTTTTCCTATACTGCTTGTTCACTTTGCTCAACTTCCTTCGTGCGTCTACATACAGAGCATATTTCTAAAAAAACATTGATTGGTAAAGTTCAACGGTAAAAATTTCACCTGTCCAATAGATTTCATATAATTTGAGAGATTGGCGATATTTACAGGTTGCAAATGTGGGCATTTTGGGACTTCCTAAAAAAGTTTATTGATTGAGGGAAAAATTAAAAAGATTTTACCTGAATCGGCACAAACGTTTCACCCCAATGTCGCGTGAAGAATGCTTGCAATTCGGCTCGTGGTCGAAGTGGATCCGCAACTACCGAGGCCAAGTTGTTCGTGATGCTGAAAAGTGAACATTATTTGCAAAAACTAAAGATTGGGACATTTTTGATAGTCTACGTTCTACGTTCTTTCGTCTTTCTTGGATCGTATAAATTTTCTGGAAAAAAGCTTAATTGATAACTTTTCCCAAAAATCGTTGATTGACTTCTTTGATCACCTAACTTTTCTCGGGACGGAAATTGTATCAATTTTCTCCAAAGAATTCGAAATTAGAGACAAGGGATATGGAGAAAAAGGAGGGGGAACTTTTCGAATATCTTTTAGCCAAAAAATGCAAGGAGCAGAACTACCGACAAGAAGGATGAGAGGTGATAGAGGATGAAAGGAGATGAGAGCAAAAACACATCTCTTACAAGGTCATCACTGGGACTGCTCACCCCCCTTTTCTTTTGCTCTTACCGAAATATCATGATTTGACAACGGAGACCGCCATTTTAAAATACACCGGATCTTTTAAATTTTGATCGTGCACTCCGTGACTTGATCTTGCCATAAATCTTCTTTTTGTGCTCTTGTACAGTCGATTTTTAACTATCACAAAGTTTAAACACTTTAACTCGTCATGATTTACCGCCTTTAAACTCTTTCTATTGTCGCCCTTTTGATAGATGCTTTTCATGTTTTCCTCAATGGGCTTCGGCTTGTACATTTTGGTTATTTTTCTTATTAGACAACCGACTCGTTTCATTTTTAACAAAAAAAAGCGTAATCAACTCTTTTTATAATAGATCTCTTGCTTTTTAACAAGCATAATCTTAAGATTTCTAGATTGAATATAATGTGTTTCGTCTTTTACTTACTTTACTTAATTTACTTAATAACCAAATTCCTTTTCACTCCATGTCATGATTGATCAAAATCCTCGTTCCCCAAAATTAGCGGTCCCCGTTGGATTTGCGTCATTGGCGCGAGTTTTTCACCAAATTGTCGATCACCGGTTATCCATTGACGGAATTTTCCCCGAGAGTATCTGTTGGGTGTGTATGTGAGGGGATAGAGATGGGTCGAGACTTGGGCAAACATCTTAATTCGATCACCCAACCACACACAAATGTGGTGAAAAATTGGCGTGAAACGCAGGTCGCGAACCGCGACTCTGACGGGATAAAGATAGATCCCGAGAGAAAATTTGTGAAAAAAAGATAGGTAAGAGGTTTTTGGAACTCATCAACAATTTCACTCAGTCAAAATGGGGAGAGAAAGAGAAAAAAGCACAGAGAGTACCGAATTTCGAACGAACACCCTGAACGAATGAACGAACTGATAGGCGGATCATCCAAAAGAAATCACCAACATGGATAGACCAAGCAGAGCACATTAGGGAGAGATAGTTCAAAGGGGGCATTACGGACCACGCGAAAAATGAAAAACCTAGAACCAGTTCTTCTTTTCCGATGTCTACCAGTTAACAACTTTCTTTTCGTTTTGAATTCCGGTGATATTATCGATAGAACTCTATGGTTTTATCGATAATTTGTTTTGAGCTATCCAATCCGTTTAACTTCATCTCTCTGAACTTTTCACAAATCCCAAATAGGTGTCCATGAAAGGAAAAAAGAGTGGGGAGGGAGTACAGAACGGAGAAAACCTAAGACGTGCTTGCGCGCGCTCCCATCCTTGACTGTCTCTTTTTTGGGAAAAAAGAAGAAACTTCTAAATTGTTCTAATTTTGTGGAGATTCACTACCCAAAAACACGAACTGCTGGGAATTTCCAGGTCCGTTGTGACTCATTTTCTGTTCAAACTTTTTCGATGTCTTGTTTATTGTTTCCAATCTTATTCTTGTGTTTTTATCATTTGTTTCAAATTTGTTACTTTAAATAGCACATTCACTTCTCTCTCATAACAGTCATAAACGTCCGCTCTTGGGTTAAATGAATACTTTGTGAGAAGAAAGGGGGGAGAAGCCTGGTTTTGACCGCTCGTTTAGAAATGAGGTAAAATGAACATGTGTGTTGCGCGTGAGTTGAGTGTAACGACATGAATATTCGCTCTCCATACAACTCCCGAGAAAATAGCAATAGTTCACGGGAATTCCAGAGAAATTAGAGAGGTAATCGAGACGGTTTGGGGAAAAAATAACGGGAGAGGGGCGCTTAGAACAAAGGAGTATCCACTAACACTAAACGCAAAAAGTGCCATAATAACAAGAAGAAGAGAAGGAGAAAGTGCCAGCTGATCCTCCCCACTCATACTCATTGACTTCTCAGCGCACACAAACACGAAACGAACGGTGAAATGAGTAAGGGAGTACACCTTTTCTTCCCCTTGAGGGAGTGAAAGGGAGTGAAATCCTGAGGGGAAAAATGAAGTGAACGCGATTCACACACCCATTTCAATAAACAAAACCGAGTGTCTAGAGTATTCAAACTAGTCTTTTTCCACTTATTTCTTCCATCCCTTCCGCAAGTCATAACACACGAGACACTATTATCACCTCACCCCTTTCTTCCCTCTCGACAATCTCGACAACAAGCATATTAACTTACTTTCTATTCAAAAACTATCATATTAGCCACCAGTATTTTTGAAGTTTTATGGCTTCAAAACAATATTGTTTTCCTGATTAACAATAGTATGATATTCCTCTCAAATATCAAAAATGACTTATTTTCCTCGATCCTGTATTGAGAATGACTGTAGTGATGATGAATTTCAGACGATTTTAAGCCCTTTGCTACTTGTAAGTCAAATGGGGCTTCTAGATTTCATTTTCTACCCTAATTTTATAAAAATGGGTATAAAATTCAGGTGATGCCGAAGATCACCGATATAAAGTCCCAAAATGGGAAAGAGCAGCCAAATTCGTGTGCGGATGCAATGTTCGGAAGGAAAACCCAAAAATATGCTCTCTACTTCATCATTTTCTTCCTGGCTTGTCTAACAATCAGGGATTTGGCGGAGCTGGTAATTTAGCAAAAAGTTTTAATGAAAGAAAATTTTCAGTTGAATGATTACATGGACAACCCAAAGCAGTCAGATCTGTCAATTCGAATGAATGACAGTATGACGCTGCCAAATATCACTTTTTGCATGGGCGCTGATATGGTGAATTCTCATGTGATCATCGATCGAACGGCCAATGTGACTGAATGGGATATCTTTGTTGAGGTTAGTAGTTTAACTTACAAGGTCTAGATCAAATCGTCAAACATGAAAATCTAGGAACAACTAGAGGAGATGTCCAACAAATCGGTCGCTCTCAATCCATTAAGAAGATGGGACGATCGACTTCTTTTCGAATCTTACGATTATCTCGCTGTGATGAACTCACTTGAAAGGGAAACTGACGCAAAGAACATTGGAAAACCAATCTTCCGATACAGATATTTTCCACAATTGGCCGCCAAAAGAAAAATGTACCAGGTGAGTTAAGCAAAAGATATTCCATTGCCATTAATCTTCCCAGAAATGGCAAGCTTGGATGGACAAAGCGGAGATTTCCTACGCAGAATTGATGCAACAAGTCGGCACGCAGCTATTTTTGCGATCAATTTTGACGTTCAAGCGGCACATTTTCGACGATTATCATCCATTCATTATGCCAAAGTTGAAAATTCAATGGTTGTCCTTGAAGCAAATGTGCTTCTCGCCCGTTTACCCCAAAGAGTCCTACCACAATATCGAAGATCAAGTAAAAAAGAAAAGATGAGTGTTAAGATTGAAATTTTCAGGGGCAATTCTTTACGATGCTTATGCAAACAAACGTGGACAATGTGCTCAAACAAGGAAAAACGATCGATTGCATGCATGTTGATTTCCACGGAAGACAGTCGTCATTGAACCGTTTCATGGAGGGCAAAGCCCGGACTCGCGATGGATTCATTGATCAGGTATGACTTTTCACTTGTTCAAGTGATAACTCAAAACCTAGGCATGTATCGGACAGCATCACCAATTGACCGTTGAAGTGAAGCACCGCTTCAAGCATTTGGAAAACGATGATAATTCAACAAGATGCAAAGAGATGAAAGATGGCGATGATACCGAATTCGATTGCTACTCGAGATGCCGATTTGAGTTGATTCGGGTAAAGGACCAAAATTTTATGTTTTAAAAGAATATTTCAGGATACATGGAAATGCTTGCCACTCACCCTATCTTACCTGGCTAAAGAATCTGATCTCCAGAATTACAAACCCTGCAACTACGCTCAAGTCAATTTGACGTAATGAGACAAATAGTAAACTTGGAAACTAAAATTTTTAGGAAAGAAGAAGCTCTTGCCGGAAACTACTCAAAGCAAGAAAACGAGTGCCGATCGTATTGTCGACCCGATTGCATACAAATTCGGTACAATTTGGTGCATATGCCACAAGGAAAAGCCCCAAGAGCAAGTAAGGAATCGATTCAATCGAGAAAAAACCCAATATATGCCCACTATTTTAAGATTTCACAAGTATCGAAATCCATTGGGGAGCCTTCGAGTTCTTGAACATGGAACAAAGTTACGTGTGGACCTTCTGGAAATTGGTAGCCGCGATTGGTGGAGGAATCGGAGTGTGGCTAGGGTTGTCGGTGCTATCACTTATCCAGGTTAGAGTAAAAAGAGAAATTCTATTCAAAAAAATCTAGGGAGTTGGTTACTTGTACAATTCTTTTGTGCAAAAAGTCGTCGTCGACAAAAAGCCTCTTTTGGATGAGGAGGGCTCTGCCCCTGGATCACGACGAGGCAGTAAGGTTAGTGGAAAGCTTTAAAACTTTTAATACACCAAACATAAACTTATTTTTAGTGTCTTTTTTATATTTTCTTAGTTATCTATGATTTAACACACCATTTCCTGTATAAAAAAAAATTAAAGGCCGGTATGACACTTTCGTCAAATCCCCTCACGAATCCCTGGAATGAAAATGAGCAAAGAAAGAGATCGGTAGGCTGGGAGTGAAAATTGACTGCAAAAGAAATCGCACCAAGCACTGCCCACAAACCCGCTGTTATCAAATAAAATCTCTAACATGGGAAGGGATACTTACTACTAATATTGGGAAGGGATAAAGGTTAATTTAATGTACACTTAGTGGCTTTTGTTTTCAACAAACTCAATCCATTTAGAAAGGAGACAATGGAAACGCGGTGAATTCCAATCCAAACGCTAAAAACGGCTACCCCACCCAGCCAAGTCCACAGACGAAAATTTCAATCGGATAATCGGAAATGAGGGTCAAGATCAACGCCAACGCCAGAGTTCAAACATTTCTATTTTTCTCTAGTGGTTGTGATTGCTTCAATTGTTGCCTGCCTTTAATAATTGCCCTAATAATGCCGATCTTCACTTATAATTATTGTGGTTACTCTCGAAAAACTCGTGCCTTCATTGAGTAGCGTTACTTTTTTTGCCTAATAAAAATTTGACAACTTTGTTCGGGTGAAATTTTTTGTGGCCCACCTTGCCATTGTGAACGCCTTCTCGTCGTTCGATGGTCGGGCTTTTGGTTGAGGAGCAGCTAAATGTAAAGATATGGTAAAATGTCTACGAAAAATATTTATTTTACCTGAAGAATTATTAGAAAAAAAAATTGAAACCCACTCGTTGTATGGAATCTTCGTAAATGCGCTTCATAATCGATATCATTCACGCCTTCTAACGGCAACGACGGGCACACTCCGTTTGGACCGTAACTGAAAAAGAAAGTAAACATTTTTACCAAAAACGCACTTAAACTTTGTAAAAAGAAACTAATTATGTGAATGGTTAAAAGAAACTTGATTGGAACTGAACAAATTTTGTTTCAATGAAGAGAATCGGGAGTTCTCAAGGACATCGCTGCTGATGGGCAGCATGATAAAGCGATCATAGACAAAACAGAAAAAGAAAAAGTGCTAGAACTATTTACTAGGTTAGATAGTTTGTGATTTAAAACTTTAAAAGGCGGATGGAATTTATTTTGTCAAAAAATTGTGCGAAGATGACATCAGGACATTTATCGGATTTTGATCATTTAATCAATTCAAAAATCTGCATGAGTCAATGTTTATCGAAATGGGGGAATCGTTCATTATAAACATTCTTGGAATTCATAAGAGTCTAGATTAGCTTTGAGTCATTAGAAAAACTCTGCTAGTAACTATTCTGATTGGTTAAAATTTTAATATGCCTTTATGGCTCTAACTTAGCGAATAACTGGGTGTAGTTTGGAAAAACATTCTTTCTAATTTCGAAAAACAAAATAATCTGCCTAATATATAAAACTTCTACTCGAAACTAACCGGCAAACAAAAGATCCGCCTTCTCGAGTCAAATGAGTGTTGCGTAGATGATGGACAAATTCGGAAGCGTCGTAAAATGGATGACCACGACTCGGGCACACGTCACAATGGCGAGGATAGCTACTAAAGGAAAAAATTATCGATGTTTTGAAACAAATTCATTGTTAGTTGTGTTTAGCAGTGAATCGATACTATTAAACCTATCGAATATAAGAAAATTGAAAGCTTTTTGATGTTTACTTCAACTCCGGCTATTTAATTTGATTATTCTCCACCAAAAATTTCTCAATAAGTTTCAATTCTTTTCTACTAATGATAAAAATCTAAGCTATATGAATCTGCTTACTTTTAAAAATGGGTCAACTTAAGTCATTCATTTGAAAAAGGCAAATGAAACAAATAAAAGCTTAAACTCAAAGAAACGCACCTTTTATTCGTGTCAGATATCTTCTTTCTTGATTGGCTCATCGATGATCGTCAATTTCCCTCATCAAATCCCAAAGTCGACTGATGATGGGTGAACTTTTTGACGTGGTTTCCCTGTAATCGAACAAATATGTACAGAAATGAAATGAAAGCACGAAGAAAAGGTGTAAAAAGGAATGGAAAGGAGGGCCAGTGGAGTGATTCGATATATTGACAAAGGCCATGCCAGCCAGCTAGAAACCAAAAAAGACCAAAAAAAGAGCATTCCTCTGAAGTGAAAAAGTGATTTATGTCCCTCTGGAAATCTCATGAGCTAACAAAAAAAGGAAAGAATACATATGCCAATCAAAAAGTTAGCAAAATTGGTTAAAAAAATAAATTCAACTTAAATAAATTTTGATTCAACACAACAAATTTCAAAAAAATTTTCTTCTTTTATACGCTCATTTTCTCGCATGGCAGAAAATTTGCATTCTTTGGGGGTGGGACAAATGCGATCTTTTTTTTTTGCTGGAAAAGGCCTTAGGAAAGGTCGTAGAGCTTCAAAAATATTTTCATATAAGGGAATCGTATGCGTAGATTCCGAATTTCGATAAATCAGACCTCGCTGACACGTCAAATTTGGGCTGACACGTCACGCAACTTAACGCTTTTCCGCAGGTTTTGCCTTTTAGCCCAAATTTGACGTGTCAGCGAGGTCTGATTTGTCGAAATTCGGAATCTACGCATACGATTCCCTTCTATGAAAACATTTTTGAAGCTCTACGACCTTTCCTAAGGCCATTTCCAGCAAAAAAAAGGTGCGCAAATGTCCAGGTGCGCAAAAAAAAGGTCGCATTTGTCCCACCCCCCATTCTTTAGTTAAATTTAGTTAAATTTTCTTGGTATAAACGTTTTGTTGACATTGAATTTCCAAAAGCTTTACATATTTTTGCAAAAAGTGATTAAAGACGTCCGTTCGGTTAAAGCTGACACTATCAGCATAATCATCTTTAATTTTTATCGAATCTCAGGGTGATTGGATAAAAACTATAAGCAAGATTATAGTATCTAATGAAATTTCAAATGAAATTTGACACGTTTTAAAAGACACATTAGTTTTTGAACAAAAAGAGCATTTTGGAAACATTTTGGAACTTTTGGAACTTTTGGTTTGATCTCGAAGCTTGCTCTGAATCTTGAACAGGATCAACTAAGCTTTCAAGCTTGTTCTGAATCTTGAATAGAATCAACTAAGCTTTCAAGCTTGCTCTGAATCTTGAACAGGATCAACTAAGCTTTCAAGCTTGTTCTGAATCTTGAATAGAATCAACTAAGCTTTCAAGCTTGCTCTGAATCTTGAACAGGATCAACTAAGCTTTCAAGCTGGTTCTGAATCTTGAATAGAATCAACTAAGCTTTCAAGCTTGCTCTGAATCTTGAACAGGATCAACTAAGCTTTCAAGCTTGTTCTGAATTCAACTAAGCTTTCAAGTCTTGTCTCCAATTTCTTTTGACACTCATTTTTCAAAATCCCAAAGGAAATAACGGAAATCAGAGGTTTTCAAAGGAAACATGAGCTTTTATTGCACTCTCTTGGATCAAGAAAGAGACAAGGTTTTAAAAAGTTTCAGTGCTTGACTTTGAGAGAACTTTTTGAACAATTGCAGATCTTTTTGAGATTCTCTAGCTGACCAAAACTCTTATTTTTCTCATTCCAAGCTTTGTTTGTTGTCCTTTTTTTTCAATTTTCAAATTTCTTTGTTTTAATTTGTATTCAGTAATTAGTATTCGTATTTGCTCAAAATTTTTGTTAAAAGTTTATTATTTGCATCTTTTTGGGGGTTGTCAGAAAGTTACGCAGAATTCGACTTATCAAAAAAGAGAAAAGATTGAAAAGAATGAGCAAAGAAAAGGTAAGTTGCCAAAAAACGAATGATGACAAATAATAAAATGGATGTTGTTGACTCGCGTAAGGGGAAAAGATGTTGCTGCGAGTGTAAAATGTGGTGCGACGGTGATACAAAGAAATTTTTTTGTTGATGGTACAAAAAAATGTTTGGATATTTTTCTCTTTGATGTGTTTGAGATGGATTGGGGCTTCTGATTGTTTAGAAGCACTTGCGGTGGACGATTGATGGGCCTGACTCGTCGTACTCGGCCTAGAATTGGTGGATATGGATTTACCAATTGATCTATCGATAAGGTTCATCTTTACATGTCAATTTTGTTACCTTGGAGATCCACATCTGTTGGAAGGTGGAGAGCGAGGCCAAGATGGATCCTCCGATCCAGACGGAGTATTTGCGCTCTGGGGGAGCGATGATCTTGATCTTCATCGTGCTGAAAAGGGGCACGATGAGTGATTGATATTGAAGTATCTTATAGTCAACCTTCATTTTACGCATCTGAAGTACACCTATCTTTGCCTGATTAGACTGTAGTGATTATAGTAAATCGCATCTTACCGTACACCTTACAGTAAGCTTTCTGACTTAGGCTGGATCTCTCATTTCTATAGTGACTCAACTTACAGTATCTCTATGATGTCTAGCTTACAGTACTTCGATGATAGCTTACAGTACTTCTATGATAGCTTACAGTACTTCTATGATAGCTTACAGTACTTCTATGATAGCGTACAGTACAACAAACTCGTTAGCAAACATGAGTCTCTTGTCTGAGTTCTTACAGTAACCCAAGTCTCCAGCTACTCTTATCTTACAGTAACCCTGTCAAACCAAGTTCCATTTCCTATGTAACTATCAAGACATTACCTTGGAGCAAGAGCGGTGATCTCCTTCTGCATGCGATCGGCGATTCCGGGGTACATGGTGGTTCCTCCAGAGAGCACATTGTTGGCATAGAGGTCCTTTCTGATGTCAATGTCGCACTTCATGATTGAGTTGTACACCGACTCGTGGACTCCAGCCGACTCCATACCCAAGAAGGATGGCTAAATCGAGAGTTGGATTTAGAATTACGTCTAGGATCCAACCTGGAACATGGCCTCGGGGCAACGGAAACGCTCGTTTCCGACGGTGATAACCTGTCCGTCAGGAAGCTCGTACGACTTCTCGAGGGACGATGAAGAGGCGGCAGTGGCCTGAAAAAATTGGGTAACTCAGTAAGAAGTTAAAAAAGTTTTTACCATCTCTTGCTCGAAGTCAAGGGCAACGTAGCAGAGTTTCTCCTTGATGTCACGAACGATCTCACGCTCGGCAGTGGTGGTGAATGAGTAACCACGCTCAGTAAGGATCTAGAAAAGATTTAGACTGATCTCAAGTTTCATTGTACCTTCATGAGGTAGTCAGTCAAGTCACGTCCGGCCAAGTCAACACGGAGAATGGCGTGGGGGAGAGCATAACCCTCATAGATGGGGACAGTGTGGGTGACACCATCTCCGGAGTCAAGGACGATACCTGAGAGATTGGATTGGTAAATTTGTATTGAAATCCTGTAAATTAGTATTCCAGTACTATTATTCAGTGCTAGCAGCCTGTAAAACCCCACCGGTGGTACGTCCAGAGGCGTAGAGGGAGAGAACGGCCTGGATGGCGACGTACATGGCGGGCGAGTTGAAAGTCTCGAACATGATTTGGGTCATCTTCTCTCTGTTGGCCTTGGGGTTAAGTGGGGCCTCAGTGAGGAGAACGGGGTGCTCCTCAGGGGCAACACGAAGCTCGTTGTAGAAGGTGTGATGCCAGATCTTCTCCATGTCATCCCAGTTGGTCACGATACCTGTACAAAGGGGGGAAGATGATTTTAAAAAAACTCTTCAACAAACCGTGCTCAATTGGGTACTTGAGGGTGAGGATACCCCTCTTGGATTGGGCCTCATCACCGACGTACGAGTCTTTCTGTCCCATACCGACCATGACACCCTGATGCCTAGGGCGACCGACAATTGATGGGAAGACAGCTCGAGGAGCGTCATCTCCGGCGAAACCGGCCTAAAACGAGAAGTTCAGTCTTGATATTTAAAGATTCTAGTATCAGTTATCTGATCTATATCTTCCTAACTACAGCTAGAAAATAAAAATCTCTTTGGAAATAGTTTCAATATGATTAGTGGGGCAAATACCGTAATCCCGATTTCTCTATTGTATGGGTTAAAGTACTAGGACTTAGTACTTAGCTTTAAGGACTTAGTATTTAGCTTGAAGGACTTAGTACTTAGCTTTAAGTATTTAGTACTTAGCTTTAAGGACTTAGTACTTAGCTTTAAGGACTTAGTACTTAGCTTTAAGGACTTAGTACTTAGCTACTTAGTACTAGTTTTAGTATTTAGTTTAAAGCCTTAAGTAAAGCTTTAAGTAAAGCTTTAAGTAAAGCTTTAAGTAAAGCTTGTTAATGTATTAAAGTAGCTACAGTATAGCTTAAAGTCACTAGCCTTCAATTCTCAATTCTTCAATTGCATACTGTAGTGAGGTAGATGAAGATTATGAAGCTAAGTTTTCCCAGCTTTAACCAATTTGACTGTATCATTTACTACCCAATTCTATCGTTTACTATACTTCTCTAATCAATGAGAGAATCAAGCATTCGGGGGTTTCATCTCGAGGACTTACTGAAGGGGAAAAGCTGAAGGCTTGGAAAAGGGCTTTGCTGCGGGGTGGACGGTCATGAGTTCACTCTTTCTCTTTCCTTTCTTTAGAGATTCTCCTCTCAAAGGTGGGATCCTTCCCTATAGGAGCCCCTTTTCTATTTGTCGAAGTGCTCAGCGCTTGTCATTTGGAACAAATCTCGCAACACGCACTCTCCCTCTCCTATCTAGACTCTGCTTTTCCAAGAAATGAGGCTTCTAGAAGTTTTCATGAGGGATTTTCTCAGGGTTAGAGAATGGGATTGGAAAAAAACGGTAGTTGGGTATTGATCAAAGTATTGAGAGGGTTAAAGTTAACGAGTAGCTTTGCTCAGCTCATATCTGGGCTTCCTTGGGTCTAGTTTATGGGCTTCCTTGGGTCTTACGATAAGTTATAGAGTAAGGGGTAGGCTATAGCACTTACAGGAGGATTTAGAAAGTTTTCCAATAATTATACCGTAGTATAGAAGAAGTCTATTGGATTCTAATTTCATTAAAGTTCTCAGATCATTGTTGATCAAGTTCTCTTTTCTATTTCTAAAAGTAGTTTAGTGTATCATCGAAGAGCAGCAGTTGTTCACATTCTCGTTCTCTTTCCCCTCCCCTCCCACTCTCGACTAAAGCTGTAAATTTTTGAGGCGCCCCCGTTTTTTACTTGCCCAGAATTTAACACCCAACCAAAAAAAAAGTAATCGAAAATGTTCCGGCTTTGGAAAAAAGTGAATGCCGTTCTATCAAGAGATTGATTTTTCGAGATAAAAGGAAACATTTTTGAAATTCTATGTAAAAATTCTGTTGAAATTCTGTTTATCAGTTCTGTAAGTTGATTCTTTTTTTTGCTATAGTTCTAAAGTTTTCAAATGTTTTCAAATACTTTCAAATACTTTCAAATACTTTTAACAAACCTTGCACATTCCGGATCCATTGTCCACCACAAGGGCAGCCACCTCCTCGTCGCACATTCTGCTTCTTTTGACTGGTTAAAGCGGGGTACCCCTAGAAATTTGAAGATAAGTAAAGAGTTTTGATAAGTCCAAGAAAATTAAGAAAAGAAAAGCTTATTTAAAGATAGTCTTGCTGAAAGAAAAGCTTGCTGAAAGAAAAGCTTGCTTAAAGAAAAGCTTGCTTAAAGAAAAGCTTGCTTAAGGAAAATTTGAAAGTCCAATGCTAAATCATAGAAGTATATGACTGGGATCTCATGGAAGAATAAGAAGAATAAGAAAAGAAGAAGCTTCCCTATCTTCTAGGAGTTTGCAAGATCTTAGGAAGGGGTGAGGAGGAGTGGAGGTGGAGAGCCAAGGACAACAGACTGTCGAGTGCGGCCCCGATCGGGGTGGATGGGGAGGGATGGGGGAGGAGTCCAAATGGGAAAGAAGGGGAGGGACCTAGGATGAGAGAAGAGGACCCAGACAAGACAAACAGTTACAACGGGAGATGGAGGGGGGACCCCCTGGGTGTGTCTTTCCGAGAATCGTCGCCTCTTCCCCTTTTCCCTTGAGCGCAGGGAAAAGCCCCGATCGAGGAGGGGACCTAAGAAGAAGAAGGAGAAGAGGAAGAAGAAGAGAGGAGAAGAGGAAGAAGAAGAAGGAAGAGAAGGAGGAGAAGAAGAAGAAGAAGGAAGAGAAGGAGGAGAAGAAAGAAAACTGATCGATCAATCGTCCTTCTTTTAATCGGCAGCCCCTCCTTTCCCTAAAGATCTCCACACTCTTGAGGGTCCAAGAATTATTTGGGAAGAGAGTGTAAAGTGCTAATCTTTTTCATTGTTACCTATGGGAGTCGGGGGAGAAGATCAGTCAATAATTGGAAAAGAAAAGACTTCAGAGAACTTGAATGCATGAGACTGAATCAATCAAAGCTTTAAATCGATTGATTTTCAAACTCAGATTGAAAAATTAGAGCTTCCGATTCTATCTACTTTCCTCAGCTCTGAAAATTGACTTTATAACAATTTTAGCTATACTAGAGCGGTAGCTAAAGGTAGTGTAAGGGTTTTTAACGCTAGATAAACCTAGCTAGATAGCTAGGTTTATGTAACTACCTAGCTAGGTTTAAACCTAGCTATCTAACTGGTTTATGTAACTACCTAGCTATCTAGCTAGATTTATGTAACTACTTAGCTACTTAACAAAACTTCAGCTACATCTAATCTACAAGTTTAGAACTAAAAATTCTTATGAAAATTTACAAAAACTCTTACAATTTTCTAATTTTTCTATTAGACTTAACTGTTAGATTTAAATAAAATCTAGAAGTAAGTATCTAGTACAAATTGTTAGTAGAAAGAATTGGGTAATTGATCCGAACGGGGGGGTGGAGATTTCTGCATGGATGAGATGAGAAGAAGGGGTAAAGGGACACAACTCAACTAGTTTTCGGATCAGATTACAGCCTCAAGAATGGAATGGGAATTTGAGTGTGTGAGGCGGATAAGCACGGATTTGAGCTTGACAATATTTGGGATAAACAGCTCGAGCGATTGGGATTTCGAGTTTTTATGGGGAAATCCTTTTTGGCAACAAAATTTAGTCATCACTTGGTGGTTACTTATTGAAAGGGGATTTGTGGTTAAATTGAACTGTTCAACTTATTGCGAAACTTATTGCGACTGCGCTTTTTCTCTAGAGCAGTCTCTAGAGCAGTACCTAGTCACTACGAAAGTCAGAAATAGCTTTCAATGAATAGCTTTCAATTAAACAATAAGGTTTTTTCAACACTATTGTCTTAATAAATACGTTTTTACTGTCATCTCATGACACTCAGCTGCCTAGAGAGCTGCCTTGGACTCAGCTGCCTTGGAAATCAAGGCATAACCCTGGCCTGACACTTTAGAATTCTGATTTAGAATACTTTTTTTCTATTAGGTAAAGTTTTCGACAATCTAGAGCCTAGGTTAACCATTGAACTTGATCTTAAACCTAAGAAAGTTACCGAATTCTCCAAACAGTTCAGTTTCTCTTATCTAACAATCTTCTAATCTAAGTCTATCTAACAATAGACTTTATAGAAATCCGTCAGTCATTTTGAAAAACGTTACAGTATCATTGGTGCTGGCTGAGTGACTGGGGTGCAAGTGTTGGAAAGGGTAGGAAAGACAAAGACAAAGACAAAGAAATGGAGAGGAGTGGACCGGATCTGCCCTCAACATAGAGCTGGGAAGGCAATGGATGAATGGTCCCCCAAGAATGGTGGATGTGGGTGATGAGGGGATCCCCCATCCACACACACTTTACAGCGCCCCCGCACCTCCCTTTCCCCTCACAGATGTGCCCATCTCTTCGTCTATTGGACATTCACCCTTTTTTGCTTCTTCATTGCCAACAATCTTTTCCCTTCCTTCGTTTTTCTTTCGTCTTACTTCTCCTGGTCTCTTTTTTAACCGTAATCTTTGCCATTTCTCTGAACTGCTCCCTTTTCTGCCTTGATTTTTTTCAACTTTTCGATCTCCGAACGAGAAAAAGTGACTTTTATAAATAAACGAGAAGGGGCTTAACGAAAAAAGAACGGAAGAAAGATGAACAGAAGCAAAAAACATAAAGAAGACAAAGTAAAACAAAAAAATTGAAAGTCTTGAAAGCAATGGGTTTTGTGGAATTAATAAGATCAAAATGAAATCCTGATAAATGTGATTCTTGATCTTGATTCTTGTAAAAATCGATATTTGTTATATCAACTAATCTAACTAGATTTATCTACTTTTTGTTGTTACATTTTAAATCTAGCAGTGGATCAATGAAGCCTGTACTCCGGCTGGGTACAGGTGGAGTACCGGCTAACAGTAAGTACCAGCTCGTGCTGACAAATCGGCACTGATACTGACAATGAGTAGACTTATTAGAAGACTTGATAGTTGTCTACTAGAAAACTATGGCTAAACCTCTGACTAACAACAGCGCTGACTAACAACAGCCGCTAGATACAGCCAACTATTGTATTTTCTCTAATAGTAGTGAGACGAGTTGATGACTATTTTACTAGTTTCCAAGTTTTCACAGAAGCTCAACAATCAAATCCCTCACAAAAACTCATTATCAGCTACATTTTCGCCACATCAATAGGTTGCTTTCAAGATTTCAAGCAATTTAGGCGAAGCTTAGAATGCACTACTATTAGGAAATAACCATCATCACCTACATTCAGTGCTCTCATCGATCAGTGATGATCTCATCGTCACCTACATTTTCCGACCCCACATCAATAGGTTCTAATAAACGGCCTTCGAGATTTCAAGCAATTTAGGCGAAGCTTAGGATGTACTACTATTAGAAAATAACCATAAGCAAAGTGAAGCTTTCTATGAGCTAGGATCTTGAACATGTCAGTAAAAGGCACTGTAAAAAATGAATAAATGAAAACATAAACCATTGCTAAATAATTAAAATTTCTTCCCCCCAGAGTCCTTCTTTTATACAAGAGCAGTACTTTCCCCCTTTAATCTACTTTTTCCGCGATCGACACCTTGTGGCTGTAATCAGTAATCTTACCTGAATCATCTATTTCCCCGTATAGTTTTTATGTTGTTTTCTCGTTTTGTTGAGGATTGAGGGTAGTGGGTGGCTGTTGAAAGGAAAAGGAAAAGGGTGGGCAAGGCTGAGGCAAGGCTGAGGCAAGGATAAAGAGAAAGAATCTTCAGGGGTATTACACTGTTGGCTCATTTCTTGGACTCAGCCTCAGTCTCCCCATACACATACCAAGGGCGAGAGATCACTAGGAAGAGCTAAGCGGAGTAGCTGATCATGGGGAGAAAGTGTGGGTGCTTCTTTCTTGGGGTACTCTTTAGGTTCTTGGGGGTGATCATGGGGATCTAGAGATCTTCGAATAGTGTGGGTAGTTGGCAAGTCGGTCCTCACTCATCAATCAGATCCCTTTCAATCCTCTTTAACCTATTTTCTCCCCAATCCACCTCGATCCATGAGTTTTCCACGAATCTCCCCACTCGATTATCGGCTCGTTTAAACCCTAAACCCACGGAAATTGTGTGAGAAAAAGCAACAGCGATAAAAAGTGGGCGATTGCTAATTGTTGGAGGATCGAGGGATCGGTTGGAGAAATGGATGCTGTTAAGTTCTTCAGTTCTTCAGTTCAGGCTGCTGGAGTAGTGATGTTGATGCTAAAGTTGAATAAAAAAAAGCCAATAGTGTTGTGCGGATTGAGCTAACAATAGCTCACTCAAGTCCCAAAGTTGACCGCTCAAGACGAACGCGCAATTACGAGACGTCTTTCCAACACGACGACATCACTCGAAGAGGTTCGCAAGGAGATGAAGCTTCCGGTCACTCGCCAAACTGTGCACAACGTTGTCAAACGATCTTCAATACTCAAATACAAACTCATGAAGCAAGCTCCACGACTTACAAAGGACCATAAAGCCGATAAAAAGTGGGCGATTGCTAATTGTTGGAGGATCGAGGTGGAGGGATCGGTTGAAGAAATGGATGCTGTTAAGTTCTTCAGTTCTTCAGTTCAGGCTGCTGGAGTAGTGATGTTGATGCTAAAGTTGATTAAAAAAAGCCAATAGTGTTGTGCGGATTGAGCTAACAACAGCTCACTCAAGTCCAAGATGAATTCAGAAAAAAGCCCAGAGTTGATCCAGAACAAAGTCCGGCTTTCTCGTTCAGATATCCAGGACTATACGAGTTTTATGCAATCGTAAGAACTATAATATGATCATTTTCTGTGAATATTTGGTGTCAAAGCAGTTTGATAAAAATAAACTGTTGGGAAGAGGACTCTGTAAAAATAAACTGTCTTTTATACTTCCCACAAAATTATCGTTTTCTAAAGTGCACCATCCACGTCTGTCTAGGTTGTCACTAGGAACGTCCCGTAGTCTGTGCCATTTTATTTTGTTTTCGAGGAGTGGGACAAATGCGACCTTTTTTTGCGCACTCGGACATTTGCGCACCTTTCTTTCCGCACTTAGCCCATTAGCGCACTTTTTTTCGCGTTTTAAAAAAGCTCTAAAAGCGAATATTAACCAATTTTTATTCCAAAAGTTGTTTTTCTAGGTAATTTTAGGGCGTAGAATCGAAATTTTGGCATATCAGAGCTTGTGGAAGCGAACGAACGGAGTTATACAAAGAGAAAAACAATAAATTTTCTGTAATTTGACCTAGCCGTTTTGTCTTTCAAATTGGCTCCCTGTTTTCGCTCCCTCCCGTTGTTTTTCTACACTTTTTATTCGTTTTGCAATGGTGGAAAGTATTGAGCCCCTAGACTGTTTTTATTTTTTTTTTGTTTTAAAAAAGTTCTATCAAAAGTTTTTTTTTTTGAATTCGTTCTAAATTTGTAGAAACTAGAAGAACTAAGCTTTGTAATGTTATAAAAACTTGAATTGCAATGTTTAGTTAACGAGAAATAAAAAGGTACTTTATTTTTCACTTCTCTAGGGGTAATCGAGGGTGCTGAGCACGGATTTGACGGTTTTAGCATAGGTTTTCAGTTGTAAAATCACCATTTCGACACGTTAAAAATCTTCTGGGCGCTATTGGGGTTGGCGAGGACTTTTTTTTTCTTCAAAGCCACTTTTTCTGGGGTAGTTTTATGGATGGATTTCAAAGAACACAACGAGAGCTTGGTAAAATGCGTTTTAAGCCAAGTTTTGGGGCTCCAAAGTGCGCGCTCATACAGGTCAGGTTTCAAGTCTAAAAAACGTCCAAAACATTTTTTTGAAACCAAAAACACTTCTTTTGACCGCAAAATCTGATTTATTAAGTAAAATTGAGTTGAGTTGTAAAATCGAATGAGCAAAAGCGAATGAGCTCGATCATTTTCCGATTACAGGTGATTTAAATTGTGAGGATGGCAACACACTAACAATCGTTTGTTGAAAAGTTGTCTCTAGAAAAATTTGAAAAATTCCTTCTTCCTTGAACTCCCATCTTTCTTCCCCCTCTTGCCCACCCCCTGCCCTTCCCCCCCTTTATCTTTATTTTGGCCCACCCTTCTTTTTAAACGTTGTCCTAAGTTTAATTTGAAATTTTCCTCTTTTCCATTTACTTGAGATGCGTAAGATTTTCCTTAAGAAATAATTTCTATACAATGAATTGAAATAGATACACGTGAAAGAGATCCAATAAGTGTTTAAACTGAAGAGAATAGGGATGAACGGGTTGAAATCTGAAGAGAAAACTGGTTTAAATTAACTAAATTGTTTTTAGCATTTTTAGAAGACACTCACATTCATATGGTAATTGGAAATCCAAACAAGCGAAACATCCAAGCATCAAAGGGGGAGCTGTTGAGACTAATGGAGAAAAAAACTGAAAATAAAGACTTTTCGTTAGAATTTTGATTTAAACCTGTAAAAAAACGCAATAATAAGCATTCCTTTGTTGTTTTGAACGATTCAATGAGGAAATTCTTGATTGTTCCTCGATTGAACTGATGAAAATGTAGACGGAAAGACTCAACTCGATGAATAGAAAGAAACCAATCAAGAACATGGAAAGGATCTGAAAGTTTCATGGACAAAAATTGAGAAAAACTATTTAGAAAACGTTTTTGGTACGTTTTCTAGGAAACCAAAAGCTTTACATGGACAAAAATGAACGGATTGACGCCTGGCGCAAAATAAACTGATATTTGTGGATCGGGTAGAAGGTATTCTTTATCGGGAAACTGATATTTCTATATTCATTTAAATATAAAATACAAATGAAACCTTTTGTAGATAATAGCCCTTGGCAATCGTAAATTCCACTGTTCCAAAATAACCAGGCAAATAATTGAGAGCCGGGGCGAGAATGAAAAAACTGATCTAAAACTTATCATCTATCTAAATGTAAGTCTAGTGTCAGAGTCAGATCAGAGGTCGAATCCCGACCTAGGCTGGCCTGTAAACCAGGCTTGAGCCTGTCGGCCCATAACTTATACAATCTGTCAAAAAATCTGTTTTTTGTCTGGTTTTTGTTAGTTTAGAGCCGGATATAAGTCCTAGTCAAGTGAAAAGTATTTTTTAGTTTCTTTATTGTAAAAAAACAACCCATGCAAAATTTCAAGTGATTTCACTCGTCCAAAGTACTTTATCGTACTTAAAACGTTTTATCAGCTGTCAAAAAATTATAGACGCAACTGAAATTTGACGATTTATTCTATCGATAATTGTTAGATTTTTCTCAATTTTTTTGCTTATTAGTTATGTTTATAAATGTTTTTTTCATTTTCAGATATGCTACTTGGAAAACAACTGGATGTGATGGAAAAAACGCGTACCGATGTGCTCCAAACGCTTGGTCACTCAAACAGGGACATTGCTCGTCGCATCGGACGTTCTGAGAAATGTATTCGCACGTATCTCGAGACCAAAGTGACTCCTGAGAAGCAAGAAACACGGGGCCGGAAGAAAAAGTTGACCGATCAAGACGAACGCGCAATTACGAGACGTCTTTCCAACACGAAGGAGATGAAGCTTCCGGTCACTCGGTGCACAACGTTGTCAAACGATCTACAATACTCAAATACAAACTCATGAAGCAAGCTCCACAACTTACAAAGGACCATAAAGCCGCCCGTATCGATTTCGCTCAAAAGAACCAGAAGACCAAATGGGGAGGAGTTGGTTTACTAATATTTCTTATATATTTTATGTTTAGATGATTTGGAGTGACGAAAAGAAGTTTAACCTTGATGGTGCTGATGGTTTTCGAGGATATTGGATGGTTTCACGAAAGCCGGGCATGGTCTTCAGCACAAGGAACTTTGGAGGTGGATCATGTATGGCATGGGGAGCCTTTCGAGACGGTGAGCTGGTCGGCTTAGAGTTTATTTTGACCCGGATGACATCGCTTGACTATCAACAAGTGTTGGACAAACATCTGGCCGTCTATCTGAACAATCCGGGCATAACTTTACTTTTATGCACTATAAGGCGAGTATTCATGCAAGTTGCTCCACAAGAGTTTGGCTGACCCCGCGACCCGCTTGGCCCCGCTGCCGTTGTGTGTGGGGGGTTGTCGGTGCTCACGGAAACATTTGGGCGTAGTCACCTGCCTGCGGCCCGCCAAGCGCCCATGCCTTGTCCTTGTCTGGGTCTTTTGGTTGGAAAGGGCCCTTTTTTTTCGTTCTTTTCTTGTAAATCCGTGCGTCTTTTTTTTGCATTGTGGTGGTGTTATTATTGTTAACTATCTCGATCTCCTCTAAGGTGAAATTTTGCACTAGGCACAAAAGCATTTCAAAAATCAAATTTCGACATTCCAACAAGATGGGGTTCCGGCCCACAAAGCTAGGAAAGTCTCAGATTTTTACAAAGTGAAGTTTCCCGATTTTTTTCCAAATGGCCACTCGTCGGGTCTCGATCTAATGGATCATTCTGTCTGGTACGTCCTTGATGCAAAAGCCTGCTCAAAATAGCATAAAAACCTTGAAAGTTTGAAGAGAAATCTTCTGAAAGCCTGGGATGAACTCGATGATGCTTACTTGACCGCATTTTTGAGCTGACTGAGCTGACTTGCGTTACAAACTCTAGAACTCAGTTGGACAGTCTTATATCTATTTATAAGCCATCAAATAAATCATCTACCTCCCAGGCATGCGTAATTTTCTTGGGTATCTGGAAAAATCTCGACACAGTGAACATTCGTCGTCTCAATATCATTTCCAAACCAACTCCCATCAGCGTACAAAATAGGCACATTGTTGGCTGGAAAATTTGACTATTCACTCAGTTCTTTTGTTTCAAGAGACTTTCTCTTGTTTAGCTTTTAGTGTAACTTACATAATAAAATCCGATTAACGGCTTAAACGCGAAAATCTCTCGATATCGTAGAGCGATTATCGGGAAACTCGGTTGGATATCGAAGAAAAGCACCAAGAAATCGAAAGCAAAGCCGCTTGTCTGAAGGAAATTTGGTTTGGTTGCTGTTTCTCATTGAGGAAAGCAGAATTGTTTCAAAAGCAAATAGGAAAGTTGGACAAGAGCAGGGTCAAACCGGGAGACAGGTTCTGGCTCTGGCTTACTATTATATTAAAGGACTTGGATCTGACTTCTTGGCTCACTTGGCCCTGGCTTGCTTGGCGTACAGACTCAAGCCGTTGGTTGGAATATCCCTGTTCCCAAACAATCTTAACACTCACGTGTAGCAACAACAAAAACGGGATCAAATGTCTGAATGCGTGAGACGATTGGGTGTAAATGATGAATGTGGTCATCGAGAATAAAATACAGACGACAACAAGGGCGATTTGCTTGTAAATAAAACAATATTGATCCAATTGAGTGATAAGATCAATGCTGACATTCATTCAAAAAGAGTCCAGGAATGGATCTCCTTTCTGTCCGCCTGTCTTAACCCATGATAGAAAGCTTTTTCACCTGGCTATAATTGGGAAATGAAGAGTATCTGACGTGCACGTGGAAATGGAGAGTATTTCACGTGTAATTTTTCTTGGAATCAAGAAAATGTCGATTGTCGGTTCTGTGAAAGTAGGCCAAAACGGTGATGGTTTATGTTGTATTAGGTTGAGGAAAAAGTAATGTCGGTTTTTGTCATAAAACTGTTTATTGCTAAAAACATAAACAAACGCACATCAATCGATGAGATATTCTCCATTATGATTGATGACTTGTTCCCATCTTCGTCGCAAGTCCCTGATCCCATCTTCAAAAAAAAATGGCGAGTTTTCGAGCCAAAATAAGTGTCGACTGCTTTTTTGTTCTGTACATGATTCTCGAGCTTTTCTCCCATAAGAAAACTCCTCAATGACCGAAACAAAAATAATCTGATGGGGCCAGTTCTGGACTATGAGCTCCGCGAGGCAGAAGTTTCCAACCAAGCTCGTCGATTTTTTGGTGAGTGATTTTTGCAGTGTGCGGTTTTGCATTATAATGCAAAAATAGCAATTCTGATGTTTCAACGCCCAATTTCTTATTGGAACTATATCCGAACTGTATTGGAACTGTATCCGAACTATATTGGAACCATATTGGAACCATATTGGAACCATATTGGAACCATATTCGAACCATATTCGAACCATATTGGAACTATATTGGAACTGTATCCGAACCATATTGGAACCATATTGGAACCATATTCGAACCGTATTGGAACCATATTGGAACCGTATTGGAATGATATTGGAACTATATTGGAACTGTATTCGAACCATATTGGAACCATATTGGAACCATATTGGAACTGTATTGGAACTGTATCCGGACCATATTGGAACCATATTGGAACCATATTTGAACCATATTGGAACCATATTGGAACCATATTGGAAACGCTTTCGAACCATATTGGAACTATATTGGAACTAACCATATTGGAACCGTATTGGAACCATATTGGAACCATATTGGAACCTCATCAACTGTTTTGAATAAAGATCAGCGGTGACAGTTTCGAGTGGTAAGGGTTGGATTGATTTCAATGGCATCAAGCAAATCCTCATCTGAAATCTCTTGGGGTCGTCCAGACCGTTCCTCGTCTTGGAGACTTTCATTTCCATCTTTTAACCGCGGAAACCATATTTGGCATTGTCTTTCGCTAATGCTGTCTTCCCCAAAAACTTCAATGATTGTCCGTTGCGATTCAGCCGCTGATTTTCCTTATTTAAAATAATACCACAAAGCGGCTCGAAGTCGAAACTTTTCGTCTTGCATTTTGTACGTGAAAATATTGTTAAATTTATAAAAATTTATAAAAGCCAAATATAATATGAAAGTATAGAGTGTCTAGCTGAAATTTATTTTAAAAAATCGCATAAGAAATAACTGGAAAATCGCCAACAACGGGGAATTCAAAACCGACATTACTTTTTCCTCAACCTAATAGTTGGCTTTAGTTTACAATTTGCTTAATCTTAATTTAGGCTAATGGATTTTTCAGGAAAGTTTTAGTTGATGAGACTTATTCGAAAATTAACTAAGCAATTAACTAACTAAGCAATTTTAGCCACTCGCCGGAAAATTTGACTCTGATCAACGAAGCGCTGTCGATTCGCTCAACGGACACGAAGATGTGAATTTGATTTGTGAAGCCCAACTGAACGCCCACAATATCAACGCCCGTCTTCAAGGTCTATCACCCGTACAAGCGGAACTCTACTTGAAAACTTTAAGCAAGAATTTGTGGAGAGAAGTGAGTGTAATAGTAGTAGATCCTCGCGACTGTTGTAAGCTGATTGACTTGCTTGTGGAATAACAAGTTAGCGTTTATCCAGTGTAATGAAAAAGAATACTAAAAAAAATACAGTGGTGGAAAAAAGTAATAGGTCCCCAGAATGTTTTTGCTTTTTGCTTCAAAAAAGATTTCTCTCGAAAGGTTTTTGAATCCGTTCTAAATTTCTAGAAACTAGAAGAACTAAGCTTTGTAATGTTATAAAAACTTGGATTGCAAAGTTTATTTAACGAGAAAACAATGTACACAATAACAAATTGCAACAAAATTATAACATTTTCTTTATTTAACACCTGTTGCGAAATGATAGAACCATGCGAATGCGAAACGATGCGAAACGTTAACGTAAATGAAAAGTAAATGCTCAATAGGGTTGCAATCAGAAGAATAAGGCAGAGTTTAAAGCAGATAAACGTTATTAATGCGAAACCAGCCAGGAAGACGAACAGAACGACGATTTGATCTCTTCGCTTTTCGGCCCCAGATCAAATCGCTTATGTGTTTTGGGTCGTTGTCTTGTTCAAGAGCCACGCCGAACCCATATTTGTACTAGCGTAAGGGAACATTGATGCCGTTAATATTTCAGCCTATTTAAGTCCATCCATAATTCCATCGATAAGAACGAGAGCCCCAATTCGACTGAGATGAAAAACATCCCCAACACATTATGCCCCTCCATTAAATTTCACGGTCGGAATGATGTGAAGTACATCATTCCGACCGTGAAAACTTGTTTCGTGTTCGAATCGGTCTTTTGATTACATGGAAGCCCTTGAGTTGGAAATATTGAATTTTGTTTCGTCGCTGAAAAGCACGTGCTTGCAGGTCTCAATTGTCCAGTGTTGATGATCCAAAGCGAATTATAGACGAGCCATTCGATGCCGTTGAATTATTAACGGCTTTCGTGCCGGCCTTCTCGAGTATAATCCAAACGCTTTAAGCCGATTCCTCACTGTTCTCTAGTGTTATATTGACGTTAAACTTGCGTCTTGAGAAAATTCTTTCCATCGGTGGTAGTTAGAGTCGGCGTCAAGTGCCTTTTCAAGGCCAAACCCTATTGAGCATTTATGGCCCTATTGAGCAACCCACGTGCTTTCCACTTTCGCCCACTTTCCAGCCTAATACAGTGTGTTGCAAAATGATCGGACCACCCTCGGTTTTTGTGATTTTTGATTTTAAATAACTAAAAATACAAAATGATGCTTAAATTCGAATTTTATATACAAAAGTACGCCCAAATACCGCTTGCCAAATAATTTACTTTAGAAGGCAAAATTTTTTAAGCATTTCTTTATTTTACACCTTTTGCAAAATGATAGGACCACTGGGGACCTATTACTTTTTTCCACCACTGTATTTTTACTTTATTGTATTCTTTTTCATTGCACTGGATAAACGCTAACTGTTATTCCACAAGCAAGTCAATCACGTTACAACAGTCGCGAACATCGACTTTCACAGAACCGACAACCGACATTTTCTTGATTCCAAGAAATATTACACGTGAAATACTCTCCATTTCCACGTGCACGTCAAATACTTTTTTTCCACCACTGTACTCTTCATTTCCCAATTATAGCCAGGTGAAAAGCTTTCTATCATGGGTTAAGACAGGCGGACAAAACGGAGATCCATTTCTGGACTCTTTTTGAATGAATGTCAGCATTGATCTTATCACTCAATTGGATCAATATTGTTTTATTTACAAGCAAATCGCCCTTGTTGTCGTCTGTATTTTATTCTCGATGACCACATTTATCATTTACACCCAATCGTCTCAAGCATTCAGACATTTGATCCCGTTTTTGTTGTTGCTACACGTGAGTGTTAAGATTGTTTGGGAACAGGGATATTCCAACCAACGGCTTGAGTCTGTACGCCAAGCAAGCCAGGGCCAAGTGAGCCAAGAAGTCAGATCCAAGTCCTTTAATATAATAGTAAGCCAGAGCCAGAACCTGTCTCCCGGTCTGACCCTGCTCTTGCCCAACTTTTCTATTTGCTTTTGAAACAATTCTGCAACCAAACCAAACTAAATGAGAAACAGCAACCAAACCAAATTTCCTTCAGACAAGCGGCTTTGCTTTTGATTTCTTGGTGCTTTTCTTCGATATCCAACCGACTTTTCCGATAATCGCTCTACGATATCGAGAGATTTTCGCGTTTAAGCCGTTAATCGGATTTTATTATGTAAGTTACACTAAAAGTTAAACGAGAGAACATCTCTTGAAACAAAAGAACTGAGTGAATAGTCAAATTTTCCAGCCAACAATGTGCCTATTTTGTACGCTGATGGGAGTGGGTTTGGAAATGATATTGAGACGACGAATGTTCACTGTGTCGAGATTTTTCCAGATACCCAAGAAAATTACGCATGCCTGGGAGGTAGATGATTTATTTGATGGCTTATAAATAGATATAAGACTGTCCAACTGAGTTCTAGAGTTTGTAAGGCAAGTCAGCCCAGTCTTGGTCAGAATCCAGGGTCAGGCCTGGTTTCCCCGGCTAGGCTAGGTTAGATCAGAACTTAGTTTTGACTTGGTCTGAGATAAGTGCTTTATAAGACTGTCCAACCGAGTTCTAGGGTGTATAAGCCAGGTCAGAGTCTAATTAGATTCTATAGGGTGGTTCATAATTATAGGTGCAGATAAAAAGCTTTGTGGGTAGAGAAGATTAAACTCTAGAGAGTAAATTTGTTTTAAAATCTTTATTTAATATCAATGAACAAAAAACGTCGAAATTTGATTTTTCAAAATGCTTTTGTGCCTAGTGCAAAATTTAAGCTTATAGGAGATTGAGATCGTTAAAAATAATAAGCCACTGCACCTATTATTATGGGCCACACAGGCTCAAGCCTGGTTTACAGGCCAGCCTAGGTCGGGATTCGACTTCTGATCTGGCTCCAACACTAGACTTACATTTAGATAAATGATAACCGTATTTTCTCTAATAGTAGTGCACTATGAGCGTCGTCTAAATTGGTCGAAATCTCGAGAACCGCTTATCAGAACCTATCGATGTGGGGTCGGAAAATGTAGCTGACGATGAGATCTAGTGGGGGATTTGAGTGTTGAGCTTCTGCAAAAGCTTGGAAACCGTAAAATAGTCACCAACTCGGCTCACTGGGGTGCACTACTATTAGAGAAAATACGGTAAGCTTTAGATCAGTGTTTTCATTCTCGCCCCGGCTCTCAATTATTTGCCTGGTTATTTTGGAACAGTGGAATTTACGATTGCCAAGAGCTATTATCTACAAAAGGTTTCGTTTGTATTTTATATTTAAATGAATATAGAAATATCAGTTTCCCGATAAAGAATACCTTCAACCCGATCCACAAATCTCAGTTTATTTTGCGCCAAGCGTCAATCCGTTCATTTTTGTACAGGTAAAGCTTTTCGTTTCCTAGAAAACGTACCAAAAACGTTTTCTAAATAGATTTTCTCAATTTTTGTCCATAAAACTTTCAGATTTTTTCCATTTTCTTCATCGGTTTCCTTCTATCGATCGAATTGAGTCTTGCCGTCTACCTTTTCATCAGTTCAATCGAGAAACAATCAAGAATTTCCTCGTTGAAACGTTCAAAACAACAAAGGAATGCTTATTATTGCGTTTTTTTACAGGTTTAAATCAGAATTCTAACGAAAAGTCTTTATTTTCAGTTTTTGGCTCCATTAGTCTCAACAGCTCCCCCTTTGATGCTTGGATGTTTCGCTTGTTTGGATTTCCGCTTACCGTATGAATGTGAGTGTCTTCTAAAAAATGCTAAAAACAACTTACCGTAAATACTGTAATTGGACCCCATGGGGTACTATTTTTTCCCTCCCCCTCTAGGGTGGGGTACTATTAGAGGGTGGGGCACTATTTTACACCACTGTGCCTGTAATCGCCTTCTTTGATTGTCTTGTTCAGCCTCAGAATGTGCTCGACGATGGCCTTCTCAAATTTGACTCGGCAGCTTTTGACAAGTTGTTGTTGGTGCCCTCAAAGAAAGTTGGTGACGCCTCAAGAACGACTCCATCCAGCCATGGGTTCTTTTGAAAGAAATTTCAGCTTTTTTGAATCATAATAAGGAAATACATGAAAATTTTCCGCTTTAAAAGAGTTGTTTGTAGTTACGCGTTAGGTGGAGGTGGGGTACTATTAGAGGGGTGGGGTATTATTCCCCCCCTCTAGGGTGGGGTACTATTAGAGGGGTGGGGTATTCCCCCCCCAGGGTGGGGACTATGAGGGGTGGGTATTATTCCCCCTCTAGGGTGGGGTACTATTAGAGGGGTGGGGTATTATTCCCCCCTCTAGGGTGGGGTACTATTAGAGGGGTGGCGTCCAATTACAGTATTTACGGTAGATACTTTAAACCAGTTTTCTCTTCAGATTTCAACTCGTTCATCCCGATTCTCTTCAGCTTAAACACTTATTGGATCTCTTTCACGTGTATCTACTTCAATTCATTGTATAGAAGTTATTTCTTAAGAAAAGTCTTACGAATCTCAAGGAATGGTGGTAAATGGAAAAAAAATTTCAAATTTCAAATTTCTCTAGAGACAACGTTTCATCAAACGACGGTTAGTGTGTTGCCATCCACACAATTTAAATCGACTGTAATCGGAAAATGATCGAGCTCATTCGATTTTGCTTCTTCGATTTTACAACTCAACTCAATTCTACTTAATAAAAGATTTTGCGCTAGTTTTAAGCTATCAACTAGAATCAGAAGATCACAAGGGTAGAGGCCAAAATAAAGATCAAGTTCAAGCTGGTTGGCCAGAACAAGGCCAGGGTTTAGTCATTCAAGAGCACATCAAGATCAAGCTCATTATTGGGGCTAGAGCCAAGGCTAGAGTCAAGATCTAGGAGTCAGATTCAAGGCTAAGACAGAGAAAGAGCCAAGTTAAGCCAAAATCATAGCTGCTTGTGCTCATAGAAAGGAAATTTCATTAACGGGTGAAGTTATGCTTTGTTTTAAAGAAGATGAAAGAAGCGGATTATCGGCTTGTTTTGTAACGTGGAATTTTTCTTTTTGGCACGGACATTGCAACAAAATTTTGATTCAGGATCGCGCTTCGATTCACAATGACGTCGCACACAGAAATAATTTTAACTAGACTCCTTAATGAGAAAGATCAAAAAATCGGTTCGCGCAACTTCAGACGCTTCATCTAGCCAGCAGAGTATCGGATTTCAATGAACTTTTTTTTTGATTTAAAAGCCAAGATTTTTAGCTATCTAATGATACCCATCACTTGTATTTTTCTTTTGAAAAAGTGGGCCAAAAACTTTATCGAAAATTAACGAGATAACGAGGAATTGTCTGTTTAACTTTCGATAAAGTTTTTGGCTCACTTTTTCAAAAGAAAAATACAAGTGATGGGTATCATTAGATAGCTAAAAATCTTGGCTTTTAAATCAAAAAAAAAGTTCATTGAAATCCGATACTCTGCTGGCTAGATGAAGCGTCTGAAGTTGCGCGATCCATTTATCTCGTTCATTCTCGTTAAGCAAGTCCAGTTGGTCAAGGGGTCAAGTCAAGAGAGTCCCTCTTCTCTCCTGGTCTTGTTCTTCTGACTTGAATGTTATCGAAAACGTATGGGTATTTATCGTTCGCAAAATTTACGACGAAAATAAGACGTATCGAAACGTTGATGAGCTCAAGCCTTTCTGGTCACCTGGTCGACGCATAGGACCAGGTCGACCAGAAATTGATTGATAATCATCAACAGCCATCTTCACTTGTATCAAATCGACAATAAAAGTTAAACGTTTTCCTCTCGTCTATCAGATTTCACAGGAATTTAAAAATAATTTTTGAAAATGTTTAAAACTTTAATGAAAATCGGGTATTTCGAGAAAATCGGATTTTTCGAGAAAATCGAATCGTTTATTTTCAACGAAACGCGGAGAAACCTATTTTGAAGGTGAAAATCTAGAAAAAAAGGGCCAAATCAAAAGCCAAAAGGGGAAAACCCTACTATTTGTATACCATAAAAAAAACTTTGCGTGATTCTTTTCCGTATCGAATCTATTTCGAGAGAAAAACCGGTGAACCTGAATGGCCTTGAAAATCGATTCCCTCTTTGTTTTCCCATTGAATTCTCTCTCGTTTTTCAGTGTTGTTTCTCTTCCTACTCCATAAGGGATTTGACTATTTTTTTCTTTAACTTTGGCCTTTCTTCACCAAAATATCACTTCCGTTTTATCTAGTCTTGATTTAATCTGAAACATTTCCTCAGTTTTTCCAAATCTTTTCGTTTTAAGCTTTCCATTTGTCTTACCAATTATTGTAGAAAGTTCTCGTTCTGACCGCCATAGCCGACTGGCTATGAGCCCTGTATCTTAGTCAGGAGGTCAAGAGTTCAATCCCGCTATCCCGTTCAATCCCGCCATCCCGTTCAATCCCACCATCCCGTTCAATCCCGCCATCCTGTTCAATCCCGCCATCCCGTTCAATCCCGCCATCCCGTTCAATCCCGCCATCCCGTTCAATCCCGCCATCCCGTTCAATCCCACCATCCCGTTCAATCCCGCCATCCTGTTCAATTCCGCCATCCCGTTCAATCCCGCCATCCCGTTCAATCCCGCCTCCTGTTCAATCCCGCCATCCTGTTCAATTCCGCCATCCCGTTCAATCCCGCCATCCCGTTCAATCCCGCCATCCTGTTCAATTCCGCCATCCCGTTCAATCCCGCCATCCTGTTCAATCCCGCCATCCCGTTCAATCCCACCATCCCGTTCAATCCCGCCATCCCGTTCAATCGGAGTGACACATATGTATTCACCTTGTTGAGCGCACTTCTGAAAGCAATTACTGTTTGTGAGCTCAACGACGCCAAGCCGGCTGAGCTCAAGAGCACTGATTGTAAGCAAGATATCTCCAGTAAACAATAAGTCAAGTTCAACAATAAGTCATTTGCCAAGTTCAATCTTTTGCGCAGCACATTTAGTGATTGAGTCTAGTTCCCTGACTTTAACTACCTCACAAATCACTGAAACATTCATTATTAAACAGACAGCTGACAGCTTGATATAAGTTTGGTAACTTTTCTTCGCCTTTATCTTTCCCTTGTTCACTTAAACATCTCACTTCATAGATTCCCATTGAGCACTTCTATCGATAATCCCTTTTCACCAAAAATTTGATCTCCTTTCATCATTCGCGGAAATGTGTTTTTGTGAAAAGTTGATGATTGTGTGTGGTTCTTTTGCGGATTGTCTTTTTGTCTGGGTTGATCTTGGGAAAAATGGGTGTAAGGGAAGGAGGAAAGAGAAGGGTTTTCCTATTTTCAATTTTGGGAAACAGGGAAAAAAAGGGTAATGTTTGTGTATGGGAAATGAAAGTGATCCACGATGACAAGTTGATCGTATTGTTTTTGGTTGTTTTTCTTGAAGCTTCTAGTTCAAGCTGAGGCTGTGGAAGCTGAAGCTGTGGAAGCTGAAGCTGTGGAGGCTAAAGCTGTGGAAGCTGAAGCTGTGGAAGCTGTAGCTGTGGAAGCTTTAGCCGTGGAAGCTTTAGCCGTGGAAGCTGAAGTAAAAAGTGAGATAAGTAAAAGTTATGTTATGTTAAATTTATGTTTGCACATTTCTAAGCATTCTGAGCACATTTCGAGGCCTAAAAGTCTAAAATTTGATGTTCTTTAGACTAAATGAAGTCTAAAGAACATCAAAGAAAAGTCTAATCAAAATATTGCTCAATTTTTCTTCAAAATCTCATTAATCCAAAAGGTAATCATAAAAATAAGGAAAAATCTCTTGAAAATTGACTCGATTTGCCTTTCTTTGAGCGTCTTAACTCCTCCGATTTCCTCTTTTTCATCGTCATTAGTCGATTCGAATTGTTTTTTCTTTTTTCCACCTCTTCTTCCACCTTCCACCTCTTTTCCAAAAATCTCACCTCAACATCTTCTTTCTTTTCCTTCTTTTCCTTCTTTTTTTTTGTTCTTTTTTCCAAATTCTATTCCCATTTTCCAAAAAAAATCCACTCTGTTAGGCCAAATTTCGGTGTCTTTTCTCCTGGCTTAAGATTGAGATTTTGTTTCTTATTTCCATCGTTCCTCATTTCTTTCTCCATCGTTCCTCATTTCTGTTTTGATGGTGGTTCTTTTTTTTTTCGATCTTGCAATGAAATGAAATGAAATCAACTTTACTAGATTTTATTGAAATTTGAAGTTTACAAGTTTACAAGTTTACAAGTTTAAAAATTGGTTTAAATGGTAAAATTGGTAAAATCTGTTTCCCCTTGAGTCAATTCAAAGTCAATTCAATTCAAAGTCAATTCAAATTCAAACTTTGCCCAAATTGTGAATGATGGGAAATGCCAGCTTTCTTTGTTTATCTTTTCTTCAACTTTTTCATTGAGTTTAAATTTTCGATCTTTGTCTGACAAGGGAGTTTTCTGAGCTTAAAGTTCGGAATCGACTTAAAACACAATGCATAATATAGAATCGGCAATAGCAAGCAAAAGGCCACAAAAATTAGTCGCTAAAGTTCGCTAATAGCCACAGAAACGCGAGAAATCTGGCAATACAAAATTGGAATTCAAAACTGATTCCTTTATAAGGCTTCAAAAAACAAAAGCTTTTGCATTTGAGTGGAATTGAACCCGAGGACAAAAATAGGACAGATCACAGATCGTCTCAGATCACAGATCACAGATCTAAGCCTTTATTAAGGCCACGAACTAGGCCACGAGCTCATCTCTGGCAGGCAGCGAGGGAAGCCTTATAAAGGAATCATTTTTGAAGCCCAATTTTGAATGCCAGATTCCTTTCATTTCCGTGGCTATTAGTGGCTTATTTTTGTGGCATTTTGCTTGCTATTGCCGATTCTATATTATGCACTGTGTTTCCAGTCGATTCCGAACTTTGAGCTCAGACCATTCCCTTGCGAGTTTACTTTTCTGGATTAGTCTAAAATTTTAAATCAATTTCATTACTTGCAAATTAAAAGAAACTCCATCAAATTGTCAAATCAAGCCAAACCTTTAGTCAGCTCAAGCTCAAGCTTTCCAAAGCTCAAGCTCAAGCTTTCCAAAGCTCAAGCTCAAGCTTTCCAAAGCTCAAGCTCAAGCTTTCCAAAGCTCAGCTCAAATCCGCTCATTGCTCCCCCTATTGTTCCCCATAAATTGACCTTGATCATCATCTATTTTTTTCTATTTTAAGAATTTTTATGCTCATTTTCAATTAAATCAATTTCAGCCTCAAAAAAAGGGAAACGAAGCAACGATTTCCGGGGCGACAATTTAACGTTGGATCTCCCCGATCTCGTTTCTCTTTGATCCACAAAAGAGACTGATCACTATTTTTTTTTCTCGAATTCCTATTTTTCTCTAAGCACCCTCTATAAACAATCCATCAAATTGAATTCATTTCACAAATGGATCCATCCAGTCTTCGCCTTCAAAGGTATCTTGAAAGTTAGGAAAAAAAAGGGGAAAGATTATCAAGTGACCTGATTGAAGATCGAGAAATTGTGATTGGTAAAGAACGAAAATAGATATTGATTGAATTTGAAATTAGTTTGAAATCAATTTGCAATCAATTTCAAATCAATTTGTAATGAATTTGAAATCAATTTCAAATGACAATAATTTTTTGAAGAGTGTCTAGCACGGAGAATGAGGGACAAGGAGATGCCGAACAGCCATTGATGAATGGCTTCAGAAGTCATGTAGATGAAGGAGAAGAGGCCGAATCGGATAGTGAGGTGAGAGAAGGAAGTGCTTGGGAGAGAGGGAAGAATCTCAATGAAATCTAGTGTCAAAGTGTTAAAATTTCGTACAAAGGAGTGTACTTAAGAACGTACTTAAGAACGTGATTGATAAGTGGAAAGGATAAGTGCTTAAATAAGGAAATCAGCTTTACTTTGAGATTGGAATGGATAGGATATTTTATCGATAGGTTATTGGAAAAAAATTATCCTTTGAATTGTTACCTAATTTGACCGTGACTTGGATTTTAGCTCAGGTTTGCTGGGTTTTATACAGGCTTGGCTCAAAGCTGAACCTGGAGCTGGTCTAGGGTCTGGTTCTAAGCTCCCTGATTTTTAATCACTTTCAAACCAGTCTAGCTACAGTTAAAAGAACATTTTCAGAGATGAATCACTAAATCCAAGCCTGTTTTTGCTTGCTAAGCCAGATTTTCTAGATGTTTTCAGCTTAAATCCCAAGCTTACATCTAAGCTAACTCCCAAGCTTACATCTAAGCTAACTCCCAAGCTTACATGTAAGCTAACTCCCAAGCTTACATCTAAGCTAACTCCCAAGCTTACATCTAAGCTAACTCCCAAGCTTACATCTAAGCTAATTCCCAAGCCTAAGCTATCATCATAGAAAATAATGTTCTGGAGATCAAATTTGCCTAGAAACAATCGGTAAATCAATAATCAAGCTCAATCTTTTGAAAAGCTTTCATCTTCCAGATTATTTTCAAGTTTGGTATTTCAAATTTCCAGGGAGAGCCGGGAGATTCACCGGCCAGCGGATGGCGTCGAAGGCATGAGACTTGGATGCAATTCTACAATCGTGAGTGGTGAGTGATCGGATTTCATTCTTCGCTTTCTCTCCGGAACTTAGCGCTTCTCCATCTAAAATATTTCGCAAAAAAAGCAATGAATGAGGCACTTATTGAAAGAAATCCTTTATTCTTTTCCTTCTAAAAGCTTTGAGGTTTTTGAAGATTTGTCAATGGGGTTTTAAAAAGTAATCCCAGTGGGCTTGAGAATGGAAAAATGACTCGATGAGAGAAGCCGCATTTCGGTTCAGATTTTGATTGACTACATTATTTTTTTTACTTTATTTTCTGAACCTATTCAAAATCTATTCAAAATTCTGCGCAAAAACTCAACAATTGATCGTGAGTGATGTTTTTAAGAAAAAGATTAGATTAGATTTCAAAGCTGAATCCCTTAAAGGCTCCCCTTAAAGAGCGCACATCGGCGCGAAATAAGGCAAAAATGCGTTTTCTATCGGATTTTTCCGGGAGTACCTTTTTTAGATGCGGAAAATTGTGCTGATTCCGAATCTGAAGGAATTTTCCAAATCCCCCTGACAGAAATTTTTTAAATTGAGTTTTAGCGGTTTTTTGGTCATTTTGTATGGGAAATTTTGTGGTACCCTGCAGTTTGGAGCTCGTAACTCGACAACGAGGGTCTAGAACTAAAAACGAAGGGATAAGTTTTATTCTAGAGATTCTTACGAACATTTTGACGCAAAAATCATCAAATTTGCTCAACTCTACAAAAAGTTATAACATTTTTTAAAAAAGAAATGAGAAAATTTAAGAAATTCTCTATTGCACAAATGTTTTGTTCAAAAGAACAATGTAGCTATGTATCGTATTCACTCGAAACAATTAAGGAATATGCAAAATAATAGCTCAAGTGCGCGGGAGAGCCGAACCAACAACCCCATACTTTTGCGCAGGATTCACGTCGCGCGCCTTAGACCACTCGGCCACGGTTTCCCCTTATGTTTTTAGTGTATTTTGCAAAATTTCTTTAAAGATGTTATAACTTTTTGTAGAGTTGAGCAAATTTGATGATTTTTGCGTCAAAATGTTCGTAAGAATCTCTAGAATAAAACTTATCCCTTCGTTTTTAGTTCTAGACCCTCGTTGTCGAGTTACGAGCTCCAAACTGCAGGGTACCACAAAATTTCCCATACAAAATGACCAAAAAACCGCTAAAACTCAATTTAAAAAATTTCTGTCAAGGGGATTTGAAAAATTCCTTCAGATTCGGAATCAGCACAATTTTCCGCATCTAAAAAAGGTACTCCCGGAAAAATCCGATAGAAAACGCATTTTCGCGCCGATGTGGAGCGGTATTAATCGCGGCCGGGTGACGATAAAATTTTTTACCGCATTTTTTACGGCAACCACCTGTTTTTTTATTTTAATATCGTTGATTTTATTATAAAAAGAATAAAAATCACCCGGCTAGAGTGATTTGATGAGTTTACAAATTTTTGGAGACGCTGCAAGGCTCGCGTACAAGGTAAGTGCGAAAGTAAAGCAAAAGTCAGGCATTATGTTTTCTTTTTGTTTTCTTTAGACTTTCGTTTTTAACGCTTTTAGTTTTTAACATCTCTAGATGCCTTTTTCAAGATGGAGATTTTATTTTTAGATAATGCAAAAGATTATTAAGCTAATCTAAGCTTATGGTCTTCTAAATACTCTTGTTTTTTCGAAAGCCAAGAAAACTTATGTTACGAAACAAAAGAAAACCACAATCGAATGGAAAAAAAGATCTAATTGCGTCAATCGAAGCGCTCAAGATGGAGGAGATCCAGTCATTTCTGCTGAGGATGCGCTGGGAATTGACTAAGATACGGAGCCGATTTGAGAAACTGCTGTACTTGAGCGAAGATGAAAGTGAGCAAGAGGAAGAATTTTATAGATTAACAACTTATTTTTATTGTTTTTTGTGCTTTTTATTTTGTTTTTAAATTTATCTGCAAGTAAAACTCAATCGATCTAGACTGTGCTGATTTCGCGATTAATACCGCGCTGTTTCTTCGCTATTGGCGATCGATCTAAACTGTGCTGATTAAAGATTTCGAGACTATTCGACTCTCTCAAAACTCTGGGGAGTCGATTCCAAATTCTGGCAGTTCTTATTGGAAAAAAAGTTACCGTATTTTCTGTAATAGTAGTGCAGTCTTTAATCGTAGTGCAGGCTGGCGGGGGGCTTGAAAAAATAGTAGTGCGCACTACTATTAGGTTGTCCAATAAGTAATGCGTGTTTTGACGCGATTTTCAAAATATCACAAAATTAACAAAAGAGAACTTTATTAATCGATATATTCTCCACAACAATCAACAACATTTCTCCATCGTCCGAGCAAAGAGTGAAGTCCGTCATAATAGAATGAAGCTGGTTTCGATGAGAAGAAATCGTCGAGCCATTTTTGCACCTCGTCAACACTTTTGACTCGTTTCCGTCCGCAAATCGTTTAAACCAGCGCTGGCACTGGCTGATTGAAATTGAATCCTCTCCAAATGCGGCACAGATAGTTCGATGGCAATCCGCTGCAGTTTTACCTCGTTTGAAATCATACAGCATTGATGCGCGGACAACAAACTTTTTGTCTTTCATCTGCAAAACAACATATCTATTATAAAACAAAGGCAAATGAATAAAATAATATATAAAAATAAACACAAGATGCTGATGATTAAAAAGAGCATATATTTGCTCGAAGCGATTTCGCAATAGTTTCGAAATAAGTAACGCGCATTACTTATTGGAAAACCTACTATTACAGAAAATACGGTATACACAAACTTATTGGAGGTAACTGGAATTTCTAAAACGAAAGAACCTCTCCTTGAATTAACCGTGGGATTAACTTTGAATAAATCTCGAAAAAGAGTTTTCTTAAATAGGTGCCTTTTAGCTGAGGTGTCTGATGGGTGACGATCTTGTTTTTCTCCAAGCCTTGCAGCGTCTCCAAAAATTTGTAAACTCATCAAATCACTCTAACCGGGTGATTTTTATTCTTTTTATAATAAAATCAACGATATTAAAATAAAAAAAAAACAGGTGGTTGCCGTAAAAAAATTTTTATCGTCACCCGGCCGCGATTAATACCCCTCTCCCCTTTAAGGAATTGTTTCTTATGAATCATTAACAAAAGTGTGAGTCCTTTTTTTGAGCTTTTTATTAGTTTGAATGATTAAAAATCTCACTTGAATAGTAGAAAACTTATTGATTAGACTTTTTGAACACTAAATATTCAAATAATCAGGTTTCCGAACGAATCTCATTCATTTCTTCGTGGAGGACTGGTTTCTGTCGGGGTTGCTCGGCGTTTTGACTGCAATCATCTCGATCACCACCGATTTGGGCATTGAATACTTGTTACATGGTTGGATTTGTCTATCTCTATGTCTATCTGTCTATCTGTCTATTCTTGTCTATCAAACTCTATGCACAAAAAGTTTCAACAATTGACTGGGTAGCTAAGTTGGACAAGCCTATCGTTTTATGGGTTAAGGCTAGGAATGCAAAAGATGGTCGATGCCGGGATTCGAACCGGCCACCTCTCGCTTACCAGGCGTTTACCAGGCGAACATTCTAGCAATGAGCTATAGAGACACGTATCCAATTGCAGCCAGTGTAGCCTTATTGCTAACTTCACTTTTCAGCGAAGCGAAGTCTCTACGAGCGAATGTTGTTACAGGGAGAGTTACAAGCTTTCTCAATATGGGTGAGCTGCTTGAATCTATGAAAGCTAAGCTATCTATGGAAGCTAGGCTATCTATGGAAGCTAAGCTATCTATTGAGAAGCTAAGTTATCTAATGAATAGCTAAGCTATCTATGGAAGCTAAGCTATCTATTGAGAAGCTAAGTTATCTAATGAATAGCTAAGCTATCTATGGAAGCTAAGCTATCTTTGAGAAGCTAAGTTATCTAATGAATAGCTAAGCTATCTATGGAAGCTAAGCTATCTATTGAGAAGCTAAGTTATCTAATGAATAGCTAAGCTATCTATGGAAGCTAAGCTATCTATTGAGAAGCTAAGTTATCTAATGAATAGCTAAGCTATCTATGGAAGCTAAGCTATCTATTGAGAAGCTAAGCTATCTATGGAAGCTAAGCTATCTATTGAGAAGCTAAGCTATCTATTGAGAAGCTAAGCTATCTATGGAGGCTAAGTTACCTATTGAATAGCTAAGTTATCTATTAAAAATCTAAGCTATCTATTGAAATCTAAGTTATCTATTGAAAAGCTAAGCTATCTATGGAAGCTAGGCTATCTATGGAGGCTAGGCTATCTATGGAAGCTAAGCTATCTATTGAAAAGCTAAGCAGTCTATTTAAAGAAATTTCTTTAAAAATACATCTTTAGGTTCTCTACTTCTCTGTTTTCACAGGCCTCGCCGGTCTTTTCTGCCATATGATCTCTAAACAAGCTATTGGTAAGCGAATTTTAAACATTTCGATGGCAATTAAAGTCGACTAATTCATTTTCATTTTAGGCTCTGGAATCCCTGAGTTGAAAGTGATAATGTCGGGCATTGAGCTAAAGAATTATTTATCCTTTACGACACTTATTGCCAAGGTTTGTCAAGAGTTTAGACAGAAAATACTGACAGAGTGACAGAGTGACAATTCTGAGTACAATACGACAGTTAATACGTCAGGAAACGTGTGTTTACATACAAAAACAAAATAGAGAAAAGACAAAATCGATTTTGAAAAGAGTTTTGGAATATTTCGAGCCGAATTTCAGATTGTTGGTGTCATTTTTTCGCAAGGCGGCGGCTATCCTGTTGGAAAAGAGGTTTGTTTGAGAGGGATATTCTTTGAATTTCAAATCTAAAGCACTGGCATTCAATGTTTAAAACAAATTGTGCTCTTTTCAGGGTCCATTCGTGCACATGGGTGCCATTGTGGCGAATCTACTTAACAAAGCATCACATGCGTGGAAACACAACGCTTTCTTCTCCACTGAAGGTTTTTAAAAAAACTACTAATGCAGAAAACGAAAAACTACTACTAAAACGGCAGAAATACTTCAGAATTAGTGCTTAATTGTGTACATTTTTTATCTATTGGGTTGATGGAAAAGTCCTTTCGGATTTTTTGGGAGAGTACCTTAAATTTGTCGAATTTTGACGTTTTATAGCTCATCCTAAAGCTGAATTCAAGACGGATCGATTGGTAAAAACCGTTTTGAGATATCTCTTTTCTAAAAGTTTTTACAGCTATTTTAGTAAAGGGCGGCAGAGCCAAAAAATGGCTGTTTTCACGTTTCGTTAGTTTTCCGTGCAGAAACCTAGGTTAAAAACATGTGTTTCGTGATCAGCGTCAAAAATAACCCCTAGACACGCACTTTCAGAATCTTAGCAAAAAATTTTTGAAAAATATTGTCGCCGGTGGAAGTCGAACCAGCGACCCTCAGATCAATAGCCTTTCCTCCGCTTTTCGCGAATCGGAAAGGACTTCTCCATTAACCCAATAGCAAATATTAGAGATGGAAAAGATCAATGAGGCCATGTAAAGGCAAATTTTGTTCTTTTCTAGGTCGTCGAATGGAGATGCTCTCGACTGGATGTGCTGTTGGAATCGCTTGCACTTTCAGTGCACCGGCTGGAGGTTCAGAATTCTTTGCATTTGACATCAAAACCCAAATTTAAATTTGCAAAAGTTCGAACTAGGATAGTTCAAAAACTAGTGTGCCACTGGAACTCGAACCCGCGACCTATCGCCTAGCGGGCAATTGTGCTAACCATTACACACTCGCACTCGATCTCCTTTACCGCAGAGGGAGTTAACCCTAGAGAGGAAGGAAGTTAACGCCCTCTGGAGTAGGGGGATCGACTGCGTCGTGGTTTAATGGTTAGCACAATGGTCCGGTAAGCGAAAGGTCGCTGGTCCGAGCCCCGGCGGCGGACAAACTTTTGATCTACCTAGTTTCTCGTCCAGAGAGGAGGGAAGTTAACGCCCTTTGGAGTAAGGGAGTTCGAATGCGTTGTGGCGGAATGGTTAGGACAGTTACCCAGTATGCGAAAGGTGGCGGGTTCAAGTCCCGACGGCGCCCAAGTTTTCGATCCATAGTTCCAACTAAAGTAAATAAATGAATGTTAGAAGGGAGGTCAGGTGCCTTGTGGTGTAATGGTTAGTAAAGTTGCCCGGTAAACGAAAGGTCGAGGGTTCGAGTCCCGGTGGGGCACCAATTTTTGATCTGCCGAGATTCCAACTAAACTATCGATCAAAAGCATTTCTTTTCAAGGTGTCTTGTACGGAATCGAGTCAACATCTAAATATTTCGCAATCAAGAACTATTGGCGCTGTTTCTTCGCCACCACTTGCAGTGCTTTGATTTTCCGTTTTGCGATGGCTTTCATCTTGCCGCAGCATATCGGTGAGTGAAAATAAGCATATCGAAATAGAAATCTATTCAATTTTTAAGCTGGAACAATCGTTGCCTACTATCAAACCTCTTTCCCCAATGCCGTCTTTTTGATCGTCGAGTTGCCGTTATTCGCCTTGTTGGGGTGAGTGCAATAATCTACAATTTTAATTTCAAATTCTATAATTAGCTAATTTTCTAGTGTGATTTGCGGTTTAACGGCAGCTTTGTTCATTTGGTTACACCGTCAATTTTCCCTCTCGCTCAAGCACACGCCCGGCATCAAAACGTTTTGGGCAAAGAAGTGAGTTTTAAATAGATATGTTATGTCCGATTTCGATTTTCATCCGATTTATACTCAATCTAAATCAGAAGTCCGATTGATTGATCAGACGTCCGATCAGATTGAGTCTGAATCGGATGAAAATCGAAATCGGACATAACATATATATGTCGTAACCGTTTACGAAATTCAGCCGTTAACGAAATTCAGCTGTTAACGAAATTCAGCTGTTAACGAAATTCAGCGGTTAACGAAATTCAGCTGTTCACGAAATTCAGCTGTTCACGAAATTCAGCCGTTCACGAAATTCAGCTGTTAACGAAATTCAGCTGTTAACGAAATTCAGCCGTTCACGAAATACAGCCGTTAACGAAGTTCAGCCGTTAACAAAATCCAGCTGTTAACGAAATTCAGTCGTTAACGAAATTCAGCTGTTAACGAAATTCAGCCATTAACGAAAGTCAGCCGTTGACGAAATTCAGCCGTTAAAGAACGAAACGAAGCCGTTAACGAACGAACGAAACGAACGTTAACGTTAACGAAACGAAACGAAAACGAATTCGTTAACGGCTACGACATATATATTTTACGTTGATTAAATAAAATATATAAATAGATTTTGTAAAAATTCGATTACAGCCCGATTGTTTACACGATGTTGATGTGCGCGATTGGGGCAGTGGTCACCTTCCCGGAAGGACTCGGGAAATATTGTGCAGGGAAGGTTTGTTAACGATTCAGGAAACAGACTCTGATTCAAGCAACTTATTTTGGAGATTGACGAACATTTGATTTTCCCTGCCCTTTTGCCATTAGCAATCCAAAAAGCTGAAATTTCTTGATGTTGGGCTATTCAATTTAAAGATTTTTGGTATCAAAAGATGCGCAAAGTCTTTTTTTGTCGTCTTGGCATGAAAACTATGGCAATTGGACAGCTCAACACAAAGAAATTTGAGCTTAAAGTTATATTACTAATGGGAAAGAGGCGGGCGCGTTATAAAATGTTCTACAATCTATTTTAGGGCAAGCCAGACCATACCAGGGTAAAACTTGGGCCAGGTTCAGCCTCACGTCACGTATTTTCTTGCTTTATCGTGGAGTCTAGCCAGTCCAACCGGATCAATGATCAGGCTCAAAACAGATCCGATCCGATTAGAGCTGACTTTAGCTAACCTGACACATCCTTGCTTAATTTGAAGCCTAGTGAAACGTTGTAACATTTCAGTTGACATTCCGCGAGGCACTTGTTGATTTGCTCTCGAACTGCACTTTCACACAAGTCAATCAAACCAATGTGAGTTGTCCAAGCTGTAGTTTACAAAGAAAGTAGATGCTTTCATTACACAAATCCTACATTACAGGGTGTCTCATAAAAAACATTTTCAAATCGAATTTCTTAAAAATTTCTAGTGGCTGCAGGTGGCGGCTTTGGTGTTAAAAACGTTTATTTGTGCTCAGGAATTTTTCGCGTTTTTTCTCTTTTTCATATCTTGATTATGTACATGAGATTATGGGTGCCATCATGGCCCCCCCCACCCCCCAGCCCCCCCCCCCGGCCCCCCCGGCCCCAACCCCCCCCCCACCCCCCCCCCCAGCCCCCCCCCCCCCCACAGCCCCCCCTCCCCCCCCACCCCGCCACGCCACCCCACCCCATTTTCGGGATTGCAGACATGGCCCTGCCCTTGCCATTTCTTGGTGAAAAGTTGAAATTTTTTTTGGGCCTGTCCCCGAGTGTGAATATTCTTTTAAGTGTAGTGCACAGTGCTGGTGGTGGCTGGTAATTCAATCAATCAAGAAGGCAAAAACGAGCAAGCAAAGTTTTCACTCAAGAAATGGCAAGTCAATGAGCGCCATGTTGCTATGCAAATTCTCAGTAAAATCCAAGTGTTTGTGGTGGCGTGGCTAGTGATGATGGTAGTGGTGATGGCGGTGGTGGCTGGTTAGGTGGTGGGAGCCATGGTAGAACCCATAATCTTCAGGTAGTGGTAGGGGTGATGGTGGTGGCTGGTTAGGTGGTGGGAGCCATGGTGGCACCCATAATCTCATGTACAAAATCGATATGAAAAAGAGAAAACCCGTGAAAGATTCCTGAGCACAAATAAACGCTTTTGACATCAAAGCGGCCATCTGCAGCCACTAGGACTTTTTAAGGAATTCGATTTGAAAACGTTTTTTGATGAGACATCCTGTACATTATATAAAAGTATCGATTTAGTTGGGCTGTTCCCCGGAAATCGTTTCCCATTGGACACGAGACGCCCAATTCGATCCGTTCAACATCTTGATCACCATTGGCGGGTTTATCATTGTTTATGTAAGTTGTTTGAAGTTTGAAAAATGAATTTCATATCGAAACAAATTAAAATTTTCAGTTCGTAATGGTTTCAAAATTCACTTCACTCTACGTGCCTTCTGGTATTTTCATTCCGGCTTTTACTACTGGTAAGTTTATTTTTAGTTAGATTATCTACAATTTTTGTTTTCTATTAGGTTTTCCAATTATAAATGCGCGTTTTTAAGATAACAACTCTTTATTTTAAAACCATTTAACCAGTTTAACAGCTCAATCAACAATATATTCACCATTTGTTAACAATATTTGTTCCCATCTTCCATGCAAAGAATGAATTCCCTCGGCGTAAAAATTGGCTTGTTTTCCCCAATTGATTTAAATGCTCGGAAATTGTTTGAGGGCTTACTCTAAATATTTCTGCAAGTTCACCTGTAGTTTGTCTAGGATCCATTTCTATCACCTGCTTCAGTACTGCATTATCGATCGCAGGAGGCCGTCGTTGGTGGTCTTCGTCTTCCAAAGATTGATTTCCTTCTCGAAATCGTTGAAACCATCGGCGACACTGGCTTTCCGAAATAGCATCTTCGCCAAATACTTTGCAGAGATCTCGATGGGATTCAACGGCATTTTTGCCCAATTTGAAGTCATACCAAAGGCTGGCACGAAGGCGAAACTTCGTCTCGGTCATCTAAACACGAAAATTAAATCAAAAATGAATCTAGTTTAACGTCAAAAACACGAAAAGTTGTAATAAATAAGAAATCTTGAACAGCATATAGAGAATAGGGTTTGATAAAATTGTATAGCCCTAAGGTACGCTGTTCAAGAGCAGGATAACTGGACTATAACGCTGTTCAAGAGCAGGACAACTGGACTCATAACTGGACAACCTAATATTTTCATTATCAGACTGTATTTTCAAAAATCCTCAATTTTCCAAAATCCAGGTGCTGCAATGGGTCGTTTAATGGGTGAATTGTTGGCATTGGCTTTTCCGGAAGGACTTCGAGGACCCGACTATCCGCCTATTTATCCAGGATTGTATGCGGTTGTTGGTGGGTTAAATGATAAATGATGTTCGTGGCTGGCTAACAACTAATAGTAACTCTCGTAGTCTCTATCTTTTATCGACAATCTATCTAATTTTTAAGTCTTCTATGTCCCTTTGAAAATTTCTTAAACGAAAACATTCATTTAGGTGCGGCAGCTTTCACAGGAGCGATGACGCATTCACTTTCGTTGGCCGTTATCGTTTGCGAGGCAACTGGGCAACTCTGCGGCTTGCTTCCAGTTTTGGTTAGTGTTGTAGTCGCGCTTTATTGCTTCAAAACGGAATTTATCTAATTTATTCCGTTAGTTAAATGATTATCAAAAAGAACAAAGGGGAAATGACAAAAATCTCTTAAATAAAGAGCTGAGTGGAAAATTACGACTACAAGAGAATCCAATTGACTCGACAAAAAGATAGTGTCTTTTAGAAACGATCCAATTTGCATTTAACCCAACAGTTAGCTAAAGAAATAAAATAGAAAACAAAAGCCAACAAAAATCAATAAATAGAAAGCTAATGGAACCTCACAATCAAAAGCTAATGACTTTAAAAACAAAGAACAATTAGTATCAAAGTGTACAGGATGAAGCAGTAAGAAAAGGAAAAAAAGAGAAGGAAAAAAGTTAGGTCCGGGATCGAACCAGGGACCCCAGACATTACGACGACTACCACCCATCTTTTTTACCCACTCGGCCACGCAGGCATTTGACGCCGGCGGTCTTTAAGGGTCTTTATTCCTGAAAATCAAAACGGGTCTGGTCTCGTTATTCTCTTGTAAGTGCACTTTTTTAACAGGAGAAAGCAATAGATAAAAATTAGAGTGTGTCCCTTCCGAGTGTGTTCCTCCGAGGTCTTTAAGGGTTTTTATTCCTGAAAATCGAAACAAAGTCTAATATTATGATTCAGATAGCTTTAATGGTGGCGAATGCGATTTGTGCCTTTTTACGTCCATCAATCTATGAATCGATCATTCAACTCAAAAATCTACCATACTTAGCAGAATTGCCTCCATCACGAATCACGTGAGTTTATTTAAGAGACGTTAAGAGTCTTTAAGAGACTCTAAGAGACTCTAAGAGACTCTAAGAGACTCTAAGAGACTTTAAGAGACTTTAAGAGACTCTAAGAGACTTTAAGAGCTACTTTAAAAGACTTTAAGAGACGATTAACTCTTGCAGAAAATTTCAATTAATAACTCTTTATTTCCAGTGTTCATTCGCTGAAAGTCGAAAAGATTATGGTAACTGATATGGTGTTTATCACGAAGAAGATGACTTATGCTGAGTTGAGAAACATTCTCATCACAACGCCGAAACTCCGCAGTTATCCCCTCGTCACTGATAAATGTAAGATAAACGTTTTTGCTTTACAAAAACTTCTCACAGACGCAATGACTCTATTGGGTCAAGTCTCTCGTCACTATTTGGCACATTTGTTGTTGAGAAAGTTGGGACCGGACAGTCAGGCTTTGCCAAGAAGGAGATCATTTGTCGCCAGTGAAGTATTCTCGGCGATTGGTGGAACCTTGAGAAGGTTTGTTCAGGGTAATCAGTCTCTATATGACCCTTCTTTCACCCTCTCGAAAGGTGAGCTTGTGCTCTAGTGGAGAAGAGCCTTGTTTTCAAAACCACTATCAAATCATTGCTCGGGTTTGATCCCTTTCTTTTATTTTCATTTTATTTTGATGTTTAACCGCTCGAATTCGCTCTATTTTAACTTTCCAATAAGCGTTATGAAATCTTTGTAAGTAGGTGAGTTTAACTAGTTAATTAAATGATCTCAGTTCAATTAGAGGTAAGTGATCGAGTGCTGACTGAGCTTAGACTAGGTTTAGCCACAATCCAGGCCAAGATCGAGCCTTGACTAGTTCAAATCTTGTATCAAATCGACCCTGAACCAGGTCTAGTACCGGGTCAACCTTAAACAAAGACAATTCAGGTTTAAGAACTCATCCAGAGCTGAACTGATCCAGAGATTTACCGTATTTCTTAAAATGAAATCTAGAAGCTGAATCGGGGTTTAAATCTTTAAAAACAAGATTTTCAACAATTCTAGAAACGCCTCAATGCAAGCGATGACACCAAGAAATGAGGAACAACGACATTCATGGCATCCAGATGGACCGTTAACCGATCGGGGACTGTCGGGAGCTCATCTCCTCGCACACTCACCTCTACATCATAATCCACATGAAAGTTTGTTCTTAAAAGATTTATTGAATACAAAATGGAACCTGTTTAGGAGAACGCTTTGCTCCATTCTTGGCCGCTCACAATGAACCCCAGGAGAGACGAGCCGTTGGTTTTTTGTGAAATTGAAACTTTCATACTTTTAAACGCTACTTTACAATCTACTTTTCAATCTACTTTATTTTTAGAGCACCACAGCCGATCGGGCAATCA